GCATATAAAAATGTGTATATTCAGAGAAATGTTCACACACACAAGAAGTGTACAATTTTTTTCTGCAGACCTTTTAGGAGAAACTCAAAACTGAGGCAGAAATCGGGTGAACTTCACTTAAGGGGTGGCATCACCACTGAATGTGAAGGATCCGTGGGGATTCGTTCATTTATTTTTCATTTGTTTATTTGTATCATTAATAGAGAAGCTTTTCCCCAAGGCTGACTGCAGTGCAGGAGGAACTTTTACTGTAAGAAGGTGGGTAGGTGCTTGTTTATTATTACAATTCTTTATATTCCCCTTTCAAGATACAGAGCCTTCCAAGGCAACATGCAGTTAGCATCATGTAGTTAGGCCCTAACCTGGGTGTTGCTGGTGTAACATGGAATCACCTAAATAAAATCTTTCAGAAGACGAATAGGATTGTTTCATACGGTACTGGGATGCAAGGTGTTGTTGTTGTCGTTTAGTCATTTAGTCGTGTCCGACTCTTCGTGACCCCATGGACCAGAGCACGCCAGGCACTCCTGTCTTCCACCGCCTCCCGCAGTTTGGTCAAACTCATGTTCGTAGATTCGAGAACACCGTCCAACCATCTCGTCCTCTGTCGTCCCCTTCTCCTTGTGCCCTCCATCTTTCCCAGCATCACAGTCTTTTCCAGGGAGTCTTCTCTTCTCATGAGGTGGGATGCAAGTTAAGTTTATATAATACAGTATCTCTTTCCATCTTATATAGATGACATCCCCTTTTCTATTTTGCCTTCCTGTTCTGTTGACTTTCCTTTACATCCTAGTAATTTCTTAATTCATATTACATTACATTGTGCATTGACAAAATGTTACCTTTATTTTTTTTATTAAAAAATTAAAATAAAAAATATTTGGTGATATGGAGATATGATGGGAGATTGGTTGTTTCAAGACCAGGGAATGTGACTCAAACCCTCTGATGGAAGCTGAAGGTTAAATTTTGCCTGTCAGAGTGTGCAAAGAGTTGAATAACTGAGGTATGGATTTAGCCCCGAAGCATCAGAATAGTTGGAGGTAAGGCACAACTGCTTGAAATATCATTTTCTGTGAGTGTCTTCCGGGGGAAAGCCTGACTGTTAAAGCAGTCAGTATTTTGCAGGAGGGATTAAAATACATACTGGAACTCTGGACTTGTGCAATCAAAGTGGATGAAAATGCTCCCTTGTCCTAAGTGCAAGAAATCCACTTTAAGGGGGAAAACGATTCTTTTGCTGTTAGGAAAGTGACGGGGAAATGCATTGAAAAGTGTGAAATGCAGCATGTCATATAACCACACCGTAAACAAATCAGAACAAATGCTAAATAAAGACTAAACAATCTAAAACATCATGTAAGCTTTGGTCACATCCACACCATATATGTTAAAGCACTCTTTGGTTTAACATCCATGGCTTTCCCCTAAAGAATATTGGGAATTGTAGTTTGCTAAGGGTGCTGCCGTCACATGATGGTTAAAATGGCAGAAGTGCTTTAAATGGTCTGGATGTAACCTGAGTGCAAGCAAATCTGTGATGGCCTCGGAATCGGATTCAGAGGCTGAACCTGAGGAATCCCAGCCTGCACAGGAGTCCCCGCCTCCAGGACCGGCTGAGCCGGCGCTGGGGCTTGAATCTCAAGGGCCCTCACCTGTGCCGGATTCTCAGGAGCAGACACCAGCTGAATCTGCTCTGGCTCCGGAGATGATCGAGGACCCATTGCCTGCAGGTGCTCCACTCTCAGCCCCGTCAGGAGAAGGTGAGGATGCCTCTGGGTCCTGTAACCCTCCAGCCTCTACTGATCTGCAGAGGCGGAGGGAACTAAGTTCTCGCAGGAGTGCTCGCCTCCAGGCAAGGAGAGGTGAGTCACCTGTGGAACGGGGGCCACCCTATGCCTCAGAGGAGATAAAAGCCAGCCAGCCCAGTCTCAGGTTGCAGGAGCAACATTGCTGGTAACCTGTTCCTGCCGGCACCCTGTCCTGCTCGTCTGCCAGAGTTCCTGACCTCACCCGACTCCTTGCCTTGGACCCCGCTTAAGCCTTGACCGACAGCTCCCATACCACACCCTCGACCTCGGACTGGACTCGGACCACGCCGCATGGTAACCCCCCGGGACCAGCACAAAATCAGGGTGAATGCCGAATCAGCAGACCATCTGGAGGAGCCACGTAATGGCCTCCCATTTCCAGCAGGGACCCCCGCAGCACAAATAATGAGGCTACTTAGGACTAGCAGCTGTCTTGGGCAAGATCTACCTTCTACCAAGGAGGCGTTATTTTATAGCTTCTCTATACTCTGTTGCAGTTGGTATTTCTGGCCTGGAATCTCTTCAAGGCATTAACCATGGAATCTTATCCTTGTCATATCATCTCACAGCAATCAGATGTGTCAGTGGGTTGGAGAGTCTCCCATGTTCCTTCACCAGCCACTGCGGTTCATATCTCTTCCTTGTTTTCCGCCTGAAGTCTTCTCTCCAGTCATAGAAGGCTGCAAGTACATGAACCCACTTTTTATGCTCTTGAATGAGGCAGCCGGGTGCCTCTGCCACCCCTTCATTACTCACTTACTCAAAAGCCCTTGACTGAAATTGCTACTTTGCTTTCCATTCAAGTCCTCCTCTTGCTTGAAGTTACCCTATAGCCAACCTTGAGCTGGCCTGACAAGATTTATTGATCATTCCTGTTGGTTTAAAATCTGCTCAAGTTACTCCAGCTACAAATTGGCGTACATAGAAATGCATTTATTTATTTCATCTATATCCCCCCCCCCCAATGTTCCTCCAAGATTTTGCGATTGCTTGGACAGAGTTGTTCCGCCTGGCCTTTGGCTTGGAGTCAATTTGATTCCCTCCCGCTCTTTCTTTTTCCTTTCTCCTCCTGTGATGAGGCTGCATTTTAATGTTTTAATGTTGTATTTTAATCTTGCTTTTTAAGTTGCATTTCAATCAACTTGTTTTTTATTGGTTGTTAGCCGCCCTGAGCCTGGTCTTGGCTGGGGAGAGGTGGGGTATAAAGATTTCTTTAAAAATTATTATTATTATTATTATTATTATTATTATTATTATTATTATCACCACCACCACCATCATCATCATCAATGGGAATCAGATAATCATTCCCTCTATTTCCTATGTTCAGTTTGCAGGTTCCGTTGGTTATGTAGCCAAAACAACCAAACACACACACACACACACACACACACACACACACACACACACACACTATAGGGAGGCCTGAGGAAAACCCTAAGTTAGAAGAAATACAAAATAACAACTTTAGTGATTCCGTGCCCCAGACTTGCAATCCCCTGAGGACTGATCATGTTCACTTGCTGTTGAGGCCCCCCCCCCCCCCCGAAAACTGAAGAGGAGACTAGAATAGAGTGGTGGAATTCTGAACAAGGGAGCATACCATACTGCAACACTTTGTTGCAGGTCTGCCTTGTTGTGAGATATGACGGGATGGTTAAACCCTCCTGCTGATGGAGGCTGATGAAGGGCCTCTGCAGAGAGCAGAGAATACAGCCAATTTGGATTTTGGCTCTGCAGCCTAGGAATCCCTAGATCTCAGCCTTCCTTCAAGAAGCTGCTGGCATTCTACCTGCACAATTGTTACTGTAGGTGCTTTATTGATCGTTTGAGTTTTCTTTAGGTCAAGGAAAGGAGGGGCAGGGTAGGATGCCCTGACCCTCCTTGCCCTGCTGCCGAACTTGCCTTGATGCTTGGTCCGCTGGGGCTCCTTGTAGCGAATGGGGTGGGCTCCACTCGCTAGGATGCGCCACATTTTTATGCCTGGCTAGTTACTGCAACGAGGACAGGAGGTGTGGTTCAAATCCAGCCACCCCCCTGGGAAGAGGGAGTGGACAATGGGTGTTGATTAAATGGGGAGTGGACAATAGCAGCTGAGTCAAGTGGCGGTTGGTTCCTTAGGGCAGGGTTTCCCAAACTCGGGTCTCCAGCTGTTTTTAGGTTACAACTCCCACCATCCCTAGCTAGCAAGACCCAGTAGTCAGGGACGATGGGAATTGTAGTCCAAGAACAGCTGGAAGAGACCCAAGTTTGCGAAACCCTGTCTTAGCGGATAGACCTTCCAACCTTCCTTCTTTGTGGTCCAGTTCGCACACTATCAGTAATATTACTGAAAAGGACTGACTAGATCTTACTTTATTTTTGTTTTATGTCCTGGCAACAACACAATTTTTAACGTTCCAGTTACCCTGCAGGTACTTTGCACTCTACCTTCCATACTAGGCTAGATTTTAGCTGGTTTTAATCTGTACTGGCAGCTGGAACTTTTAGCTGAATCTTTTTTCCGGCAACGACAGCCTAACCTTTATAACTGAGGGGGAAAGAGCGTGTGGGGTGGGTGTGCTTTTAAAGAAGGCTAAACTTGCCCTCCCCTGCTAGGGTAGCACTGAACAGTAGCTTTCCTACAGACCTCCAACCCCTAGAATATAGTTCCCGAGTTTTACGTTTTTACATAATTTTGCTTCAAGCACACAGTGACCTTCCTATGCCCTTATTTACCTGACCTTTAAAAATAATTAAATAAATAAATGTGCCTTTCTTACCCTCTCCTCATACATTTGTTTTACCTCACATTTACACTTTCTCAGCTGGGGCCAAGGCACTTTGTCACCATGAAACAGATCTCACACATTCTGACTTAAGTTCTCACTAGTATGTTATTATTTGCAATTTATATAACAACCTGACACACAAATCAGTTGAACCCCAGATCTCTTGGGACATGATTCCATCTTATTGATTTCGACGGGAGAGATTTTATTATGTATTCAAACGGTCCTATTGAAAGCTACGGTACTGAAAACGACTTAACTTTGACGGGGCTGCACCTAGATTTGTGGCTTGCGGTTTCTGTGGAACAAGACTCGTTAACATTTAACTTAAAATGCATAATATCAGAGATGTACCGTTTCTAACAGCCACCGATCTAAAAATTTACAGTGGGTAACGTGAGCAAAAGAAAACATTTTATTATTGCACATAATCCAGCAGAACAACTGATGAAAACTCCTGGACGATATTATACAAATTGCCATACACTTTTTTATTTTTTAAAAAAAACTTGTGATTAAGGTGTGTTGTTGGTGGTGACAACATTTTCCGTTTTTGTAAGACCTGAAAAATTAAACAACAGACACCTACTTTTGAAGGCATGCAAACTTGAGGTAAACCTGTTCTTGCTCGCGCTGGGAAACAAAAAACCGAGCAGGCTTGTGCATACATTTGTTCTGATCCATCGGTTCTTTGAGGATGCCAGCACTATGCTGCACACATGCAGCTCCCTTACCAACAAGACCTTTCCACTCACTTTAAAAGAGAGGACAGCTTACGAATGCATGTACACAGAGTCCCTTCCATTGAAACAAATGAAAAGTCTCCATCATTTGTGCACCTGAGCTCACACGGGGCTCTGGATTTGAGGCATGATGTTTGTGCATTTTAAAAGTTTGTCGCGCTCAAGCTCATCTTTGGAACAATGAGGGCTAGGAAATTGCCATTTTAAAAACACGGAAGGCTGGGGGTCTCGGGACTCTAGAAAGATACGGCAGGGAATATGAAAGTGCTTGGGAGCTACATTATCAAACATAACCCGTTTGTGCTCTACTGAATTGCTTATCATTACTTCTTGGAGGTAGTCCTGTGGCTACCTGTATGTAAACACAGCAGTTACTACAGGTTGTAGGGACCAAGGGATAACCATGTTTGCACAAGCCCTCCGGATCTACATACAACACATATTGTTAGGATCCAAAGAACTACCCAAACAGTTCTGTACACTAAACTGCAGTCATGACGTGCTGAATGGCAAACTGCACATGAGAGTGATGAGTTTCAAATGCAGCTTGGGATTTGGCATGGAGTTTCAGGTGTTCAAATGAATTAAAAAACAAACAAACCCCACAGTGGATGCACACAAGCTTTTGGGCACGTCTAAAGAAGCCCTCTCGATCCCAGTTCATATATTTATAAATGCCACATAAAGCAAATCTACCTACTTTCCCCATCACATTGTAAGGAACAAACCACAAGAATGAGACAGCAGAACATCATATTTGTATGAAGCGGGGTTTATGAGGTGGGGGTAGGGTTGGCAACAATCTCTGCCTTTTTCAAAAGGACCAGATTTTGTGCTTCATGATAAATAAAGGCCACTGAGGTCTCTCAAAGAAAATAACATACATAGTTAGAAAGCAGTTTGCATACTGAAATTGGACATCTGGCGGCTAAGGAGCCAGGAAACAGGCTGTCACATTTCAAAAGCAAATAACAGCCTATTTGTTACAAACACCTTTAGAAGAGAAAAAGTAATCATAAAACCCAAGGCTGGCTAAATTGTTATCACCCCATGTTCTGCGGATGTTCCTCAAACACGGCTAAGCATTTTGCTGAAGCCTCTTCCAACACATGGGCTGCTGGGCAGAGATAATGTATCCCTCTTCCTCCAATTTACAATATAATTTGATTAAAGTAGAAAAAGCAAGTGGGAAAGGCACAAAATGTCATCACTCCTGCTTCCCAATTTCATTTTCAGCAACTTATGAATTCTAAGTAATCTGATCTGAAAAAAATACTACCCTGGTGTCTACCTGCTGCCTGTCTATGGCATCATATTTATAAGGCTTTCAATGCTTGGCATTTGCAACTGGAGTCTTTCTTTTTAAACCCAACAATTTTCAAGTTCCTTTTTTCCACTTTCTCATTTTAACCAGCTTCTGCTGCACCAAGGAGTGTCAGCAAACATACAAGTTCACAGTCAGTTTTAAATAAGGCACATTTAAAAGCTTTTGAAATTGAATCAAAGTCTATGCTTTGGGAGGGGAGGAAAAACATTCAAACACATTTAGGGCTGATTCATGCATAACATTTTTTAGGGTTCTGCATATGCCAGGTCATATGTGCATCTGAATACCCAGAGAAAAACATAATGTACAAAGTGAATCTCATGGCTGGTCTAACTTCTGGGGAATAGGCAACTTCCAATGACAAGAGTATGCCGACAAGGCACTGCTTAACTGAGCACTGACTTCATGTACCAGTACTTTGCGAACCACATTCAAAATGTAGCCTTTAGTGAGGTTTCTTAAACTCTAAAAAAGATTCACTCTATCTAATTCCTACTTGGCAGAACTGCAGAGGATTCACTTCTAGGGACTGCTTATAAGACTACATTGAAGCATCCTTACACTGAAATCCATGGGTGTTTTCATTTTTCCCACTGTGGATTCACTTGGATCCTAACGTGGATCCACTACTCAAGGAAATGGCTTTTGCCTGCTCTAAAATCTGGACTTCTACACAGACTTTTTTCAGAGTTATGCAGCAGCGGGGAGCATAGCCTAACCTTTCCTAACGCTGGATTCATAACAATCTTGGTTTGGGTGGGAGAAGTTAAATCAACAGCTATAACAATTATTCCTGGCTGCTACATAGCTTAGAAACATGGTGTTCTTCAGGAGATTTATAACGACGAGTCTTCCAATGAAGCCTGGAATTTTCATGGTGGAATTTGAAGGAGAGGATGCCTTGTTTGTGTTTCCACAATTACAGATGAATCCTTGTTTCTTCAAACTGCAGTACAACAGTATCAGCACAGTTGTGAAACTTTAAGGCAATTCTCATTCACAACAAAAGGAAGAATGAGGAGGGGGATGCAACAGTCAAGGTTTCCTCCTGCTGGGCAGAAGAGATCGTCTATAGTTGGGGGCCTAGCCTAACAAGCTCTTCAGAAGCCTTCTATGGAAGTTCATAACCACAATGCCAACACTGGGTTCTAAGCTCCTCCCTCTTTAGATGGTTCTGAATGGATGGTGTTATACCTCTGGCAAGGCATAGATGTCAGCAGAAACTTCTGTAAGAATAGAAATCAGCGAGAAAGAAAACAGGGAGTAGCAATGGTAACAGAAAATATAATTATTGGTTTAAGTTAATGTTTAAGATGGTCACACTCCAAAAAGCTTTCAACAAGAGGTGTCAGGATAAAGGAATTATTTAACAAGGAATTAGAGGCCTTCACCCAGCAAAAAGTCATGGCTGAAGTATTGCAATTCATTTTATGTAGGGTTGCACTTGAAAATGAAGCTACAGCTAGAATGCAGCCACTGGCTATTGAGCAGAACAACAAAATGGGATCATGGAACACCAATCCTGAAAGTGCTTCACTGACTGCCTGTAAGCTACCTGGCCCAATTCACGGTCCTAATGCTACTATTTAAAGTCCGAGATGGTTTGGGTCTCATGTATTTACAAGAGTTTGTGTATATGAATGTGGTTCTGTAAGGAAGCTTTTGCAGCTTCTTGTTATATTTTTATTCAAGATCTGAGACGTGTGCGTGTGTGTTTGTTTGTTTGTGTGACAGGGAGGGGGGGACATGGAGAGAGGGTAGATAGATATCCTGTTGTGACCCTGTATGCAAATTTTCTTGGGACCAACCCCTCACTGAACTGCTTCTAAATAAACATGCACAGAACTGGATGCTCTCTTCTTCTTCACAAAACAGGAAACAATAGTTGTGCACTGATGTGTAGCCAGATAACCCGGTTGTCCTTTTACAAAAAGGTTCCAAAGCAAAGTTTTCATTTTCCAAAATGTCAAAACAATAGGGCACTCTGAGCCATTTCATTTGTCCCCCTTACCTTGTCTTAGCATCTCATCATGTCAGAAAATGGACAAATAAGATGGAGAGGCCAACGTTCAATAGGATGACCATGCAAATGATGATTGTGTTAGGTCCCTAAGGAAAAAACAACAACAAGAGTATAATGTTATCTACCGTGATTTAGAAGACACAGATGAAAAACTTCCTCACTTGTGAAAGCAAAAATAGTTCTGTCAAGGGCTTTTATGCATTACAGCCACCACTGTCAGAAGCAATTCATAGAGCAGTGGTGGGAACTTGTGTCTCGCCAGACGTGGTTGGACTACAACTCCCATAATCCTTGTCCACTGACCATGCTGGCTGAAGCTGATGGGAGCTTCACAGGTTAGCCACCCTTGTCCTGCAGTAAGTACTAATGAAATCAATAGGGTTAGGGTTATTTGCTTTCATTCCATCATCACCGCACCTAAACATTTGTGCAGGTCAGTCTCATGCCATCATATTTGGGGTAATGTTCATTTTGATGCCTGGAGCAAGCTGTGCTAAATCTTCATTTTGGGAAAAGCTACACATGTTGCATACCTGCCTTTCCTGCAGCTGTTAAAGGCACTGGAGCCCTGTGCACGGAAAAGATGGTAACCAAATTTGTCTTCTGCAAATATACCACCTGAGTCATTTTTCTAGACTGTAGAATGACAGCAGGAATGTTAACCCCTTTTGTGCTGGCTCTGCTCCTGTGAATTCAGCATTAGCCTGTTTTTTTAAAAAAGCAGGTGAATGCTGCACTCATATGAACTTTGGGGGAAATCACTTCTAAGTATACAGGCAGAAACTCAGGCTGGAAGATGTTTTCCCCACCATGGATATAGCCATACCTGTTCAATTTCTGCATGTCAGACACAGAAGCACGGCTAAAAGAAAAAGTGGGGAATTCTAACCCGGCACTCCAATACACCAGCTGCTCTCAACCTGATGCCTTCCAGATATTGTTGGACTCCAACTCTAAACAGCCCCAGCCAGCAAGCCCAATAGTTAGGGATGGTTGGAACTGTAACATCTGGAGGGCACCAGGCTGGGAAGTTTGCAATATAGCTTTATTGGGAGCACCCAGCAGGGCTTACTTCCAAGTAACCATGCATTGGATTGGGCTGTTTGGGATTAATAGCTCTGTTCTTGAAGGTAATATTTGCTGGCTTCTCTATCAGAATGATGTATTATCACTATATGAAATGATTAATTACACTGATGAGGTGTGATTGTGAATAGAATCATGTGCATTTTTTTATTCAGAAGCAAGTTCCAAGATGCTCACTTACTCTTCTGTGGGGGTGAATAGGTTTGCTGCCTTGAAGCGCTCTGCCTACCATTCACTCTGCCTATGCTACCCCTGAGTTCACCAATCATCAGCTACCCTCTGTACTACCAGCCCCAATGAGCACCAGCTGCCATTGATGCCAATCCTGTTCTACAATTAGGAACACTCACCCTAGCAGTAAGTCAACAAAGTTAACATTTTCAGCAAACCACAACATGTATTTTAACATGGCTGTGATACTGGAAATATAGATAGCACAGAAGATTTCTCTCTCTCTCTCTCTCTCTCTCTCTCTCTCTCTGTGTGTGTGTGTGTGTGTGGAGAGAGAGAGAGAAATCTTCTGAACCACAGAGCAAACTTTACAGCTAGAAGATTGCTCTAGCTATTTTTTATTTTTATTGTTTGGCAGGAGGTGGAAAAGTGATAGGTGATATACACACACAAAAAACACCCCAAACTGTTACACCTGAGTAAATCCTATCTGTATCTGGTAGTATTTATTGACCTGACTTAAAAATGTCAATTCACAGTACCTTACAGCCCCATCTGATGGAATGGAACACATAACAATTCACACAGTACTGCAGTTTTGAAAATAAGTTTTCACATCTAGACAGCAGTCCAAATCAGGTGCACGCATGTCGTGCACTTATGTACCCACCTCGGTTTTTGTACATGAAAGCAATGTGGCACAAATGACAGCAGGGAAGCAAACAAGAAATTGAAAAGGAGATTCAGATTATTATTTGCTTCTTTCCCTCCCCTATCCAGCCCCCAATGGAAAAAAAAACACTCCCCTCTCCTTTATAAAGACCATGTAGCAGCACCTCTTCATGCTCTTCCACCTCTTTCGTTGCTGCCTCTGGTGAAGCAACTTTCTTCACCACAGCCTTGGGGTCAGTTTTGGCCACCACCTTCGTTTCAGTTTTCCGTTCAGGCTTGCCTTCAGCTGCAGCTTCGGCTTTCTCTTCTGCTTTGGGTTCTGGTGGCGGGTGTTGCTTGAGATCCTGCTTAGGTTCTGCTCTGAGTGCTTTTTTTTCTTCATGAGCTGCTTCATGCTGAGAGACAGGTGTACCTCCCCTCTTTTGCGGCTCCGGTTTGTGCTCAATGGCCTTCACATCAGCTTTGGGCTCTGGGGAACTTGGCTTGGCAGGCAACTTGGAGTCAGGGAATGATTCTTCCTCAAAGTCCACTGGGGGAGTAACCGGGGAGGTCCTCACAGCATAGCTGTGATAGCCCTGAAATAATGCAACGTCGCCTTCATGATGTATCCTCTGAAGGGGTTTGATCTCCATCTGGTCAGCAGCAACCCTCACATGGCTAGGGTGGCTGGGGCTCTGGGAAGCAGGCCTACTACCACCTGCTGCCTTCTCTGCAGGTGCTAGCAAAGCTTTAGAAGGTGTGTTGGGCCTACTTCCCGTGCCGCTGCCATCCTTGCCGTGATCTCCATTCCAGCTCCCAGGGCTTTTCTGAGAACCTTGCTTCGCTCGTTTGACCTCAGGTGGTGTTCCAGCTGGTGAAGGCGTTCGAGCGGGACTTTCTTTGGGCTTGGTGGAATCTTGCTCCTCAACCTGAGGGCTCTCTGGAGGTGGTGGTGGAGGTGGCTGTTCCACAGGTGGTGGCTCTTCAGTATTCTCTATATTCTCTTCATTCTCCATGAGCTCCTGGAGCAGTCGCCTCTTCAAGTATTCAGGACCTAGAAAAGGCAAAAAGAGATTTTTAAACATCGCCAAGAGACAGTCAACCAGCATGAAATTCCAGTGGAATTAGGAAGCGTAAGGCAGAAACAAAACCACCGGGGAAGGACCAAGGTTGCTTCATCACAGTCTCATCACCTCATAGAGGAAAGAGAAGATAATCAGTTAAGGAAAAAGAAAGGGCCAATTCATCAGTAACCCCATAGCTGTGCTGAATAGGGGGGGAGAAAGGAGGCAGACCTTGCAAGCAGGAAGCTTTTAATTAAAAGTGAAGTAGTACTTAAAAGCCTTAGTAATGCTTTGTTGCTGGGCAGGCAGGTGCTACATTCACATTTTATCAGAAACTAGGTCTAATAAACAATGGAAAACAACACAGAAAGCACTAGAATGCAACAATTTGGCAATGACATTGACTGAAGGGGCAACTCCAGAAAAAAGTATTAGCGTGGAAGCAACCTACAATTCAAGATCACATTACGAACACCAAGGCAATCTTGGGCATAGATTTTGGAACTTGCACATAAAAGATATAAATTCAATCCTAACTCAGAACTAGTGGAGCTATCACAAGTGATCCTAAGAGCACTTTGTATGCCTTAGTATATACCTTCTGACTGTTATCCATCTGGTAATAAAAGCAGATCAACCCATTTTCCGAATGTAAGTGCATTGTGATTAATATGGATTTATCATTTGATTGACGCCTTGATTTCAAGTTGCATTCTTTTTCTTCAAAGATGAACAATGGTCTCTCTAAAACTTTAATTATTATTTGGTTTGAGGCCAAACTATTAATTACTGATGGGAGATCTGTGATTTCGATCTCCCAATCTTATATTTTTGTTAATGAAATGTAGCTGAGGGAAGGCTGCCAGTTTCCCCACAGCCATGGTGGAGAAGGGTGTGAGTTAACCCTTCCTCTCATAACAGTTCTCTGATTTAAGTAGCCCCCCCCCCCTTTCATAGTCTGCTACTGGACTGGGAAACTGTCACAGAGACAGGAATGGGTGAATCTGTCAATTTCTATTTTTCCCAGTTTCTCAACTTTTCTGATCTTCAGTTCTCCACAGTTCCACATTAGTTTGCACGTTTATTTTATTGAGTCTTCATGAAAATTCATCAGCAAATTTCTCCTAATAAACACATCTTTGTACACAATTCTGCAGCATGTACACATTTTCCAAAACAATATGAGAACAGAAACAGACATCCTTCTAAATTCAAATTTATCTGAATTTTTCAATGCAAGTAATATGTACAAAAATTGCATATACTAGGGTAAAGTATGCATATAAATGCATGTATTAATAAAGGTTAACATACACAAATGCATTGTATTATAAGAAACTGCTTGCTGAAATGTGTCCATTAGTCAAAACATGCATACAAACATATGTTTATTGGGAAAAGTTTGCACTTAAATGCTTGAGAACTTTTAGGACCATTTTTTTAAAAAGGTTGCTGCATAAAATTGCAGCTGGAAAAATGAACAACTGTGAGAACCAACACTGACAGATCCCTTTGCCTCTACTCCCAACAGCATACTGAGGAAAAGCAACGGTCCTGAAGCCCATAAAACATTTTGATTGGCCAAATCTTTGTACATCTACCTGTACAATGATATATTTCACTGAAAAGGGCTGGTTGAGAGAAGTGCAGCGGTTTCTCTTTGGTGTGAAGAGAGCTGTCAGATGTGTGCATTGCTCACTAATAAGGTCACCCACCCGTGACACTAAGATCCTACTGAACACACTTGAGCAGTTGACCCGCCTCCATTAAACAAGGTGACTTCTGGATTCACATTTCATTCTGTCCTCATCTGACTGGGTTGTGTCATCGTCTCCTAGCAGCACTGCCATCGGCTGCATTATTGTTTACATATTGGTAAGCCTTAGCTCAGTGCAGAAACTAAACAGCAAATCTCCCCCCACGCCCCCGTCTCTCACACGAACGTGCTTATGAACCGAAACAGAGCAACCGGCCTTAATTAGGTCCCAAATATTTGTGGGCAAAACTGAGCCAGGAAGCTCCTAGTCTACATTAAGGTCAGAGCACTGTCACACACAACACTTAAATCAGTCGACAATGCCAATGTAAAATATGCAATGGCTGAAGTGCTAATTTGATTTCTTTCGCACAATCTGCCCTGTGTTGACAGCATTTACACATGGCACATCACCTCAGAGAGGGTCAAAGGCACATTTTAGTATGTTGTGCAAAAGCTGAAGTCTTTGGGGTTGTAGTGGAATATAATCTTTGCACTTCATATAGTTTCCAGCTATGTCCAGGACTGAGGAGTACCTCACATAATATAGAATGGAACAGAACGGAACGGAATTCTGCATCCAGGCAATTTAAATTATGCTTAAAGAAAATAAGTACCGTATTTTTCGCTCTATAGGAGGCACCCGACCATAGGACTCACCTTGTTTTAGAGGGGGAGAACAAGAGAAAAAAAAATCTCCCCCTCTCTGCGCAGCGCCCCTTCAGTGAAGCGGCAGGAGAAATGGAGCCCCTTCTTCTTGTTCTCCCCCTCTAAAATAAGGTGTGTTCAGTGCGTTCAGGGTGCCGTTCAGTCGCCTTCAGTGAAGGCAACCCGAAGCCTCTGGAGTGCAGCGGGAGCTCCCGCTGCGCTCTGAAGGCTTCAGGCGGCTACCTTGGAAGCCCGGCTTTCCCCTGCCAGCCCCCTGCGCGCAGCCTTCCCGCTGATCCTCGAGCTTGTGAGGCTGGCGGGGGAAGCCTGGGTCCCCCCCCCCAGCCCCAGGGACCACACATTCGCTCCATAAGACGCACAGACATTTCCCCTTAGATTTTAAGAGGAAAAAAGTGCGTCTTATGGAGCAAAAAATACGGTATTCTGTAACCCAGAAGTGGGGAACCTTTTTTTCTTTTTCTTTTGAAGGCCACATTCCAGTAAGGGGAATAACCAAAGCAAAAATGGGCTGGGCTGCCCTTTTTATCTCTCTCTTTATGCTCCCCCTATCCTCGTTTTTCTGTCCTTGCCACCTGCATGAAATTAGTTGAAGGGCTACATAAATTTATGCTGACTGCTACATGAATGAATATGGGGAAGCATAATTAGCAGGAGGAATACTTCTCCCTCTAGAATTTCACTTCCATTGCAGTAGTGAAATTAACACAGGGAAAAGTTTCAAAATCAGTCAGGAAGAATTCATCACTAGTTACCTGCAAAACCTCAGTCCATATGGCAAGTTCTTCTTGACCCATCTTGAAAATGTCTTCCCCTATCTTATTTTGCTAGTTTGTTAAGAAGATAGCTATACTCATGCAATGTATGAACGGATTGCTTTTAGACACAGACTGTGCATGGACAAATATAATGATACTTGGAATACATTTAGAGAAATTGTAATGACTTGTATACTCACTGGAATAATAGTGGTACTTATTTATCTATATATCATATTGCATTACAGTCTCAAAGCACTTTTCGCTTTCTTCCACCCCCCCCATTCTTTCTCTTTATTTGTTCACTGAAAAAAAATCAATAAAAAAGGACAGCTATATGTACATATCTGAGAGAGAAACAGTGCCATTGAACACAAGGGACTGACATTTGACTTGCATAGATTAAACACTGGTAGTTTCTGTGCATATTAACTCAGAAGTAAGCCAGCTGTGTTCAGAGGGTTTCCTGCCTCTCTAGTTAGTGGGTTTAACATTGGGGGTAACTTCCTGCATGGAGTTACCCCCAGGTAATGCAGCAGAACTTACTTTCTAGCAAACATATATAAGATTGAATCGTAGTTGTATTTGATATAGTACTCTGGTGGGAACACTTATCAATTATTTGACTGGAAGCTGTGCACCCCGCCTCTCCAGCACGGAAGATCATGTGCCACACCATTCACGTTTTTTTTACAAGAAGAACAGTGACCAAGGCAACTTCCAGACCAGTTGTTGGCTGAGGATTCATGTTGATATGTTTGCACAAAGGCCTAAGAGCTGCTCTTGGAGCATAGATGGCCACAAGGTTGAGCAGGTCTCTTGTTTCAAATACCTGGGGGTAGTTTTTCACTCTACCAGCAGTAGGAAAGCCCATGGGAAACATGTTGCTGAAAACAAGAGGTGGCCACTATATACCTGCAGCACTCAAATGGGTGGGGTATAAATAATAAATTATTATTATTATTATTATTTGAAGCCAAACCAATAGCACAACTTCTCTATGGTGCCCAGGTGGGCCCCTTCTCTAATTTTGGCCCCCTAGAACTTGTACAATCCAAATTCCTAAGATCAGCTCTTCAAGTCCCAAAATGTGTCTCTAATGCCACCCTGAGACTAGAGACAGGTTTCATAAAAGTGGAGGCTAGAGTGTGGGTGACCATACTCAACTACTGGCTCAGACGATCTTTATTTCCCCTTGGTCTTGCCCCACTAACTATGAACGATGATTTTCAATACACATGGAAACAGACTGTGGTAACTAAAATCTCAACCTTGGGCTTCTGTCCAAGTTTTCTACTCAGCATGGGATACGAACAACCCAAAGCTCTCTTAAAACGATGTGTTACAGATACTGAGCTCTAGTTGGATCTAGCCAGGACCCCAACTTTTATTGCCAATGAATCTTCCAGGTACTCTGCCTCCCCTATGACATATCTAGCTAAACTTGAAGTCCCTAAGCACCAGAGGGCCTTTACCTTGGCTTGATGTCATGCCCTCCCCTTGGCTGTCCTTGAAGGCCGATTACTTATCTGGAGAGGCAATACTCCTGTGACTCTGGACAAACAGAAAGAACAGAGCATGTGCTTCTCCAGTGTCTTTACTATAGAGTGATTCGTACTAGCCTCATCTTACCATCACTGCATGGTACCCAGGGCGCACAGGACAATTCTATACCCCCCTGCTGCTTTTAGATACCAATCCTGCTACAACATGCAACATTGCCTGATTCTGCACAGCAGCATTCTCAAAATTTGACGGATTATGACCTGTGCAACAAACTAAATATAATGAGCACTCATATTAGAGTGCTCTGTAGACCGATTGCTATAGTCTTATATATACTGTGGTAGCTCCGGTTGCGCACAGGATCCATTCTGGAGCTCCAGTCAGATCCCGAGGTGTGCAAATCCAGAGGTGCAGTTTCTGCACATGCGGCGAAACCTGGAAAAATACTTCTGGGTTTGCCGTGCATGTATCCCAAAGGATACATAAACAGAGGTGAACATAAGTAAAGGTACAACTGTACTAACCTTTTACGCTGTTTCATTCTTGACTAATGTTCCTAATACTTCTTTTGGACTTTCCTAGCTTTTTTTGGATTCTTATAGACTTTTATGTATATAGTCTGTTTTTACTCCTTTTAGTTTGTTTTTTATACAAAAAGGTGGGGGGTTTTTTCTTCCCTAGATTTTAAATGATTGTACCCCTCCTTCCTTATGCTGTGTATGGCCATAAAAAAGATTTGGGGGGAGGGGAAATGTTTGCCCAAAGTTTGCCAAAAGGTTCTATGATGTCATTGTGAACACTAAACCTGACATGCTTGTGTGGAGGTTATACAACATTGCCAGCTAGTGGTTGTCATCCACAGTTTTCAGTGCAATTTTCTGCTATTTTACTTATCAGACTTTCTAAGGTTAGAAAAGTGACAGGGCGATTGCGCTAGAAAGTGCAGGATAATGGTCAATTTATGTCTGGAATTGCCTGAGGACTGATGTGTGTGGCTATTACTTCTCAGGAAGGCTACATGTATCCCTATAGATTATATACAATATAATGCAGATAAATCATCCAAACAAACCATGAGCAGTAAGCGAAGAACAAACTTTGGCTGCAGCTCATGGCTTGTTAGGAGCAAGAGAAACCATGAGCTTAGAAATGTAACTCTAAGCCAAACCATGGGCTCAGCTCCCAGTACAGTAGCTGCAATTTCCTCCCTGTGCATCAGCACACTTTCTCGTTCACAGTAAGTCGTAGATTGGCTTAGCGTTACATGTGGGCCAAACCCAAGTACCATTTTATAATGAGGTGGTCAAGAAAATGGACCTATTTCACTAATTATCCAAACTGTTTACAAATCCGCGCGATTCTACCGTAGAGCAAGAAAGCAGGGTGGGGGGACCTTGCTATTTAAAACATAGCTGAACACATACATTTAATCTCCTGTAATGATTTCAGCTGAATGATTAATGAGAATTCCGACCAAACTCATGTCATATTTGCATTTGCTTTTTATGATGGCAGCAGGAAACAGAATGACTTTCCGCCTCCATAAGTCAATTTTGAAACAGCGTCTGGGAATCTTGTTCCAGTAATGAGTTCAAATATCTGAAATTCAAGGGAGCAAATCCTGCCCGACGTGTTCGGTCAGGGATTAGATAAAGGTACATCTCCTATGCCTGTGTGAGATTGGTTTGCATTTCCAATAAGGACTACGGCAAGCTGCTTTCACTGACTGATCAGCAAGGATAATTTTAACTGGTGAATGAATATGAGAAAACCCAAACTGTCCCCCAGATGTCCCAGGAATAAAAAAGAGCAGTGTCCATCAAGTACATTAGTGGCTGTGAATCTAGGCCATGTGACACCTACCCACTGCTTGTAATCCTGAAGGATTCTGCTGAAGCTGAAAGGAATATTTTCTGGCAGACAGATATATCTGGCACAGCCTGTGCTATGTGAGGAGAGGCCACTGAGGGCCAACTGGTGCAAGCAAAATCTATTAGTAAAACTTGCCCTGTGCTTTGCTGCTGTCTGTCCACAGGTAGGGACTGGCATATCAGTCTGCATCCAGTCTATATCACTTTTGTATGTGCTCATTCATAAATCAGTTTTGTCCTGTTCCCACGTCAATCTTCCTTTTTAAAAAAATCAAAATTAATATTTATAGAAAACTTACGCTTGGGATGCCAGAAATGGGATGAGGCATTTCTACCCTAGATGTGGGGTGAAGGAATACTGTTTTAAGATCAAAATATAACTATCTCCCTGACACCTCTCCTCTAGTTCCACAACTTTCAGCTGGGCTCCTGTAACAGAAGAGAACTCAGATGTACCTGTGGGGTCAGACTGCAGGTAGAATAACTCAGCACCTCTCACTTCCTTGCCCCTCTTCCTCTTCAAACAGACACCCACACAGCTCCTGCTTTATACAGGGTTGGAGCAGACCCACATTTAGACAGATCTACTGCTGTCAAGTTTAGTTTATGGGGCTGGTCTAGACATTTCCTCTCCTCCTTTTGCACACCACCAGAATCTGTTCTGGAGGGTCCTTCAACCCTGCAGAAAATATTTTCTTTTCTTTTTTTAAAAAATAATTTTTTATTATTTTTCTCCTTAATATTTTTGACAATACAATAACAAACATAAAAACTTTCTGCTCTGCCGAGTGTGTGACTTCTCTCCCTCCCTTCAGCAGGTTTTCCGCCTTTTTCACACTTTAGCTCCTTAACTTCTATTGTTCACATTGTAGGATTTATTTCAATCCTGCTAGTGTCTTCAAGTTTTTGCAATTATTATTCAAATATCCAATAAACTTACTCCAATCCCTTTGAAATTTTTGATCGTCCTGGTCCTGAATCCTGCAAATCAGTGGCCAAGTCTGCAAAGTCCATCATCTTTGCCTGCCAGTCTGCAATTATTGGTAACTCCTGTAACTTCCATTAAATGTTCTCGCTGCTACTGTGGTGTACATAAATAGCCTTTGGTCTAACTTCACAATTTCCTCTCCCATCAAACCTACCAAGAATGCTTCAGGTTTTTTGGGAAAGGTATATCTAAACATCTTTTTTTAATTCATTGTAGATCAATTCCCAGAATGTTTTTACTTTGTCACACGTCCACCACATATGGTAAAAATCTCCATCTGATTCTTTACATTTCCAGCATGTTTTATCTCTCATCCTATACATTTCCACTAACTTTACTGGTGTCAAATACCATCTATACATCATCTTCATTACATTTTCTTTTAATGCCATACAAGCCGTAAATTTCAAATTTTCATTCCATAGTTTTGTCCAAGAATCAAACTCAATATTATGCCCAAAATCTATTGCCCATTTTATCATCACTTCTTTGACTTCCTCATCTTTAGTATACCATTCTAACAACAAATTGTACATCTTAGATAATAAATTGCCTCTGCTTTCCAACAGATCAATTTGAAATATTGATTTTTTATTTTCAAAGCCACCCAGAAAACATTTTCAGGGTGCATAGTGGGCTGGAGGGAACAGGAGAAAAAAAAGGAAGTTCCATTGTGTGCACAGAAATAGGTCGCGCGAGTGGAACAGAACTGGATACAGCACTAGGGTTTAAAAGGGAATTGGACAAATTCATGGCAGAAAGGTCCATCAATTGCTATTAGCCATGACAGTTCAATGGAACCACTATAGAGGAAGTACACTTTGCATTAGGGCAAAGAATGAGGGATATTTTTTGTCTTCATCCCCTGCTTGTGAGCTTCCTAGGAGGATCTATCTACTTGGGGAGCAGGATACTAAGATAATGGACCTCTGGACTAATCCATCAAAGGTCTTCTTGTGTGCTTATGGTCTTAAACCTTTGATAAAGGGACAAAAGCAGACCAAATCTCACTGAGTTGGTTTTTTGTTTTTTTTAATCCAGTTAACAGACTTAAGGTATACAGCACTATACACTAACGGAGAAATGGGGAACCTGTGGCCTTCCAGATGCTGTTGGACTATAAATCCCATCACCCCAGATCATTACCCACACTGACTGGGGCTGATGGGAGCTGGAGTCTAAGAATATCTCTGGAGGCTCGTATGTTCTCCACTAATGCAAACCATGGGCACCTGTGCCTCACCATAGCATGTACAAATACAGCATTCATGTGGTTAAAACAAAGGGTTACAGAAAATACGAAGGGTATTAGCATATAGTTGCTATTTCAGAAATGTGAGAATCATCTTTAAGGCTGGATTCCTACGCAACTGAATTCAATGGAACTCAGACCTGAGAAATTATATATAGGATTGAGCTGCAAATCTGTTCAATCATTCTGACAAAGCAATGGTATAAATTGGATGCTAATACAATTTCTATACCAAAGGGGCTCAAGAGGAGGAGAACTGTAAAACATTTATTTTAGCCATCCTGCCCTGCCTGCAGGCTCCTGTCAATCATAAAAAGACCCATTCAGGGCCATTTATTTCTGGCTGCAAGAAGGCTATTTGGAAGCTATTTCACCAGTTGCTCAAGCTCCTCAAAATAGCACTCAGCAGCAGACTGACCATTCGTAGTCTCTTGACTCTCTGTTTGTGACATCTTCGTCTAAATAAATCACACAAATACCACCACACTGATACAAATACAAATCAGTGGGCTTTGGTATATTATTATACTACTAAGGCTACTTTTTATGGCCTCCACTGATTTCTATGAAATCCTCCTATTACCTCAGAATACATATTTTTAATGAGTATTTTCCCTCTGATTAATCAACTGGTCTTGTTAGGTTGCAATCCTGTGCACACTTCCCTGTGAGAAAGGCCTATACACACTTATCTGAGAGTAAGCCCCACTGATCTCAGTGTATAGAACTGCATGCTAAATCAAGTAAAGATTGCAATTATATATATCTGTATGTGTGTCTGTATACACATACATGTGTACACATGCCAATGTAACATTCAGGACTAGGGGTTAACCTTAAAGTGCTAAGGGGTTAACCTTAAATTCATTTGCTGAAAATATAAGTTGAAACTTACATGCGCTTAGTTTGCACACATTCAGCTTTATGTACTTGGTAAAAAAATATTAAACAAAAAAGGGGGCGGACGGCTGGGAAAAAAGATTTTGGCAATCCCACCAACTATTGAACCCAATGTGTTTTGACTGTACAGTGGTACCTTGGTTTACAACCATAATCCATTCCAGAGGTCCAGTTGTAAACCAAAACAGGTTGTAACCCAAGATGTGCTTTCGCCAATGGGGCCTCAAAAAAAAAATTGGGTTGTAATCCAAAAAAAGGGGCACGCACTTCTGGGTTTGACATGGTTGTAATCCAAAATGGTTGTAATCCAAAATGGAAGCAAACCAAGGTACCACTGTACACAATTTTGGCTTTACACTCTATCCCTGGAACATAGCCACCATGTAAGATATGAGTTGCCGGTATGTAGTTCTCCGATTAAATACTATTCTTGGCTGTGAAATCATGAAAAGTATATAATTATGACATATGACATGGGCCAATTGCATGGTTTTCCTCACTCAGTGCCTATGCCTATGCAATGTTTCAAGTCATTTGACAGCAAAGCCACTTGGTTCAGCACCCCCTCTCCAACTCATGCATGCTGCGTTTTAAATGCCCTCCACTCAAACACTTCATAGGACTTCAGCTTATGGGCTGTGCCATAGTAATGTCACCACTGCTGAAAGTCAACAAATCAAAGCTGGGCTAATTTCATTTCCTACCTGGCTGATAGAAATCCGGAGATAGTTCCCTGGCCATCGACCTGGCTAAAGTGGATTCATTGTTAGCTGCCACTGCTGCTTGCTCAGCCCCTTCTGACTTGGCTTTGGCATGGGCAGTCCTGTGGAGAGAACATCCATCATGGCAATTAGTATTTCCATTTGTTGCCAAGGCTGTCTTAGGCTGAGTTCCTCAGCCATTTATTCCAAGGTGGCTCTTCTGATGCGAATAGGACTCTTCTTCAATAAATGGTTTCATAATGACAGCCTTGCATGATGCTCAGTTCCTTAATATAGATGACCTTGCTTTGTAATTAACTGTTTTAAACATAAAATAAAAGGAGTAAGGAGGAATGAAAAATACATATTATCATGATATACATTTTACTAGCTTGTTGATTAGTAGATCCAGCTTTTGTATTTATATTTATGTTGCAGTGTTCTTAGCAAAGTATAGAGTTCAACATTTTCTTCTGTTTTATTACACCAGTACATCATAAAATAAACTCCACTTCTCCATAAGCTAGTTAATAATTTGTCTCCCTTCCTGTACTCTACTATATTGGGCAGCTTGACTTCCCATATCTTCATTATCCAGTCCTGCAATGTTGGAGCATTTACTTTTCTCCAACAGTGAATAATGACCACATGGGCAGCAGTCAATAAATGTGCAATCATTGACCTACCTTGTGGGAAAACAAAAACTTTTACATATCTCAAAAGCACAGATTTCCTGGTAAGTTATATACTGTTATACTCTCAATTTCCACTAATATAGTTACCTTGCTTATTGTCCATAAAGCAAAAATAAGCTCCAAGTTCCTACAATTTCTTATTTGTCTTATTTTGAAAATTTGATGCCTAAAAGATTTATGACACCTATATATAGCCTGCTTGCAGTAGCAGGTTGCTTGAAAAACCAACAAAGTCAAAAGAACATAAGAAGAGCCCAGCTAGGTCAGACCCATTTGGTGCAACATCCTGTTCTCACAGTGGCCAACTAGATGCCTGTGGGAAGCATGCAAGCAAGACCTGAACCCAACACCACTCTCCCCTTCTGCAGTTTCCAGTATTCAGAAGCTATGGAGGCAAAACATAGCCATAATGCCTAGTAGTCACTGATAGCTAGTCTTATCCACGAATTTGCCTAATCCTCTTTTAAATCAAAAAGTTTAGGGATGCAGGTGGCGCTGTGGATTAAACCACAGAGTCTAGGACTTGCCGATCAGAAGGTCAGCGGTTCGAATCCCCGTGACGAGGTGAGCTCCTGTTGCTCAGTCCCTGCTCCTGCCAACCTAGCAGTTCGAAAGCACGCCATGCAAGTAGATAAATAGGTACCGCTCTGGCGGGAAGGTAAATGGCGTTTCCGTGTGCTGCTCTTAGTCATGCTGGCCACATGACCCGGAAGCTGTATGCCGGCTCCCTCGGCCAATAAAGCGAGATGAGCGCCGCAACCTCAGAGTCGGTCACGACTGGACCTAATGGTCAGGGGTCCCTTTACCTTTACCTTTTAAATCAAAACTCCCAGACTCTTTTTATTATGAAGATTACAGATTTATTCTGTTCACATTAAGCAATCATCATTGAAAAAACCAACAAGAAAATTGTTGTCACTGACAAAATTCAATTCAGTCCTGCCCCTGCCCCGTTACTTTGGTTATGTATGTTATCTGCTACTGCTATTGTGGATAAAGTGTGACGTTTGTGCAACAGTCATGGGCATCTACTGAAGATACCCTTTCTGCACAACCAGATTTTTTGCTCAGTAATTGCAGTGTTGCAGCTTTCCAGATCTAGCACATTTCCTCTGCTCTCAAAATACACCAGCTGGCGGAAGAAGCACATATGATAACATATGGCAGTCAGAATTGTGAGAAAACATGGTAGCTCCACAACAAAAGTGCTACCTTGAAAGGAGGCATTTGGGTGCAGCATACGAGTAACAACTGTGCGACTGTTGTGCTGTAAAGTGATAGTCTGAGAAGGCTTTTTAGCAAGGAAGCAGAGATGATCATGTACAGTTCTTCTCCATAAAATAAAAAAATCCTTCCAGTAGCACCTTAGAGACCAACTAAGTTTGTTATTGGTATGAGCTTTCGTGTGCAAGGAATTTTTTATTTTGTTTCAACTACAGCTCCCTACCTATATCTAGTTCTTCTCCATGCAAGGTATGCCAAGGAAAACTAATAAAACGTATTTCTTTATTTTCTTTCTGATACTTTTTATTTTAGTTTTCACAATATAAACAATAACAAAGATGCAGCAAGAAACAAAGCACAAAGTCAAGACATGCAGCACAGAGCATAAAGTCTGTTTCAATCTGCAAAATGAAGAGTGTCCAGCTGTTGGACCAGCCAGAATATCCTATATGCTGTAGGAAGGCTCTTGTTGTCCATCTTAGCCACGCAAGCAATAAAACAATACAGTGGTACCTCGGGTTACATTCGCTTCAGGTTACAGACTCTGCTAACCTAGAAATAGTACCTCGGGTTAAGAACTTTGCTTCAGAATGAGAACAGAAATCGTGCTCCGGCGGCATGGTGGCAGCAGGAGGCCCCATTAGCTAAAGTGATGCTTCAGGGTAAGAACAGTTTCAGGTTAAGAACGGACCTTCAGAACAAATTAAGTACTTAACCCGAGGTACCACTGTACCATTCTGCTGTAAATGTGTCTGTGTTCTTTTCCCCCTCTTGCCATCCTCAGTTTATGGGGAAATTTCTCATTCGAGGCAATCTGCCGTATCCATTGGTACAAAGTTCTGGGAGAAGCCCCCTCCATGTCCTTCCAATAACAGTATCCAACATCAAGTCCCACAGTGGCCAAGCAAATAAACCTGGGAAATTGAGAAATAGGGCATGACCCTTCTCTCTGCTGCTCCCCAGCATCTGGTACTTAGAGGCATTCTGCCCCTGAACCTTGAAAGAGCATACACACACACACACACACACACACACACACACACCATGGCTATTAGCAATTGATAACCTTCTCCTCCATGAATTTGTGTAATCCCCCTCTAAAGCCATCTAACCAAGTGCCCTTCACCATATCTTGTGGCAGCAAAGAATCCTTAAGTCAGGGTAGCCAACAAGTTGCCCCTCAGATGTTGTTGCCACTCCCATCATCCTTGACCACTAGTTATGCTGGCCAGGGCTGACAGAACTGGAGCCCAACAGTATCTGAAGGGTTGGCTACATCTGCCACAGGTTAACTATGTGCTGTATGAAGAAGTGAATCTTTCAAAGGCACTTAAGTATCTACATCCCAATGAAACATTTCAAGAATCTCACATGAGTCACTTAGTGTGTACACAGCACTCTCTGCCCTCCCTCCAGCAATTCTATTTAGATAACCCACAGGACATTCTGTTTCTTGATGCACAAATCCCACCACGCTTCAACCTCCTTTGTACTGAAAGCACGATTCTTCCTATTAACTCATCCAGAGAGACCCCTATCCTTTGAGGGCTGTTCTGTGGGGGAATGCTTTTGGCACCCTGCATCCTGTTAAGCAGCTCTCTGGCTCCACGACCATTTGGAGACATTTGGCCGAGGAGGTAGAAATCTGCAGTTTTAAGCCCTGACAGCTCACAGAAGGCCCCCAAGAAGCTGTAAACAGGCACAGCATCTCCTTTTTTGGTAGCATATAATCAGTGTGATTAATTCCACTGTAATCTGTGGGAGGCCCAATGGCATATTTATGTCTTATTGTGCTTAAAGAACTGATGTTGGAAGCAAAGTGTCCAGAATATGCAGCACAAGGTAAAACCAGATCTTTAGCCACAAAAGCTTTAACTCTCCAGAAGAACTCACTGAGAAGAGGGACAGCGTGAAAAACCCAATCAAAGCAGCTAATGGGCAAGGAGTGACTGGGAAGAGATGTAGGATTCATGTTCCTCCATTAATGCACTTGATGTGTGTCTGTTTATGGAGAATTAGGAACATAAGGAAGTTGCCTTATATCAAGTCCAAATATTGGTATGTCTAATTCAGTATTATCTAGTCCAACTGGCAGAGGCTCTCTGGGGTTTCAAGAAAGGAGTTTTTCCCTGGGCCAATCTAAAAATGTTGAGGATTGAACCTAGGACCTTTCGTATACAAGCATGTGCTCTACCACTGAGCTATGACCTTTCCCTCATTTCAAAGGAGTGGTGCTGAAATCTGTATCCTTCAACACGAAAATATGAGCATAGAAAATTTTGGAAGTTGCCAATATATATGTTGCTGGCTCACCCATTAACTTGTGCCTGTATATAGCCCTGGGGACAATTATTTATTTTTGCAATACAAGACACTATCCTCAGTGTAATGTAGAAAATGACTTATTGTGATTAATGGTAGCAATATAGGGATATAGCAAACAATTCAATATTTTTTCTCCAGTAGTCTTCACAAGCAGCAACATTCCAATAGCACCTACTATCATCGACTCTATTCTTTAACAAAAAGATGAGGCTGTGCTATGGTGGAAAAACTTATTTTCCTTTTATTCGAAACCTCTCCTGTCACAGCTATGTAACATGGCTACCTCAATGGAAGTTCAAATATCAGCTAACATCTTTCTCCACTGACAGCTATAAGCTCAGCCCTCCTCAGTCATTCGTGACTCCAGAAAAATGAGATCAAAGGAACAACTTGGCAATAACATCAGACAACCCCTCATCATGCTAATCTTCAGGCGTCTCCTTGCACAAGGGTCTTCCCTCAAAGGCTGCCGTCTAGAACTTTAGCATGATTGCATCAGCCCATCTTAAGCAGCACCTTCCTTCTAAGCACAAAAACCACCAACAAAGCCAGGGATGGATGAAGAAGTCAACCAGAGTTGGTCCTCCTAAGATAAACACACCTGAAATACTTGTTTGTGTTCATACAAGGAATGAGTAGTGATGGGAGCAAACAGCTTTGTAATAAATTGGGTGGGGTAAATTGAAACTTGAATTGGTATGAGATCAAAATGCTGTTTATATCTTCTTATGTGATAGAGCCACACTTGCACTTGTCCTGTGCTTTCGAAGGCAAGGGACTGAGTTTTCTGTTTGCCCCACCGCTTTCCCTGGGAAACCTGCCACTTATCGCTGAATCAGAACAAACGTCAATCCATGGAAAACCTGATGGATGTTTGCTCCAATTCAGCTGTAAAGAGTGAGTTTTCCCAAGTGAAAACAGTGGGATAAGAGAAGTGTGAATGAGACCTCTATGAATGGTTTGGGGGCAGCTAGTAGGATGGCCACATAGGCAGAATTTAGGAATAATCACTATACTTTCAACAGAAATATATTACATTTCACCGTAGTGACTACGGCACCTCCATACTGTCACTATTTTGCAGGAGGGATTCAAGAGCATGGCAAACATTTAGGTTTGCAGTTAAAAGTGGATTAAAGTGCTCTGCCGCCCCAGCACAACAAGTTGACATAAGAAACAACAACAGACTTCTGTGGTTAGGAAAGTGACAGGGAAATCCACCGAAAAGTCTGGGATGAACAAGTGATCAATGGGAAGATATATAGACGCCTTGTGCAAGCAAGTCATGATAAATGCAAGATGAACAGTCATTGTTGTATAATTTCCCTGTAAACCAAATCATAAAAAAAGCTCAACAAAGGCAGTACAATAGTCTAGCCACTATGAAAGCTTTCTGGAAGCAAATCAGGATAAATGCTGAATAACCATGTCGCCTGGAGAAACCCTAGGTAGACTGGCGTGCCTGCTCATCCAGTCCCAATGCTAACTGTTGATGGGCAAACTTCAAAGTGCCTGATCTCTGTTCTTACGACTCTTAAAAGAACTTGTTTGGACTTGAACTGGACAACCTTTCAAATATAGGACTGTCTTCTGTAAAATAAGACTCATGGCCACCCTTGCAGGAAGTGAAGGACACTACATTCAGTATGACTGCAATGGGAATTCAAGCCAACAAGGCATTGGCATCTTGCAGGAATGTGAGTCATGCATTTCAATCTCCATTGCTGGTGACCGCTTACACATTGCCAAAAAAGAAAAAGAAAATGCATCACCAAGGGAGAGACAAATGAGGATGGGCAACGTCATGGCCCCTCCTGCTCCCCCTTCTTAGGGATATTTATTTTTAAACCAGGCTTGGATTGGACAGCCTTTCAGTGTCATGCCATGAAATTTACAACAGTAGGTACCATCATAGATCGAACCAGTAACAGAGAAAGGGGCAGGCAGCCTAGGAGGCAGGGGTGAGATGAAGGGTCAGGGTCGCAACCATGTGCCAGATGCACTGAGAGGAGAGAGGTGTGGGGAAAGGCATGAGGCTATGATGAGTCTCTAGATATAAGAATGACAGCCTTCACATTCCCCCACAGTCCTGCCTATTCCAGATAACTGGGTCAGGCTTCACAGGCAGAGCTCACCTTTCCCTGAATGAAAATGGAGGGCCACACTTCACAGTAAGCCAGGGGATGAGCTGCATTTCTATTAAGAGAGTCTTGGACAAATGGGCCCCAGGCCAATACTGAGAAAAAGTAACACTCACTGAGATCTGATACCTAAACACATACTTAACAAGAGCATCTATTTACCTGTTGAGTGATTCTGTCTATCCTTCCTTCATGGACCCTGGCAGTCTTTCACAGGTCACACAGATCATTTTGAATCCCCCCCCCCATTAGAAACCTACTGTCGCTATTTTCTTATCATTTAATAAAGAGGCAGGTTCTAAACAGTGGATCTGTTTAAAGAACGACTGCCCAAGGATCAACACCTAGGATCGCTCAGATAATTAACACATGATCAAATGCTCCAGTTTAGCTGAGGCACTGCACTTTAACATAATTAAACTAAACATAAATCAAGCCCTACAAGGACATCAATATCTTCTTGGCATGAAACCCCACAGCTACTTAGATCATTAATTGTGGAAGAGATTGAATGATTGATGTCCCTTTGGAGCATCCTGATCTGAGATGCAGTAGGCAACATACTCCTGCACGAGGTTGAGTTGGCAAGGAAGATTACAACCTTAACTAGGTTTCCTAAGAGGCATCTGAACTCTAGCCAGATGCTTGAAACAATAGTGAATTATCAAAAAGAAGACAAATGAGAATGGCGGGTGGTTGAATTATGGCTTTCTATGTGAACAGAAAGAAGAAGAAAAAACTCACAGACTAAACATATACCTAATGAAAAAACAATATTCTTTTACATATGGAGGTTATATCCACAGTGCAGCAGAACCCAAGATCTCATACGTCTTAATTCTGCCCACTGCTAGATAGGGATAGGCAAATCCATCAGTTTAGTTTTCTCTCTGTTTCTCATTTCCCCACTCTTAAATTAAGTTCTCTACATCTCCATATTGTTTTGCTTAAAAAAATGTCTTCATGAAAATTCAGCAGCATTTAGTACAAATTTCTCCTAATGTCTGTATGTAACTTTGTCTAATATACAAAGCCATTTCCCCTTATATACCGGTAATTGGTGTCTGTATGCTATTTTTACTAATGGTAGGGCCAGATTCAACTAACAAGTCCTGCTAATAGAAGCACCACACAATGGGGCTTTCCCCTCCCCCCACCTTCAAATTGGCTAGGGGTTGCGGGGAGAACATACAGAACAATGTGTGGGACCAGTTGAGGGAGATTCTTCCATCCAGCAAGCTGAAATGCTTGTTCTGATAGAATGATTGCCATACCACAAACTGAATTCCTCCCCACCCCATCCATTTCGTGCATGCTTTCCACATTACTTTTCAGGAAAACTGCAGTGCAAAAAGTGTGAATTTCCAAGGATCGCTGTGTTTTGGTTTGCACACATAGTTTCAGAAAGTGTGGATTAGGTAGATTCACCTATAAATGCAAACTGAATCAATTTTCTCCCACATTCCTACTGCTGGCCTAGAGATAATCATGAAAAACCTGTCTGCTGGTGGCTGGCTAGTATCTCTGCTCTCTGCATCACTGCTGTGTGGAAAAGAGAGAGCCTGAATGAAAGGGAAAGAAAGATTTTATCTCCATTTTCAATCTCTGCAACGGGTTCTATTATACATGGAAGTATCAGAGCAAACACCCTGCACAGGAACCATATCTAACATGGCGGGGGCTGACGACTGTCTGACACCCTGCTCCATCTCCTACATAACAGATTGTTTTTTTGTTTTGTTTTTAAATATTATTTATTAATAGTTTCAGAATTATAGGGAAAAAATAAAAAATAAAAAACAACACTACAATACATAAAAAAGAAGAAAAAACGCAAAAACAAATACAACAATACAGCAAAAAGATTTTTAAAAAAGGAAAAAAGAAAAAAAAGAAAAAGACACAAATCCCAAATTACATATCTTTAACTTCCATTTGCTTGTTTCATTGACCTCCTCACACCTCCCTTTTTGTATTCTAGTTTAATTAGTTATTTCAGCAAATTCTTTCCATCTTTCTCAATGTTTGTTAAATAATTGATCTTAACAATTTAACCTAATAATTAGCTCAACAAATCCTTTCCATCTTTCCCCATATTCTGTTATTCAAATTACCTTAATTTATTTAACCTTATCTTACCATAAAGTACCTTAAAGCTTGAATCTTAATACTCAAATATACATAACTCCTGATATCATTTCTGCTAGAGTCATATAGTTTCATTCCAACATTTTCCCTAATATTCATTAATTTTAGGCTAATTTCCTAAATAAAAAATTTTCTGTATAAATTTTCTTCCAATCTTCATCTAACGTCTCTTCTTCCTGGTCTCGGGTCGTGTCAGTCCTTACTGTCCATTCCATCTAGTCCATCAACCTGGAAGTCTTATGTCCGAGGCCCTTAAGTCTCTTCCATGTCCCTTCTGCAGATCTTCTTCTTCTTGTTTATACTTGCCCTTTTCCTTGTCTTTTGTTGGTCTCTTTCTTAATTTCTTTCCTTTCTCATTGAGGAGTAGGTCTCTGGGGGATTCCAACCCAAAATTGTCTCCATCTCCCTTCATCAAACCCGCCCATTCCCCACAGTCCCACTCCCCACAGTCAAGGTCTCTCCAAAGATAGGAACCTCCTCAGCTCCAGACTCCCCCTGGCCCGCTCCAACTTCAATCTTCAATGACAGCGGCTTATGCTCCTGTAGGGCCTCGGGTCTCTCCATTTGTATTATTTGAGGTGCAACCGCATCCTCCTCCATTATCTTCTGCACTTGCCCAATCAGTACAGGTTCATGAATTGGTCCCTGAATGGTTTCTGTATCAATGTTCCCTGTTTGTCCACAGTTATTAACCACAACAGTCATCAAGTCCATTTTCTCATTCATCGAATCCATCTTCTCATGCATCTGTTCCAGCAAGGCACTTGTCTTGCATAAAGCAAGCACCCAATCTTCCTCCCAGCTCATCTTTAGTCAAGGTCAAAAAAGACTGGTCCCACGATCTTAATCTCACAGCTGCTGAGTCCTTAAGTATACTGCAGCAACAATTTGACAAGCTCCCTCTAGAGGAGACAATTTCTATTTGTATCCATTTTTTTTTTAAGGCAAGTCCAACAAAGGAAAATTACTTTCATTTTTCAGATATTTTTCAGATATTTTGTTTCTTTAGAATGCAAAAGGCAACATTGGAATCAGTTTATTTCTCTTCTTTGGCTATTTGTCAAAGTATTCCATTCACAGTCAATGAACCTCTCCAACTATTTCTGTCTCTGACACCCCGTTCCCAGGTTAGAGACGGTGGAAACTTATCCTTCTTCACTTCCTCTCCTGCAGGGGTTAAACAAAGTTCCCCCCCTTTTCTCCTGCTTCCAAGGGGGTTTCAGTAATTCTAAATGAAGGAAATTTAGACTTTTTTAACGGCTTTCCAGGCTTTAGCTTACAAAATTTTTGCTTTAGTCTATATACAAAAAGCGGAAGGCGGACTTCCTGTTTTGAACCTTCCCGCTTCGATGCCAAATTAAGATATTTCTTGATCCAATTTTCCGTTTCTACTCACGGGTACTTGTTTTAAATCCAATTGTCCACAGGAAAAAGTCAGCGCTCTTCGGCAATGGCTGTGCGGCTTCACTCCATGAAAATAGCAATCAGTTCGCAGCACCGCACTGCTCACCCCACTTCGCTCCGGCGCCCCAAAATGGGGTTCCCGGTGAGTAGGGGGGCGCTCCTGGTGCCCTGCCGAACCCCACGTTCCCAGGCTTCCTCCGCCTGGGATTTCTAGCGGGTCCCCACCTTCGCTGCGGCGGGAAGACCCAGTTTCCACGGAGCCCGTTCCTCCGGTCGGAGGAACTCCGCCATTCACCGATGGCGCTGACCCAGAAGTTCCATAACAGATTGAACTTTAGTTACAAAACTCAGTTGTAGTATGTATAGCAGACATGTCCAAAGTCCATTTTGGGGGCCTAATCCGGCCCCTGTGGCAGTTTATTTCTTGGGGTAAAATCCTAAAAAAAAACCTCAACATTTTTGAACCTAAAAAAGGATCAACAACTTTGGTCGGCCCTTACGGCCCTTCACTTCATCAAATCTGGCCCTCTTTGAAAAAAAGTTTGGACACCCCTGATGTCTATATGAATGGAGGAAGATGTGTATCAGAAGCATACCCCTCAAGTGTCCTGATTTAATCAGGACATCCTGAACTGACAGAAGCTGCCCCAGCTTCTGATCCCAATCCGGGATGCCCTGGTTTTTCAGATGCAGCATGGAGAGGGGCAACCTTCCCAGAGGCCACACCACATCTTGTGAGGCTGCAGAGCAGGAGGCAGGAGGCAGAAGACAGCAAAGATAAGAGAGAGGGGGAAAGGAGGGGACAAGCGAGAAGGTTGAGGCAGGCAGGCGAGGAAGGGGTCAACGACGGGGATGGTGGGGGGTGCCCTGAATTTTTGTCACAAAATGTTGGAGGATTTGCAGAAGAACATTACTAATACGCATGTAGGCTTGTCAAGGGGCTAGGTTCTATCATTTGTGGCTTGAATTCAGATAATGGGTCACAATTTGTTTTAATTAGCTATCCAATGCCAGGATGTTTCTCTCATCACCTACACATCCTTTGTGAAGAGATGCTGTTAAAAGTAATTGTCACTGTCTGAACTGTCTGCATTCCATTGCCCTCTGACCTTTCTATTTACAAATTCTCTCACAACACCAGCAACTCAAGGAAACACATCTGATGAATCTTATACCATACTGTATTTGTTAGAATTTAAGGTAGCACAAGCATCATTATAGGCTTTCCTACAATAGATGAACAGGGCTCCCCTTCTGGGAAAATGATGGATGTGGGCTCCCTATTCGCAATGGGTACTGAGACAGGCTCTGTCTTCTCTTCCTCCCTTGACAAGAGTGGAAGCCAGTGTAGCTGTGACAACTGGCCAACAAACATGTCCCCCTTGGATTGTTTATGGGATTTTCAGCATCCAGGTTTCATTAGACTGTAAATGAGATTTGGATTAGCAGAGTCCTGCAAATGTTACTTCGAAAACATCTAAGAGCTCTGCACAGTGAACAGATGCCAGGCTGAATCTGCAGCCCAGCCCAGCCCAGCCCAGCCGAATACTGAAACTCTTATCAATGTAAGATTAAAAGCTGGAATCCACAAATGTCGGTCCTGTGCAATGTTCAATGTTCCTGTGCTTTCTGTATGGCAGAAGGGCAATGACTCAGCCCTGAGATAATGTTTGCCTTCAGAGGCACTTGGAAGCAGTATGACTACTTATGGCTAACAAGTGCCTCCAAAATCCAATACAAAGTCAGAAGTGAGCCCCTGCCTAGCTGTCTCTCACTTTGTGTGTATTTGTTTGTGTGCATGTGTGTATGCATGTCACAGATGCAGTTTAAGATTGCCACTGGTAGTAGGCTGGTGAACACATTTGCAGACCCTTGATTAAAAGATAATGAATGAGCCTTGAAAAATTGCATTCTGGGATCCCACACCTACCAGACCCATCTGTTATCTACCTTCCTTTGCTTAAAATCAGAAACACAAGTTCGGTTTAGGAGTTTGCCTGAACATGCAAAGAGTAAAACAGGTGAAGGGGCATACATGCAATCCCTGGCCCCAATGTTCCTGGGCATGACAGTTGCTGTCTAAACCTCTGTATGAGTAGCACAAAGGTCTGAAGAAGTTTCTCAAAAGCATCTGGCTGCCACTGTGAGAATCCTGGAGGTGATATGAAAAACGTCTGCCTGAGACCCCTCAAGGGTCAATTTTTGACCCTTGGGCACATTTGCAAACCAAAGAAATGTCCATGGGGACGACAAACACTCTGCAACCAAGCACACACCTTAATGTACTCTCTGCTGGCTACAACAGAATGCCTCTTTAAAGCCTAATTTCAGTAGGGGACAAACAGGCATCTTTGCAGCCACCTGACAAGGCATGGAAAAAATTCAGCGAGCTGGACAAATAATCTGACCTGATGTTACATTTGTTCACAGAATCATGAGTGTGCATGTATGAAGCTGTCATGCAGCAGATTGGGATTGTTTTCTTGCAAGCATGTAGTTTTATGCGAAACAACTCTAACAAGTTTAAGATTGACAATTAAAAGTACTTTTATCAAAACTAAAATGCTGACTTTGCTAACTGCTAATCCACCCATCACTACATTTTGCATTAACATTTTAGCATATGTAGATTTTATTAAGTCAATATTAGTTTCTGCTTCACTGCCTGCCGGGGAATGTTTTGAGCATGGGTAGGCAAACTAAGGCCCAGGGGCCAGATCCGGCCCAATCGCCTTCTAAATCCGGCCCGCGGACGGTCCAGAAATCATGTTTTTACATGAGTAGAATGTGAGCTTTTATTTAAAATGCATCTCTGGGTTATTTGTGGGGCCTGCCTGGTGTTTTTACATGAGTAGAATGTGTGCTTTTATTTAAAATGCATCTCTGGGTTATTTGTGGGGCGTAGGAATTAGTTCATTCCCCCCCAAAAAATATAGTCCGCCCCCCCCACAAGGTCTGAGGGACAGTGGACTGGCCCCCTGCTGAAAATGTTTGCTGACCCCTGGTTTTGAGCATTAAATTAATTTCCAGAATGCTGGAAGCGCATCAGCTGAGACATCATTTTTAATTCCATTGCTAACACAATATAAACCAATCAACAATGACCATGCATGACTCTGTTTTGTCAGCATAGTTTGGGCTTCATCCAATTTAGACTGTAAATTCCTCACATCAGGGTCATTGTTTATGATGCCCTGGAACCAGACACACCTAACCAAAGATGTTATGACTGAGGGCACTTTCAGACCTCACTTTTACCCCAGTGATATGGCAAAGGAAAACAGCTCATAGTGTTCCTATGATGTCATCTGTTTATTCCTGGCACTTGTTTGGGCATTCTTTTGATCTGGTGCTAACATGGTCACAGCTTTAGTCCAAGGACATTTCTACACACACTTAAATTCCTGAATGCTATCCCAGAATGCATCCAGGACAGCCACAATTTATGCATTTTCTCTTTGGGGCTATTTCATGTCATACTTGGGAGGGTATGGAGAGGAGAATTTGGGACAGTCAAAAGTGTCCTATATATATCATCTCGTCTAAAAAACAGGGATCTGCAAAGTATCTTCCTGGGAATCCAGGAATTCCTACGAAGCTTATTGGAGGGTCCTCAATAAGAAGATTAGCAATGGCAGGCAAGCTTCCGTGACAGGCAGTTTATCGCCTTTACTTATCTTCTGCTGCAACTACATGAGGGAACATTAGGCACATTCTAGGGCAAGCTCTAGGTTTGAGTGGGCAGCAAGGCCCAACTGACCTGGCTGGCACTCGGCATGACCTGAGAGCGTATCCTAGCATGGTCAGCAACATGCAAGGGCTCAATGGCAGGTCCAGAGGGGTTCCTCTGTTTATAGCGACTGATATGGGAAAATTCCTTGGAAGGGAGGAAGTTTGAAATCCACAGAGCTGGGAGAAACTGTCTCCCACCCTACTGCCTCTTTCTGGCCAACCGTTTTCTCTCAGTTAGGAATGGTCGTCGGGGTTCACTGAGCTCCAACGAGGTCAGCACTGCCTTAGCCTTCATGATTACTTGGTGAATTTTTTAAATGCTGAAACATTATCCTCAGCCCTAAATAGCTCAAGGCCATTTGCATCCTTCCTTGAAGGATATCGCCCCATGGAACAATCATAGGACTGAGACAGTCTGCCACTGTCTCCATGATAATGTATCTTTACCTACCTAAAAGTCCCACTCTAGCACACACACAAAAATTATAATAAAAAACCACTTTAAGGCTGCAATCTTAAACATGCATACTACAGAATTAGCCCCATTGCACATCATGAAACTTATGTGACCACATTAGAACCCTCCTCATTCCCATGAGAGATTTTCACAGGTGGCGCGTTTTTGAGATGGCAAAGTACCGGTATTCAACTTCACGGTCCTCTACCTGCGTTCTGAAGCTGTACATTTTCAAGAGGACCATACCCCATGCTTCTCCCAATCACATATAGCTGCTCTTAGACTTGCAAACTGTATTTATAGTTCTGCAGTCTCCAAAGGTCATGCACAACAAAGATACAAGCAGGCTGCTACATACAACCTCTTGAGATATAAAGATATGTGAATTATTGAACATCAGTAATTTAAGAAATTTGGCTGATTCAGTTCCAAAAGCAGATCTGAACCTGACTGCAGTAGATCTAGATAATCAGCCTCAGCCAAGAACATCTGTAGTTGCTCCACTGTTGCTGTTCTTTTCTTGTTTAAGAGAGACAATTAAGGTTTATTGCAGGCATAGGCAAACTCTGGCCCTTCAGATTTTGGGGACTACAATTCCCATCATCCCTAGCTAACAGGACCAGTGGTCAAGGATGATGGAAATTGTAGTCCCAAACATCTGGAGTTTGCCTATGCCTGGTTTATTGTCCAGCTTTTAAGCCTCTAATGACAGTCACAGCACTAGATCAACAGAGTGCTGAGATACCAGTGACTAAGATATTTTAAAAGCTCACAAACTGACACTCTATGTAATTTTAAAATTATCTATTACACATGCATACTCAGAAGTATGCCCCTTTGAGTTCAATGGAATTTATAGAATCACAGAATTGTAGAGCGGGGACCTAGAGGGTTATCAAGTCCAACCCCCTGCAATGCAGGAATCTCAGCTAAAGCATCCATGACAGATGGCCATCCAACCTCTGCTTATGCGCAGGTAAATTGCACAGATTTACAGCAGGTAGAGGTGTTTCAGCCCAGTATGTTGTATAATGATATACTCATTCTACCTCACCTTTCAATCCGAAAATATTCCCAATGAAGTAATAAAATAATGAAGTATTCAAATCATAAAACATGCAATTAAAATGACCCAACTTATGCAATTTAAAGCATAAATGAAGCACAAAACCTTTGTCAGGGAGTTCCACTGAGAAGGCGCAACTACTGAAAAGGTCTTCCTGACTTTCAAAAATCTTACGAGCATCATGGCACTTAAAAGGCCCCATCTAGTTATTTTCAAACATAGGGAGCTTCATATAAGTGTTGCTCTGTTCCTAGTCAGTGGGTTCTTCCTATCTATTTCTTCCAATTATAAAGGAAAAGTCCTCCCGTTAGTAAGAAAAAGCAAGCATGAGTAGGCAAGATTAATTCACAAAGCCAATGTAATTCTATTGAAATTATCCTGTTTTTGTTTCAACATTCTCACATTTCTTAGCCTTTAAAAAGTCACACTTTAAAAAGTCAAAGATATACTTTTTTCTTCTATATTTTGTCCTTTTAAAAAAGTGCCCTTTCTTTATTCGAGTTCCTATTTACTTCTACTAAAATAAGCTGCTGTTTAACTTCCAGGAAGACACAACTTTTCAGTGGTTCAGCCAGTAAATTTCTCAGCCTCAGGAGATTCTCTCTTTGCTGTCTTGCAGCTGTGAGCTTCTAAACGATCCCTACCATAAATAACCAGGTATGTATGTATCTGACAGGTGCTGAGGTTTGTAGAGCAAAAGAACTCACCGGCAGTGAACACACACCACACACATAAAGGTAGATAGGAAGCTGGAGAGATTTTCTCTTTTAATGACATAGAATAAAAAGTCCCTGCTGAGTACAAGCAGAAGCATCACAAGATGCAAACCTTGCTACCGGTATATCTTCTGTGCAAAACAAAAGATTCTGACATCCTCCTGCACCAGCATAATTTTCAACCAAGCCAACTTTTCAACCTTCATAGTGGCTGTGAAAAATGAAAATCTGGCTCAGTTGAGAATTGAACTGGTCAAGAAACATGTCAACATCTTTCCCTTAGCAAGTTTTGTCTTTTTAGATGATGACAGGTCTTGTTTAATTGACATGGGATTTCGAGGCAGGCAAATTGTTGTATCCTGCCATGGCACCTGCTGGTGAAGGGCAGGTAATAAATTTAAGGATAAGAATAAGAATGAGCCTTTTGCGTTTTAATGCTTTCAATCCAAAGGCCTTGGTGAATAAAGCCTGAAGGAAAAAGTGGCAAGCTTACTGTTACCACTTGCTAGATAATATATTTTCAAATAAGTGGATGTATTATTGACCTGCTCCTGTTATGTACAATGCACACTTAGTGACTTTCTGTTTGCAGTGCCATCAGCAGCAAACCACTCCTTCCAGTTTTCATAGTGTCTGAGGAAGCACCTGGCAAAATAAAAAAAATCTACTGTAGGATGCATCCTGACTGTTATAGGTACATATTGGATAATGCCTGTGACATCATAGAATCATAGAGTTGGAAGAGACCACAAGGGCCATCGAGTCCAACCCCCTGCCAAGCAGGAAACACCATCAGAGCACTCCTGACATATGGTTGTCAAGCCTCTGCTTAAAGACCTCCAAAGAAGGAGACTCCACCACACTCCTTGGCAGCAAATTCCACTGTCAAACAGCTCTTACTGTCAGGAAGTTCTTCCTAATGTTTAGGTGGAATCTTCTTTCTTGTAGTTTGGATCCATTGCTCCATGTCCGCTTCTCTGGAGCAGCAGAAAACAACCTTTCTCCCTCCTCTATGTGACATCCTTTTATATATTTGAACATGGCTATCATATCGCCCCTTAACCTCCTCTTCTCCAGGCTAAACATGCCCAGCTCCCTTAGCCGTTCCTCATAAGGCATCGTTTCCAGGCCTTTGACCATTTTGGTTGCCCTCCTCTGGACACGTTCCAGTTTGTCAGTGTCCTTCTTGAACTGTGGTGCCCAGAACTGGACACAGCATTCCAGGTGAGGTCTGACCAGAGCAGAATACAGTGGCACTATTACTTCCCTTGATCTAGATACTATACTCCTATTGATGCAGCCCAGAATTGCATTGGCTTTTTTAGCTGCCGCGTCACACTGTTGGCTCATGTCAAGTTTGTGGTCAACCAAGACTCCTAGATCCTTTTCACATGTACTGCTCTCAAGCCAGGTGTCACCCATCTTGTATTTGTGCCTCTCATTTTTTTGCCCAAGTGCAATACTTTACATTTCTCCCTGTTAAAATTCATCTGGTTTGTTTTGGCCCAGTTCTCTAATCTGTCAAGGTCGTTTTGAAGTGTGATCCTGTCCTCTGGGGTGTTAGCCACCCCTCCCAGTTCGGTGTCATCTGCAAATTTGATCAGGATGCCCTTGAGTCCATCATCCAAGTCGTTGATAAAGATGTTGAATAAGACCGGGCCCAAGACAGAACCCTGTGGCACCCCACTAGTCACTCTTCTCCAGGATGAAGAGGAACCATTGATGAGCACCCTTTGGGTTCGGTCAGTCAGCCAGTTACAAATCCACTGAGTGGTAGCATAGTCAAGACCGCATTTTACCAGCTTCTTTACAAGAATATCATGGGGCACCTTGTCAAATGCCTTGCTGAAATCAAGGTAGGCTACATCCACTGCGTTCCCTTCATCTACCAGGCTTGTAATTCTGTCAAAAACGAGATCAGGTTAGTCTGACATGACTTATTTTTCAGAAATCCATGCTGACTATTGGTGATCATAGCATTCCTTTCTAGGTGCTCACAGACTGTTTGCTTAATGATCTGCTCCAGAATCTTCCCTGGTATTGATGTCAGACTGACTGGGCGGTAATTATTTGGGTCCTCTCTTTTCCCCTTTTTGAAAATAGGGACAACATTTGCCCTCCTCCAGTCTGCCGGGACTTCGCCTGTTCTCCAGGAATTCTCAAAGATGACTGCCAGTGGTTCTGAGATCACATCTGCCAGTTCTTTTAATACTCTTGGATGCAGTTCATCTGGCCCTGGAGACTTGAATACATCTAAACTAGCCAAGTATTCTTGTACTATCTCCTTAGTTATTCTGGGCTGTGTTTCCTTTGCTGAATCATTTGCTCCAAATTCTTCAGGTCGGGCATTGTTTTCTTTATCGGAGAAGACTGAGGCAAAGAAGGCATTGAGGAGTTCAGCCCTTTCTGTGTCCCCTGTTTGCATTTCACCATCTTCTCCTCTGAGTGACCCCACTGTTTCTTTGTTCTTCCTTTTGCTACAAACATACCCATAAAAGCCTTTTTGTTGCTTTTAACCTCTCTAGCAAGCCTGAGTTCATTCTGTGCTTTAGCTTTTCTGACTTTGTGTCTACATGTGCTGGCTATTTGTTTGAATTCCTCTTTGGTGGTTTCCCCCCTTTTCCATTTTTTGTACACATCCTTTTTAAATCTTAACTCAGTTAAAAGTTCTTTAGATAGCCACCCTGGCTTCTTTAGGCACCTTCCATGTTTCCGTCTCATTGGTATTGCCTGACGTTGTGCTTTTAGTATCTCCCTCTTAACAAACTCCCAGCCATCATGAACTCCCTTTCCTTTTAGTATTACTGTCCATGGGATCTCACCCAGCACTTCCCTAAGTTTTATGAAGTCGGCTTTCTTAAAGTCAAGAAATTGAGTCCTAGTATGCTTGGCTGCTCCTTTCCGCTGTATAGTAAACTTCAGAAGAGCATGATCACTCGCGCCTAATGATCCTTCCACTTCTACCCCACTAACCAGGTCATCAACATTGGTTAGGACCAGATCTAAAATGGCTGTTCCTCTTGTTGCTTCTCCCACTTTCTGGACAATGAAGTTGTCTGCAAGGCCAGTGAGGAATCTGTTTGACCTTATGCTCTTGGCTGAGTTTGACATCCAACAAATATCCGGGTAATTGAAGTCCCCCATTACTACTATCTCCCTTCCTTTTGCATGCTTGGCCATCTGTTCCAGGAAGGCATCATCTATGTCCTCCGTTTGGCTTGGGGATCTATAGTAAACTCCCACAATGAGGTCACTGTTATTCTTCTCTCCCTTAATTTTGACCCAAATGCTCTCACTTTGGCTTTGAGGTTCTAAATCTTGGATCTCTTCACAGGTATACACATCCCTGACATATAATGCCACTCCTCCTCCTTTCTTGTCTGGTCTGTTTCTCTGAAATAGATTGTATTCCCCCATTATTACATTCCAATCGTGGGACTTATCCCACCAGGTTTCAGTGATGCCTATTATGTCATATTTAGTTTGCTGTACCAAGAGCTCAAGCTCATCTTGTTTATTTCCCATGCTTTGCGCATTAGTGTACAGACATTGAAGTCCATTAATCATTCCCCCGTGTCTCTTATTTAAGGATTTTTCCTCCCACCACTAGGTCTGCGTGCTGTTTGCTCCATTTGGTCTATGACATTTGGATGATCATCTTCATCAATTGATAGACTCCTACCTTCAGGAGCACTGTCTCCCTCCCCCACATTAGTCAGTTTAAAGCCCTCCTGATGAGGTTTCTGAGATTGTTGGCAAAAACATTTCTCCTAACCGTTGTGAGGTGCAGCCCATCACTTGCCAGAAGTCCATCTTCAAGAAACTGCAGTCCGTGATCTAAGAATCCAAACCGTTCCTGTTTACACCATTTGCGAAGCCAGCTGTTCACTTCCACTATTTTTCCCTTTCTCCCTGGGCCACGTCGTTCAACTGGGAGGACAGATGAGATGACAATTTGTGCATTTAATTGCTTCAATTTCCTGCCCAGAGCCTCGTAGTCTCTTTTGATCTACTGGAGGCTATTGCTTGCAGTGTCATTGGTTCCCACATGAACCAAGAGGAAGGGGTATTTGTCAGTGGGTTTTATGATTCCTTGCAGTCGTTCAGTTACATCTTGGATGTTAGCCCCGGGGAGACAGCACACTTCCCGAGACATCTTGTCAGGCCCACAGATCACTGCTTCTGTTCCCCTCAGTAGGGAATCCCCTATCACCACTACACGCCTCCTCTTAGGTTTGGTCGGGGTTCTTCCGTGAGCTGTCCGTTCCAAGGTCGCCTGCACATTCCCTGAGGACTGACTTTGCTGCTCGTCTTCATTTACCTGATCGACTGTAATGAGGGAGAGATCCTCAAATGGAGTCTGCTCTTCGTCTTCCATGCTAGGGGAGAGGACCTCAAAGCAATTGTGTATTTCTAAACAATCAGAGCGAACCCTGGGCCTCCTACTTCTTTGAGTCACGTTTCTCCATATATCTGGCTCCTGTGTTGGTGAACTAGCCTCCTTCTCAGGGGAGTCCCCTGTCTCCTCCTTGGTGGAGACGGTGTGCTCTGTTGCTTCCAAGAAGAGCTCCAGCTCTCTAATTCTTTGGAGCGTAGCTACACGTTCCTCCAGTTGCTGGACTTTGTCTTTTAAGAGGGCAATCAACATGCAATTGCTGCAGGTAAAGCTGCCTGCAACCTTTGGCAAGATGGCAAACATTGCGTAAGAACCTGCAGCTGTTCCCTCCCCCTCCATCTTGAGAACGTGTCGTTGGGGGTGGCTACAGTGGTCCTCCATCATAAAAAGCGTGAAGACAGGACAAATAACTCCCCCCACCAACACCTAGGTCTCCCCCCAACAAACATTTGAGACTAGCTCCCCTAAATCTAAAAGATGGATGAAACTGCGCACGCCGCTGCCCTGCAAGCTCTGATAAGCTCCTCCCACAGCTAATCACCTGCCTCAACAGAAACCCTGCCCCCTCTGACCTTTGCACAGGGAGAGCAGCTAATCAGCCACAAAGAAACACACACACACGAGAAAACCCTTTTTGCTCCTTCTTCAACTGCTGCCCTGCAAGCTCTGATATATATCAGTAGCTCTGATGAGCTACTGATATAAGCAGTAAATGCTTAATTAAAAACTGAAGTGGAGCTTCCTGTAAATAAACTGCAAATATGGGAAGAGCCGAGGAGGAGGGAAACGGCTGGTTTTTCCTTATGTGGGCTACACCACCTATACTTAAGTTTGCAATTCCCCACCCCATCCCTTCTTTTACGGAAATAAAATGCACAGAGTTTCAGCACAGGTTAGCATTACACATGCCTTGAATTAGCAAATATCGATCCTTTTGTAGGTTGGCCTTCCAGCTCATATCAGATTGGTGAATTTTTATTAAGGAAAGAAAACTATCCCTTTACTTTTTCTCTTGCATGCTCTGGACCAGGCAGGATCTCATACCATATAGTAGAAACAATAAAGGGTTACGTTGCACTATAAAAACAAACAGGCTTATTGTGCCATAAAGTATTGTAGGCTACAACCTGATGTGGCCTGGAAATCTGGTATGGTGAGTTTACTATCTAATTGCTGTAAATGAGTCTGTGGTTTGGACAAAGGAGAGTTAACAATCAAACAATGAATTACTGTTCCTTAGTGGATGTTCTTATATAAGAGCTAATGGGTAGAGTGCTCATGTATTCTACTTGCAGAGGGCAGTCCTCAATTTGAAGGTGGGCTATCCAGTTTGGTTTAAAAGTAAAGAACTATCAGAAGGGATAACTTTGAGGGAGGTGTAGCTGCTGGAATCCCCTTTTCTACCCAACTACTAAAGGTGAAAGAGGTCTTGTCCTCTTTTTCAGCTGCTACAGAGAGTGTTCCCAACTCAAAGCCAGAAGTGAAAATCTTACGTAGCTGCAGACAGTATTATTCCTGGTTGCATGGGTCAACAATTACACTATTTGTAATCCCCTCTTCAGCTCAAGGGAAACATTATCAGATTTGCTAATGAATTCTAACTCAGCCTGTTCACGTTCTAACCTCACTCTATGAACTCTTTTTGTTTAAGTTCAGTGACTCTAGGGTCAGCTGTAGAATCCATAATAAAATAAGTTATTTATTCCCTTCCACTTTCTTCCCTACTGCTGCCTTCATAGAAGCAGTTGGCTGCCAACCTGTGGCTCTCAGCAACACACAAACAAGCCACTATTCCCTGTACTCAGACAGCCACACCCACCGCTAGACGGGAAAGGAAAGGGCTTGGATGATTTGGCAAACCATGGTGTTGTTGGCACAAGCCATCATAAGCGAGTTGCTGCTGCTTAACAGGTTGCCATAGCAAAGGAATAGACACAGTGGTCAAAGCTGAGATTCTGGCTGGGAGCCACCAATTAGTAGGTTCATGCTATGGGAAGTGAGAAAATGTCATGAATCCAAGAAGCACAACTGTCCAGACTCCCAAGCGGCACCATTCCAATCACACTTTAAGAACTAGGTAGGATAGCCGTCTGTCCTTTACTTGAAGAAAGGCTCTTTTTGAAAGGCTATCCTACCCAAATCCAGATAAAGGACCCTAAGAAAGGTGAGCAGGTGCTTTGAAGTTGCCCATCAGCAGTTAGCACCTCAATAGCAGACTGAGCAGGCACAAAGGTCACCTGATCACAGGCTTCTCCACTCTGGTGGGATGTACTGTGGCTGCGTACAGACATTTTATTCTAGAATCAATGGAGACTGAGTATTTGGGTTTTTTTCTACATAGTCCACACAAAATCTAGATTCATTCATTCATTCATTCATTCATTTTTGCCCCTGAAAAGCACTTCTGAGAAACTGGTTTCATTCTGAATGTAAGATCTTTGTTAAAGATTTGTTCTGCTTTACCGCTCAGTGTGTCCCGTTCAAAACAGATGTATGCAGTTGCAGCAATGGGAGGGGGCGTGTAGCCACACTTACTCAATGAGGTTATGGGTGGGCATATAACAAGACTGCATTCATCACTTCCTTCTTCATTCACCTGGAGCATGTGCAGGGAGGAGAAGGCATGGGTAACCAGTTTTTGAAACTCCCATTGTTCTAGGCGCATTTTGCAACAGGGAATTTCATTAGCGCAAGCAGTTTCTGAGCTCTGGGCCTAGGATTTCATATTAAAACTGCAGTGGAAGGAAAGGAGGATATTTTTCTGCCTCCCCACTTCCAGCTACTCTCTGAAGACTGGAAAAGAGACCCTCTTAATAATAATTACGGGGGTGGGCAGGGGAAGGACTTGTATTCTTGTTATAAAGAAAAAGTGTGCCTAGACATTCCATTGTTGCACCCATAAACCTAGGTTTAAGGTGCCATTTAGCTCCTAGCTTTCATATCTCAGTTCCTAACACTGTAGGTAACCTAATCACATACCTGTCAACTTACAGATTTGAAAATAAGGGACCAGCAGCCTCGAAAATAAGGGATCAGCAGCCAAAATAAGGGATTTTCCAAGCACAGGTATGTTCAACTTCTGAGCCCCTCCAAGCCAAAAGCAGAAAGCCCAGCCAGCAGCCAAACGAAGCCTCAAGCGGTGGTTCTCACAGCGCAGCAACCCGGCAAAGGGGATGCAGCAAGGAGGTGACCACTGTCACCTCTCCGCTGGGAAGCGCTGAGCGAAGGCGAGTCCCCAGGCAACATGGCCGATTTGATCAGCACAAGGCATGCAAGCTCCACCCCCCAGTCGTTCTTAGATTCCTTATTGGGTGAGCAACGCAGCCAAGCAACCCAGTTGGAGCCTCCCTCCTCCCTGGCCGGCAGGGAGGGAGGGAGAGGAGCTGCTTCCTTTGAAACCCGGGAAATTTAAGGGACATCATCAATAAGGGACAGCAGCGGGACACAGCACTGGGATAAGGGAGTTTCCCGCCAAATAAGGGACGGTTGACAGCTATGTGATCAAGGGGAAAGTTTTCAAATAACCACACCCATCCTTGTGAACACCAGGATCAAGAGTCAATCTAGACTGAAAACAGCATGTTGACTATGTGCAGGAATAATTGGAGATTGAGAAACACGACCTTTTTGGCTACAAATAGGTTGGTGTGTATGCAGCCTGTATTTTTGTTTGAAATACTGTTTATTTGTTTTTTTTCAAATCACAACCCGAGATGGAAATATAATGAACCAAATTTAAGGACTGAAAAAATGAGAAACTGAGAGAAACTGAAATTGATAGGTCTGCCCACCCCTGATTTCCATATATGACTTGTCCCTCTCACATAAAATGAGAAATTGACATACAAGGTTCTGCAGACCTATATTTAGGGATGCACAACAAGGACCATTTGTAATGCTTGCCTCAAACACTGCAAACATGATGTCTTCCGTGTCGTAATGCTTTTCTAGTAGTTTGATGCATATTAAGGTCTGTAGTAGCAATTGTGAGCATTAGCACAACAAACTCCATGCACTCTTGCAATGGTATAACTGATGCATTTAAAAACCAGTTCCAAGCTCGTTTAACGGCCATATGTTCAAACTAAGAAACATTGGCACCCTCCACAAAGCATATTTCCCATGAACTTTGGGGGAGGAAGTCAACTGTTGTCAAGCCAGTTTGAAACTGGTTTACATGCGTATTGAGGATGCACCCATACAGTTGCCTAAAGCTGCAGGAGTCCGGAAGGAGCCAAGGGAATAAGTGGCTCAGAGACAGAGTTTTAGTTGCACAGGTGGTGAAACATCATCTAGCAGGCAGCTGGAAGGAAACAAAATCCGCTCCATCTAAATCCCTGCATATGATGTTCACCCACCATGGCCAAAAGGCAACTTCTCATCTTAACCCTCTGGTATAACAAGCTACAGAAACATCCCTGTAACACGTACACATCTAACTCAAAGAATACAAGTTCAGGGTTATTGCTGCTTTACCAGATTGGGTAACTTTATTAAATAACAAAGGGGCTTCCAAGGAGCTCAAAGCAGCATACATTATTCTTCCTGCACTCTATTTATCCTCATGACAACACTGTGAGGTACAGTCGGTTGCATATAGTGAACATCTTAAGTGTGTATAGTATACTCACTTACCAAAGAGTAAGTCCAATGCTTTTTCTTCTGGGGGTATGCAGGGGTACACATACCCCTAAACAATTTGTGAATCTTTGTACTTTTGTCCATTTATTGTATTTATTTTTCCTGATTTGAACTATAAAATTGTGATTTTCTTGAGTCAAAATGAGAGTACCCCTAAACATTTTTTTTTAGGGGAAAAAACACTGAGAAAATGGGACTTGCTTCTGATTGGACATAGGACTGCATCCTTACAGCACACTCAATGCCCCATGAATCACCACGTTCCAGGCAAGTTAACATGACCAAACACATTGCTAGAAATCAAGCAAATACAGCTTGATTTCTAGCAATGTGGCTTTGGAATTTTGCAATATCTAATGTCACATCTAGTTTGCCCTTAACTTCTACTGAAACATGAGCATTGATCCCAAAGTGCAATGTAAGAACTATTTCCAGTTTTAATGATTACTTTTTACTGTATGCACATTTTTCTTTTTCCCTCTTTATAGTGACAAGAGCTAAGGAGGGCAAGATAACTTGTATTTTTAAACAGTTGTCTAGAAAAAGGCTCTTGCTACTGAGAAAGGGGGTGAAAACCCACACACACAAAAATAGCTGTACAAAGAATTCCGGGTACACTAAAATCATGGAGAAATGGTTGTAAACTCCTTTGTAAAAATTGTTTGGGGAAACTTTCATTCTGCAGCTCATCAAAGCTGAGTGAAATGTAGTTAGCCCAACAGGATATGTATTTGATTGTTTTAAGATTTCTTGGGTGTTTTATGAAAAAGGCATATCTGCCAGAGTATCTTCTCCTACTCAACAATTAAAGATAAAAAGAACTCTCTCCCTGCATGTGTGTGTGTCTCCTTCCCACCCTTTCTGTTTAAAATGAAACTCCAAAAAGGAGACATTTGTGTGAGCCACCTTAGATCAGAGTATGGCCATATTCGGTGGGTCCTGGGGCTCACCAAATTAAGAACAATCTCCTTCTTATTGATGGTCACAGTCCCTCAGAGGTAAACTGTCAGGAGCAACATGCCAGCAGTGGATTGGGTCAGCCAATAGGGACAGAGTTTTCTGCTTGGCCACCCTTTCTCTGTGCCACCTCTCTCTTACACTTACACACACACGACACAAAAGAGGAAGCCATTCCTAAGGCAGTGATCTGGAGAGCAAGAGTGGACTCACAGTTTCCAGACCTTGTCCACCACTGACTTACAGAATGTCATCCAATAAGTTACTGGTTCAAATCTCAGCTCAACTATTAACTCTCTATGGCAGGGGTTGCCAATCTGTGGCCCTCCAGATGTCGGTGGACTACAACTTCCTGGCCATTAGCCATACTGGCTGGGGCTGACGGGAGTTGGAGTCCAACAACATCTGGAAGCCCAACAGTTTCTTTAAAAAAAAAAAATTTTTATTTTTCCAAAAACACTAAAAGAAAAAAGAAGAAAATAAAGAAAAAGAAAAACAATACAATACAATACAACACATCAAATTAACAAAACAAGATTAAGACAATAAAATAAATCAACCAATTTCATTATCTCTTCTTTCATTCACTTATTTCCACGACCTCCTCACACCTCCCTTTTTGTATTCCACTTCTGTTAATTATTTCAGCAATTCCTTTACATCCTCCTGTTTTCAATCCTATAATTATCTTAACTCATTCTAACCTTATTTTTTTCCCTTTAATACTCTATTAACCTATCTGTACTTAATTCCTTATAATATTTCTACTAAAGCCATATAACTTCATTTCAACATTTTTCTAACATTCATTAATTTTACAATATTTCTGTAGATAATCTTTAAACTTTTTCCAGTCTTCTTCCACCAACTCCTCTCCCTGGTCTCGGATTCTGCCAGTCATTTCCGCCAGTTCCATGTAGTGCATCAATGGAAGGCCAACAGTTTCTCTCCCCTGCTCTATGGCCATAAGTAAGCCACCATCTCTCAACCTTAGTATCCTCCCCCATATGTAAAGATACCAATCTTGCCTCTCTTGCAAGGGTTATTGTGATAGTGTACGTGAGGCAATGGGAACAATGAAGCACTGTAAAAAAAGAAAAATATTAAGCATTATGTAAATGCTCAGATTTGTGTTGTCTTCTTATTTTGACAAGAAACTATTGTTGTCAAGGATGGGTAAACAAGGGACAAACAAGAGACTCAGTAGGTTAATGACCAGGGTACAGATGAAGAAGAGAAAAGCAGCTGAGCTACACATTCTGGCCCAGAAGTACTGCCTCCACTGTCCCACAGCCAGCAAGGCTGACCTTAACTGAGAAAGTGACATCTACATCCATTCAGAAATACAACAGGCTGGAAAAATGGGATCAAGAGGCGAGCATCTGCAAACTTCCTGCCAGGACATGTCACATGGGAAAAATAAAGGCTGTTCTAATCTCATTAAGAAATCCAGTGGTCCCTGGGGAAACTATTTTTCTTACTGAGCTACTGACCACTAGTATTTCCAGGCAGAGTTGGAAAAGACTCCTGTCCAAAACCCTCAAGTAGATAATACCGAGCTACGTGGACCAGTGGTCTGACTTGGTATAAGGTAACTTTCTATGTTCACTCACAGTCATAGAATTTTGTCAACTCTTGACCTTTGCTCATTTCAGTGATTAAATTGCATGGGGCTAGAAGTCCATGCCAGTTCCATGAAAATGCTTTATCCCTGACTTTTCAGAAAAGGAAGGGCTTCCAAACCACACTCTCTTGTCCCAAGAGATACAAAGCGTATGATAGGTAGAGATCCACAGAAACTAGTGGATGCGTTTTAGGGTAGTGTGTATGTGAAATAACTTATTTGTGTCCCCCATTCACTTTTGCTCACATGCACCCATTCACACTACTCACATGGGATACACATACATACGGTACTCTAGTCACATACGCCATTCACACAAGCTGGGCTAGGACCTGAGCTGAGCACCATCTCAGATCCTGTCCCCTTTCATTGGCAGGGAGAAAGATTCAGACAGGAGCATATTCTGGCTGGCTATCAAGCCCAGCTATGATTTTTTGACCTTTGTCTATTGCACACCACTTTAGAAAGTACAGTGTGCCTCACAATCCTTCCTCACACCTCCTGCTCTAATGTGGGTAGTGACACAGAGAGTTTGAGAGGCTGGCATTCATAGAGAAGCTTCCATTAGAAAGAGACTTAAGGATATATGCAGAGTATGCCGCTAGCCTCAGGCACAGAAACTGAAGCACAAAAGAATGAATGGCACAGGGCTGGCCCAGTTCTTGTACAGCTAGGGTATTTTTTCTGTCTGCTGGACTTGCAGAGAGAGAATGAGGTGAGCAACCAGCTGCTAGGAGTAAGGGAATCATCAATACGGAGGAAAGGCGAAGAAAAGAACAGGGAAGACAGCATATATCTATAGGTATAATCCTGCCACTCTATGGTTTGTTGCCCTGCTCTAGAAAGTTAGGCGCTAAGCAGGGGCTGCTCATATCACATGCAGCAGCAGACAGCTCTTACACAGGCTAATTTGCCTTATTGTGCTTTGCGGCCAGTATCATGTGTGAGAATGACAAGTGCACACCTTTAAAAACTGCAAAGTAAAAAAGGGGGAGAGACCCCGCTATGTACAGACATATTGGCAATGCAGAGAGGGAAATGTGTGCAGAATGAGCATAAAGCTACAGCAAAGTGTCCAATTCCAGAATTAATTTTGGAAATACTCCAAGTCAAACTGGAATTTAGGAGTGGAATGCTACGCGGAATGGAATTCCAGCAGAATAAATGAATGGAATGATGGAGGTCTGCTTCTCCCTCGAACTCCATGGTGCACTGAGGAACAAGTCACGCAGACTCTTTCTGCTCAGACTTGTGCCGTGCAGGTTGCACCTGTCCCTGCCAGCCACACGTACTAGTGGGGATCAGTGTAGGCTGAAGCATTCTGCACACGCCTGCCTACACAGAAAGCCCTATGGATGAGCCCCATGAAGACATCAAAAGTGGAGATCACATTCCATGGGTCTCATATCACCACTGGCCCAGAATAAGAAAGCTGGTGCAGACAAAGCCTAAAAGGCATTCCTCTGGCTGCCGTATTTCTCCCCTTGCTAAAATAGTCCCTTTGAAAGCTCCATGACAAGAGTAGAACTGTTGGATATGGGCGTGGTTTGTAAGAACGTGAATTGTCCCTGAATCAGTTCTAGTTGAGCCCAGCTGCTCGTGGCCTATAGTGGCAACAGGCACCCTTGTCTACATGAAAATCCACTCAACTGGACCTGATTGAGCATCATGACATGGATGTCAATAGACACTTGGGTCAGTAGTGTGTTTAGAAGAAAGCTTCCAAACACACATCTTCAAAAAGAGTTTGGAGTGGCTATTTAAAGCAGCAGTGGGGAAGGTTAGGCCCAGAGGCCAAATGTAGTCCCCCAGACTCTTCTACTTGTCCCTTGGGAGGGACTCCCTAGGCCACACACCCTCATCAGGCCACACTGCCCCTCAACAGCCCTGCATCTACCTTGAGTGTTTTTGCCTTCCTAGAATTTGTCCTGGAATTCTGATAGGGCTTTTTGCTTGGGCAGAGGATAGAAAGGAGTTTGCAAGTCTATGTGGAAACTAACCTACTGTACAAAGATTTAAAAAATCACATCCATTGCTCTAGTCACTTTTGCCTAGTTACTTTTGCCTCTGGCTCCATCCCACTGGTACTTGGCACCCCAGAAGGGAATGTGGCACTCAGATGAGGGGGGGGGGAGGTTCCCCACAGCTGATTTAAGGGATGTCATAATATATACAACCCCCCCTCATATTTCTGCCTCAGCAAAATCCAAACTGTGCAATCATAAGAAGGCCTATAAATGTGTATAGATAATATGGATTTGCATAATTTATTCTGAATCCAATATTCAGCTTTTCTTATGAATTTGCATTTATTGGAAAGGAACAGGAGGGGAAAGGGCAGGCAAGGAAAAGCAAGAGAAGGAAAGGGCAGCAAAGGCAGAACCTTTATCAAGAACTTCAATTTTTAATTTCCCAACCATTAGCCCCCAGAATTAATATAATTCCAACTTGTTGTTTGCAATAAGCAGTAGAAACTTCCTTTTTCAGGAGAAAAAGACAAAAAAGCACAAATTTCTTAGGAAGCTGAATGTTTTGTCATGTTATTCTATGAGCACAGCACAGAATCTACACAAAGCCAGAACAGGTTTCTACTTAATGGACAAGCATGTAAGCTCTTGGTTGTTGCATTCTCCTGTCGGTTAGGTAAACTACTGCAATGCATACCCTTATTTAGTCAGGGCCTTCTCTGCTGACTCCAGCACTTTCAACACGTCATTTACACCATGCTCCACCAGTGTCCCCCAAGGAGACTCTCATTCCTGCCTATGTAATGTAGATTTGAAATGCTGAGCACACTGGAGATATAAGTTAACATTGCTTAAGAGCATGATTGGCCAGGAGAGTAAAGGAAAGTGATACGAGGGAGGGCTGCAGTTCAAGTCTCAGCAGATGAGCGGCTCTGTTATTTTAAGGGCGGGTGCAACGTGTCCCATGGAGACAGGCAACACCAACGGACGGAAAAGCTGGCTAGGATTTAAAACTCAATCCTTTTAAACAACTTGCTTCAAACAGACAAAAAACAAGCATACAAACTGGGCAGCAGAGGTCTGGTGTCCGTAGACATGTTTTTATATTATACTTGATTTTTTTCCTGAAGGGCAGAAAATGGTAGAGAGAAAGTCTGCAAGATGATTGATAACGGGCAGTGAAAGAGAGTCCGCTTTGCATGCAGAAGGTCACAGGTTCAATCCCCAGCATCTTCAAGTAAGGCTGAGAAAACCTTGGTTTGAAAACCAGTCACAGGTAGATGGTAACGACCCGGAAGCTGTCTGCGGACAAATGCTGGCTCCCTCAGCCTATAGAGCGAGATGAGCGCCGCAACCCCAGAGTCGTCCACGACTAGATCTAATGGTCAGGGGTACCTTTACTTTTACCACCAACCAGATGTGCCCTCAGTCAGCCCCCACCTGCCTGCTTTCTTACTTACAACCAGTAAGTTGGAGTGGCGTTGACTGTCAGGTGGCACTGTGGTCTAAACCACTGAGGCTCTTGGTTTTGCCGATTGGAAGGTCAGCAATTCGAATCCCCGAGACGGAGTGAGCTCCCGTTGCTCTGCCCCAGCTCCTGCCAACCTAGCAGTTCAAAAGCACACCGGTACAAGTAGATAAATAGGTACCACTGTGGTGGGAAGGTAAACGGCTTTTCCGTGCGCTCTGGTTTCCGTCACGGTATTCTGTCGCGCCAGAAGAGGTTCAGTTATGCTGGCCACATGACCCAGAAAGCTGTCTGTGGGCAAACGCAGGCTCCCTTGGCCTGAAAGCAAGTTGAACGCCACAACCCCATAGTCACCTTTGACTGGACTTAACCGTCCAGGGGTCCTTTACCTTTACCTTTCAATAATAATATCCCGAACAGCCCATTTGGCTACATACTACACAAACACATGCTAAAGCAGGTTAGGGAACCCTGGGCCCTCCAGATGTTGCTGCACTATGAGTCCCATCATCCCTAGCCATTTACCATGCTTGATAGGGTTGATGGGAGTTGCAGTTCAGCAACATATGGAAGGCCAAATATTCCTCACACCTGAGTTCAAATCATCAGGGAAAGCCTGGCTTTCTGTGCCATCCTTTCCTGATGCCAGGTTGCTGAGGATGCCAGTTAAAACCTTATCTATCCTGAAGTCTATCCTGCAGAGCTCTTTTCCAAATGAGGCCTGTCTGAGCTGGTCTATATTGTTTAGGAAGCAGGAGATGATGGTGATGGTGATGGTGGTGGTGGTGATGATGATGATGATTTTATTTAAATCTAGTTAGCTGTTATACCAGTCTTGTAAATAAGCCCACAAAATATACTAGCCTGCATAAATGTTGCTAGCCTGCTGGAGGCTGGCAGAGAGAATCAAACTGCTCTGACTGTCTTGCAGCAGCCTACTGTTTTTCTATGCTGGGCACATAGGAAGAGAACTTCCATTCTCCTGCAGCCCACTTTGTTTCTGCTCTGGAAGCATTCACCTAGAATCATAGAATCATAGAATCATAGAGTTGGAAGAGACCACAAGGGCCATCAAGTCCAACCCCCTGCCAAGCAGGAAACACCATCAGAGCACTGACATATGGTTGTCAAGCCTCTGCTTAAAGACCTCCAAAGAAGGAGACTCCACCACACTCCTTGGCAGCAAATTCCACTGTCAAACAGCTCTTACTGTCAGGAAGTTCTTCCTAATGTTTAGGTGGAATCTTCTTTCTTGTAGTTTGGATCCATTGCTCCGTGTCCGCTTCTCTGGAGCAGCAGAAAACAACCTTTCTCCCTCCTCTATGTGACATCCTTTTATATATTTGAACATGGCTATCATATCACCCCTTAACCTCCTCTTCTCCAGGCTAAACATGCCCAGCTCCCTTAGCCGTTCCTCATAAGGCATCGTTTCCAGGCCTTTGACCATTTTGGTTGCCCTCCTCTGGACACATTCCAGTTTGTCAGTGTCCTTCTTGAACTGTGGTGCCCAGAACTGGACACAGTACTCCAGGTGAGGTCTGACCAGAGCAGAATACAGTGGCACTATTACTTCCCTTGATCTAGATGCTATACTCCTATTGATGCAGCCCAGAATTGCATTGGCTTTTTAGCTGCCGCGTCACACTGTTGGCTCATGTCAAGTTTGTGGTCAACCAAGACTCCTAGATCCTTTTCACGTGTACTGCTCTCAAGCCAGGTGTCCCCATCTTGTATTTGTGCCTCTCATTTTTTTGCCCAAGTGCAATACTTTACATTTCTCCCTGTTAAAATTCATCTTGTTTGTTTTGGCCCAGTTCTCTAATCTGTCAAGGTCGTTTTGAAGTGTGATCCTGTCCTCTGGGGTGTTAGCCACCCCTCCCAATTTGGTGTCATCTGCAAATTTGATCAGGATGCCCTTGAGTCCATCATCCAAGTCGTTGATAAAGATGTTGAATAAGACCGGGCCCAAGACAGAACCCTGTGGCACCCCACTAGTCACTCTTCTCCAGGATGAAGAGGAACCATTGATGAGCACCCTTTGGGTTCGGTCAGTCAGCCAGTTACAAATCCACTGAGTGGTAGCATAGTCAAGACCGCATTTTACCAGCTTCTTTACAAGAATATCATGAGGCACCTTGTCAAATGCCTTGCTGAAATCAAGGTAGGCTACATCCACTGCGTTCCCTTCATCTACCAGGCTTGTAATTCTGTCAAAAACCGAGATCAGGTTAGTCTGACATGACTTATTTTTCAGAAATCCATGCTGACTGTTGGTGATCTCAGCATTCCTTTCTAGGTGCTCACAGACTGTTTGCTTAATGATCTGCTCCAGAATCTTCCCTGGTATTGATGTCAGACTAACTGGGCGGTAATTATTTGGGTCCTCTCTTTTCCCCTTTTTGAAAATAGGGACAACATTTGCCCTCCTCCAGTCTGCCGGGACTTCAACTGTTCTCCAGGAATTCTCAAAGATGATTGCCAGTGGTTCTGAGATCACATCTGCCAGTTCTTTTAATACTCTTCGATGCAGTTCATCTGGCCCTGGAGACTTGAATACATCTAAACTAGCCAAGTATTCTTGTACTATCTCCTTAGTTATTCTGGGCTGTGTTTCCTTTGCTGAATCATTTGCTCCAAATTCTTCAGGTCGGGCATTGTTTTCTTTATCGGAGAAGACTGAGGCAAAGAAGGCATTGAGGAGTTCAGCCCTTTCTGTGTCCCCTGTTTGCATTTCACCATCTTCTCCTCTGAGTGACCCCACTGTTTCTTTGTTCTTCCTTTTGCTACGGACATACCCATAAAAGCCTTTTTGTTGCTTTTAACCTCTCTAGCAAGCCTGAGTTCATTCTGTGCTTTAGCTTTTCTGACTTTGTGTCTACACGTGCTGGCTATTTGTTTGAATTTCTCTTTGGTGGTTTCCCCCCTTTTCCATTTTTTGTACACATCCTTTTTTAATCTTAACTCAGTTAAGAGTTCTTTAGATAGCCACCCTGGCTTCTTTAGGTACCTTCCATGTTTCTGTCTCATTGGTATTGCCTGACGTTGTGCTTTTAGTATCTCCCTCTTAACAAACTCCCAGCCATCATGAACTCCCTTTCCTTTTAGTATTACTGTCCATGGGATCTCACTCAGCACTTCCCTAAGTTTTATGAAGTCAGCTTTCTTAAAGTCAAGAAATTGAGTCCTAGTATGCTTGGCTGCTCCTTTCCGCTGTATAGTAAACTTCAGAAGAGCATGATCACTCGCGCCTAATGATCCTTCCACTTCTATCCCACTAACCAGGTCATCAACATTGGTTAGGACCAGATCTAAAATGGCTGTTCCTCTTGTTGCTTCTCCCACTTTCTGAACAATGAAGTTGTCTGCAAGGCCAGTGAGGAATCTGTTTGACCTTGTGCTCTTGGCTGAGTTTGACATCCAACAAATATCCGGGTAATTGAAGTCCCCCATTACTACTATCTCCCTTCCTTTTGCATGCTTGGCCATCTGTTCCAGGAAGGCATCATCTATGTCCTCCATTTGGCTTGGGGATCTATAGTAAACTCCCACAATGAGGTCACTGTTATTCTTCTCTCCCTTAATTTTGACCCAAATGCTCTCACTTTGGCACTCACCTTGTCACCTATGGCTTGTCACCTGTAGCTACTACTGAATTCAAGGCTGATTTACACTGCTTTTTGTTTGCTTGTCTTGACTTTGTGGTATCTCTTTTGATTGACTCCAACTAATTTATTACACAATGTCTTGGGGCAAGTTGTTTTGTTTGTTGTGATAATCTAAAATAAAAGCAAATAAACAGAACATTTGGCTACATTTCTCAAGGGAAACATGCCTGGTCTCGAAACTCAAGGGCTAATTCACAAGAGAGTGAGATGAGCAGGGGCTGCTAGCATGGAAATTGCAAGCCTTCTTTCCAAGTGTCTCAATCAGCTGCATTTGTGCAACACACAAGGAGGAGGAAAATGGCTCTACGTGTCTATTTCCCCTTGCTCAAAAGTTTCCTTAATAGGAAATTATGTCTAAGCAGCGCTAAGGGAGGGATGGAGTGCCCCCGCTCCACCAGGAGTGCATTCCAATCTCTGATGTAAACCACCAGAGTTCCCCCTTTGATTTGAAGTGTAAATAGTGTATAATAAAAAGATCCTTTTATAAACTGCCGAGCATTTGTGCAGCAGTTCAACAGCTCCAACACCATTATTTATAGCCTTGCAACACTTTATATGCATGACTTTTCCAGCATGCTGTGGAAGAGACCACAAGCAAAGAATCGGCAAAATCAGACAGAATCTCCTGTGCTAATATGGATGTAGATCATCATATCCCATGGATACAGATTCTTTAAAAATTACCTAAACCATTCTTGCTCATGTTAACCAGAGCCCAGGCCTATTCCAAACATAGATGAAGCAGAGATGAGGGCTCAAATTTTAAGAGTTAAAGGGTCAAAAGGATAAGGAAGCTGAATGCACACACACATTGGGGTGAGGAGTATGCGTCTGTGTGCCAACTCAACAGTGCTTAGTTTGGTTTTGGTTGCTAATGTCAATATTATTTTGTGGACTAGGAGTGCTGTAGTGCTTTGTGAATCTTATAATATGACTTTTGTTGTGTTTTTGCTGTTTAGCTTATTTTTTAGTTATTTAGTTAATTGTGTTTTATAGAATGTGACTATTTTACTGATGATTTGTAATTGTTTCACTGATGATTTGTTAATTATTATATAGGATTTATGTTGTCATTGTGATGTTCCATTACATTATTGTTTATTTATTATTTCTGAGCTGCTTTGTGATTCATGTGAGTGGGAAAATGGCATAGAAACATAATAAATGAAAATAGCAATTCTGTCAGTTCTGGTTTCTCTCACTTTATTATTCTTCCAGTCTCCAGTTCTCCACATTTCCCCATCAGTTTGCAATTAGAAAAAAAATTCAGAAAACCTGCATGAAAATTCACCAGAGAATTTTTCCTACAATATACATTTTTATGCAATGTTCCTTAACATACACATTTTGGCAAAGCAATTTCCCAAATGTAATATATTTTAATGTTATTTTCACTAACCTATGCATTTCAGTACACAGTTTACCCTAGTACAGGGGTCTGCAACCTTTAAGACAAAAAGAGCCACTTGGACGCGTTTCAGAAGAAAAAAAAACTGGGAGCCGCAAAACTCGTCATTATAAAAATAACTTTTTTGTCACTTTTTTATTATTTCTTTGTTTGACCCCTCAGAATTACTCCTCCTCATAGAAATAAACGTTAAATTAACAAGTTACCCTTTTGTGTGTGTGTGTTCTTCACTCCCCTTCAAAACAGTGACCAGCATACATGCCCCCTTTCAATGCAGTGACCAGCGTACATGCCCCTTACAATGTAGCGGGTGGGCGGGAAGGTGACGTCGGGACGGTGCGTGACTAACGCACACACCGCCCCCATGCTACGTCATAGCCAGTACAGCACCCGCCACAGTGGGGAGTGTCGGGGCACACAATGCGCCTCCTCCCCTCGCTAGTATCCGCCCCGGAGCCGCGGCAAAGGTGTAAAAGAGCCACATGCGGCTCTGGAGCCGCGGGTTGCCGACCCCTGCCCTGGTATATGCTTTTTTGTACACAATACTTTGCCAGAGAACTGCCCTGCAAACTGCTGAGATGTGCAAATTTTGAAAGATGGCTGTGTTTCAGTTTGCATATTATTTTGGAAATTGTGAATTAGATAAATTCGCCTTGAAGAGAATCTGAATACAATTTCTCAACCACCCCAAAGGTAAAGGTAAAGGGACCCCTGACCGTTAGGTCCAGTCACGGACGACTCTGGGGTTGCAGTGCTCATCTTGCTTTACTGGCCAAGGGAGCCGGCGTACAGTTTCCGGGTCATGTGGCCAGCATGACTAAGATACTTCTGATGAACCAGAGCAGCGCACAGAAACGCCATTTACCTTCCCGCTGGAACAGTACCTATTTATCTACTTGCACTTCGATGTGCTTTCGAACTGCTAGGTTGGCAGAAGCTGGAACTGAACAACGGGAGCTCACCCCGTCGTGAGGATTCGAATCACCAACCTTCTGATCAGCAAGCCCTAGTCTCTGTGGTTTAGACAACACCGCCACTCCTGTCCCTTCAACCACCCCTACCCACATTTTAACTCTCCTGTAAACCAGATACAGGCAACTCCCCACTTACATGGGGTTTAAGTTCTGAGCCCCCATGTGCATAAGTGAAATTGTGAAAGGTGGGGAGCAACCTCTAAACCCTCTTTAAACACCCTCTCTTTCACTTCTGTTCAGTCCATATCAACAATACCGTATCCAAAAATATCCACAACTGGAATTGAACCTCTGAGGCTGGAGGACATGTGGGAAAACCGCAACTGCAGCTGTGCTACCCTACACATCAACTTCTAGATAGGGAGGCTGAGCAGGCTAAACGAAGTCCTGCTGCACCTCCGGTCTCTTCGGGGTTTCCTTCACCCTCACTGAAGTCCTATTCAGGCTCCAGGAGGGGAGGGGCTCCACACAAGCCACAAGCACTCTCCAGCTCTCTTCCACCACTTCTGGATATGAATGGAATTCTTTACATATTTCCCAGCACCGCACGTATGCACAGTCGCGCACAAGTCAAATGCATGGGGGGGGGCGCTTGTACATGTTTTCTTCCTCCTGGTTGGAAGGGAAAGGAGTTCAGGCTACAAAAGAGGCAATCCATAGAAAGTGTGAGGGTGTCCTGAAATTCCTGCATTGCGCAGGGTTTGACTAGATCAGTGATATTCAAAACGGTGGTCCACAGACCATGGCTACTTAACCCAGCCTAGGTTGGGTAGGATGCTTCAGAGTCCAAACATTGTACCGGTCACTGGCACATTGAGGAGGGGGAGATTTGTTGGTCCACTCCATCAGATAGTTTGGGAAGAACAGGACTAGATAACCTACAAGAGCTTCTCCAACTCCATGTTGGTTGTGAATGGTGCACTCCTATTTTTTAGGACATAGAAAAGCCGTATTTTCTTTCCCATGTATTTTACTAAGAAAAGTGCAATTTAATGCACACATGTCATTCACAACAATGTAAGGCATGTTTGCTTTGTACTTGCATGGGTAACTAGATCCAAAAACAAACATCAAAGTAAGATGAAGCCCTTACCCCAGACTATAATTCCTCATTTATGCTTCATGGGAATATTAGTGCCTTTGGCAGAAAAGAACCTGCAATGACCTTTTCTGTGGCAAGATCTATTACCATGGAGATGTGCTACCCTTCATTTAACACCTTGCCAAGATGCATAAATTTCTACTATGCAAGGTGGGTGGCCGTGATTTATTTCTATACCACCAGCAGTGTGCATAGTATTTTACATGCCAAATAACACCATAAACCTATGTATCTATTGTCAGTGTTCACAGCACTTTACAGGTAACATTACCATGTGATTCTATACATGTCTACACAAAATTAAGTCCTATTGAGTTCAGGGAGTTCTTACTCTAAAGTAAGTGGGTAAAGGATTTCATCCTAAAGAGCACAATCAACCAGGAAATTATCTTGCCCAACCCCACTGAAATCAAAGGGAGCATTGCAATAGTGTGGTAGTGCTCTCATGTAGCTCCTTAATTTTAATGGGGATTCTTTCTCATTGGCCAGAAATGAGCAGCGTGTCAATGCATGCTTCCACTTTGCTGTTTTCCCAGCTATGAGCTGGAGCAACAAACCATGAACCTTGGCTTACCATGTTGCCCAGATCCAGGATTGTGGGATGTTTCTCACTAAACAAACTATGATCAGATGCCAAGAATAAGCAGACTCTTGGGCTGGGGTGTTTGTGGTGTTTTGTTAGGGGGTTGCTATTGTTGTTTTTTAGGGACACGGGTGGCGCTGTGGGTTAAACCGCAGAGCCTAGGACTTGCCGATCAGAAGGTCGGCGGTTCGAATCCCCGCAGTGGGGTGAGCTCCCATTGCTCGGTCCCTGCTCCTGCCAACCTAGCAGTTCAAAAGCACGTCAAAGTGCAAGTTGATAAATAGGTACCGCTCCGGCGGGAAGGTAAACGGCGTTTCCGTGCGCTGCTCTGGTTCGCCAGAAGCGGCTTAGTCATGCTGGCCACATGACCCGGAAGCTGTACACCAGCTCCCTCAGCCACTAAAGCAAGATGAGCGTCACAACTCCAGAGTCGGTGACGACTGGACCTAATGGTCAGGGGTCCCTTCACCTTTACCTATTGTTTTTAGATCTTGTGGTTTATGTGGAAATTATCCAGTTTGGCTGAGCATTTTTAATGTTGTATTTATTGTTTATGACTACTTTTGCTATGGATAATGGAAGCCCGCCAATATAAAAGAAAAGTTGAGTACTGACTCAGGGCCCAAAATACCTTGATTTCATTACTGCACATTAAAACATCAATTGTGGGTGGGTGGGTGCTCTAAATCTAATACCAAGGGAATGAACATATAAATCTGCTTTAGCCCACTGGTCCACTTAGATTGTACGGCCTCCCACTTGGGCTTGCAGTAGTTATCCAGCCCATGACACCTTTAGATCCAGTGCCACGTCACGTTAAACAGGAACTTTTTTCCTAAGCCTAATTTGTTGTGTGTAACACCAAGAGGGGTTAGCAGTTAAGATGAGACAGGTTAAAACAGTGTCCCACTGAAAATCCTGCTGTTAATTTTAAAAAGTCCTATTCACACAAATGGTGCCTTTCCCTGCCTTAAGACTGGAGATAAAGCAGGCTTGATGTACCTTTTGCCCACGGGCCAAACTAGGCCCTGCAGAGATCCTAATTAATCTTGCAATGTTTTCCCTAGTCACAATAACTTGCCCCCTGTGACATCAGATGTAGGGTAGGTTAAAGACGCAGCGGCAAAGGAACGATACAAGGTAGATAACCTGGCTAGATATAATGCTGGTGCCTCCTGTCCCATTAGGATGGTGCTGACACAGGAACCAAGGTCTGCCTAAAATGAACAACTTCTATTTTCACATTTAGGCAGATCTCACCAAATGCATCATTCCCAAAACAATTGCTCCTTGATGATACACAATTCTTGATCTATATGTAATCAGCCATAGCAGTCATGAGACATATCTAAAATCAATCACACCAAACATATTGCTCTTTGTTATCCTTCTTAAGTTCCTCACCCATCAATGTGTAGCGGACATGTCAGAATATAGTAGATTTTATCTCATGGATGTAATTGACTCTGTTGCTCCATTTATCAGAATTTTAAACCTGCCCAGAAATAGAATTTTCCAGAAACTGAGGTTTGTTTTAATGTACATCTTATTTGTACACAAGTATATTTAATAGATACAAAATGGATTTATCTTTCCTCATCCATCATTGTGCAGTGGACACATCAAAAGACAGTAAGTTTCATGTCCTAGCAGTAATTAACTATGTTATTTAGTATCTCGGAACTTTAGATTTCCTCATCTGCCCAAAACTAGAATTTGCCAGAAATGGAGATTTATTTTAATGTACATCTTATGTACAAATATTTCTTAAACAAAAGACGGGGAACCTGTGGCCTTCTAAATGTTCCTAGACTACATCTCCCACCACCCCTGATTATGGGCTATGCTGCTAGGGGTGATGGGGAGTTGGAATCCAACAACATCTGGAGGGCCAAAGGTTGCCCATCCCTGTCTTAATCATCAATTGCAAACACTTATTCAATTAAAAATGAAACTTTGGGTGATTCCTTCTACTTTCACATAGTAAATGTCAAGCCTCAGGCTCTTACCTAGAAGCTGCAATCTCAGATTTCTGTCTGGCGATGGCTGCTGCCCTCTGAGCCCCTTCCAGGCTCCTGTCCACCTTCTGCCTTATCTTGGCACTTTTCAGAGGTATCACCCTCTTCTTCATGCCTTTGATCAGGACGTTCATTCGGTATTTCCCTTCTTCCTTCTTACCATCAGGCAAAGTGGTGCAACCGTATCCATGCCGAACATTATCCAGCCATTCACCCTCATACTTCAGGCCACTTGATCTCTCACTCACGCCAAACCCAGAGCGCTTGTCATTCTTCCACTCACCCATATAGGACTCTGTCGTGGTGGCATCGATATCAGCGTCAAAAGGCGCGAAGTCCTCTCCCTCGGCTCCTTCTCCTAGGCTAGCTGTGGAGGTGGCATCGCTACCAGTGGAGCTCATCCCGCTCTCGCTCTTGAGAAAGCTGAGTCGGCTCCTTTGGCTGGCCAGGGAAGTCTTAGAGTCGGATTTCTTCAACTTCCCAAACAAGGAACTCCGCCTGAAGAGCCCTCCCTTCTTCAGCTTGCCCGCATCAGCATCCGCGTACAGGCTGAGAGCAAAGCCACCACGGGTGATCGTAGGTGTCATGGGAAAGTTCTCCAGGTTTGCTGACGGGGAGTCATGTTGCAACAGGGTGCCATTGCTGTGCTCACTACGGAGGGAAGTAAGGGAGGTCCTTAGAGGGTTGCGGACTACGGCTGCTATGCCATATGGGACGCTCTGCCGGACACCATAACCATGACGCATTCCATTGGTGAACTGGCCTTGGTATGTACCTACAATCAAGAGCAATAGTGAAGTTAGTTACACCACATTTCATGAAGAACACGGTTGAAATCATGGTTATTCAGGCAGCAATAGCCTTCCCAAAATCACCCACAAAATGGCCCCTTATGTTGGCTGAGCAGGAAATGAACTGTGTGCTCATTTCCCATTCAACAAATAAATTTTCCCTCCACCATGAGTCCAAAACTAGCATCTGTACACTGCCTCTGCGGCTGGAGATATTCTCTGGTGGCATGAGGGAACTACCCAGAGATGTTACTCACCATGGGCAGTTTTGCAAGTTTCAGGAGAGGCTGGGTATGGGTGCTGCAAACCCCTGCTATTTTTTTGCCAGAATAGGGCATCTGAATAGTTGCTCTCCAATCCTGGGCTCCTCTCTTTTTAGACAACCAGAAGGATGTTGTCAGCATACGATGGAAATGAAGGTGCCAGGCGCGCTTATGTAGGGAGGGAATTTCACAGCTTAGGAGCTGCCACAGAGAATGCCCTCTCCCAGACTGCCAACCCCCAAACTTCTGTGGGTGGTAGAACTACTAAGAGGGGCACCATTGCTAAGCTGAACAATCAAGAGCAGGGGTCAGCAAGGTTTACCTCGCCTGGGCTGGTTCACCCCCGCGGAGATTGCTCTGGGGGGCGGATTGTGTCTGCGCAGACATGATTTTTGGCTTCTGCATCTGCGCAGATGCGATTTTCAGCGCCGCACGAGTTCCCGCTCCATGCTGGTTTAGCCCAGCGCGCGGGGACTCGCCAAGCGGGCGGCTCAGTTCGGGGGTGGCTCGGGGGCCGTTTAAATGACCCCTGTGGGCCACTTGTTGTCGACCCCTGCTCAAGAGTCTGAAGGGGAAGAAGCAGTCTTTCAGATATTTGGGGGTCAAAGTCATTTAGATACTTTGGGGCTAACATTTCTCTGGAAGGAATGAATAGTGTTTTACCAGATAAATAGGGACAATCAGAGCATACATTATTATACAAATGAAATTAGAACTAAACTGGAATGCAATATGCAATTGCGAAGGATAAAGACTAACAGAAAGAGACGTGTGTCATTCATGAGTGTATTTGTTGTTCATGCCCAACATTTCAAGGAGGGATACCAACAAGCCAGAGGGAAAGGGTGGATGTGAAGGAGGAAAAAAGGAACCCTGAACAACTTTTTGTTGCAAGTTTGTGTATTCCTAATACCAAACTAATTGAAATACAGCAAAAGCTCCCTCGCTGGAGCCAAGTTGAACGCTTCCCCAGAAGGAAGCTAGTTCCTTCCCACCAATTGCCTCAGACCATTAATTTCCCTCACAGCAGAGTTTCTCTCTCCCTTGATTGTCGTCCTTTTGTTGATGTGGTTACCTCAGTAACTAGCAACCTACCCAAAGAAACCCGCTTTGGCTCAATCCATCACTCGCTATTGGGAGCCTCACCCCCCAAATTTGTAAACCACCAGCTCTGCAACCACCCACCCAAATCCCCATTCAGCTAGAGTATCCTGGGACGAAACATGCTGGAGAAATACAAATATTTATTACCAGTATAAAAGAATTAGCTCCCCCAAGGATTTGCTTTCTCACAGGCAAATGGCCATGGGGTATTTTTATAGCCACAGAATGCCAGTGATTTCTGTCATGTTAGCAAAGCACAATAATCCTTAGGGAAGCTAAGAAGCCAAAGGACAAGAAAGAGCCCAGAAAGAAAGGCACGAAAACATAAAATGGTCACCTAAGGTTAAATAGCTCTGGATGGGAAAAGACACTTGCTCAGTGGCAGAGCACACACTTTGAGAGTCCTGGCCTTAAGCCCTGCTATCTGCATTTAAAAGCATCTCTGAGGAAATCCTTTCCTTGTGAAAGCCTTTTGGTAGACAAGGCCGAGCCAAGAGGAACACGGGCCTATGTCAGCTTTTTCGAACCTTAATTCCTGCTGACTGTTGAATTGTGTTTCAGCTCTAAATCAATCCCTGGAAAGAATGGAGATGTGAGAGAAACCTTCCTTCCCTGTTTGTGTGCTAGCAATTTTAATGGCAGTGTGGTGTAGTGGTTAGGGTGTAGGACCTAGGAGACCCAGTTTCTAATCCTCACTCCTAACCATGGAGCTCACTGGGGAGGTGGCCTTGGACCTGTCACAGTCTCTCAGCCTGACCTACTTGGCAACACAGCCAGATGGGCAGGGTATAAATAATAATAAAATTATTATTATCAGTACTATCAGAATCAGTGTTTAGGTGAAACTATTGACAAAGGAAAGGGTAGGACACTGATTCAAATGAGGAAAGTATATTCATTTTTAAACAACAATTTGTAATGATTTGTGAACAAATTCACAAGTGAACCCCTGAGAAAAGCCCAACAAGCAACTTCCGGAAGCTTCATTCCTCCAGCCTTAGGACCTAAGGAATATTGAAGAGGGTTGAATCGCAGAATGCCAAGAGCGTTAGCTGCGGGTTTTCTTCTCTTAAAAAAGGGAAATCGAGGGGGACATTTCATTTGAGAGCCAGTGTGGTGTAGTGGTTAAGAGCGGTAGTCTCATAATCTGGGGAACCGGGTTCGCGTCTCCGCTCCTCCACATGCAGCTGCTGGGTGACCTTGGGCCAGTCACACTTCCCTGAAGTCTCTCAGCCCCACTCACCTCACAGAGTGTTTGTTGTGGGGGAGGAAGGGAAAGGAGAATGTAAGGCGCTTTGAGACTCCTTAAAGGGAGTGAAAGGCGGGATATCAAATCCAAACTCCTCTTCTTCTTCTTCTTCTAGAGTGGGAAAGGGAAACGATATTTTTCCTTTCCTAAGCTTCTCAAACACTCCAGTATCCCACATATCGCTAAAAGGATGAGATTATGAGCTAGCTATCAGACTGTGACTACACAAATTTACCTTGGATTAAGCACCACTGAATTCAATGCAGCTAACTTCTGCATAGGCATGTATAGGATGGTGCTGTTAATCTGAGCCCTATATGTGTGTGTTTTTTAAAAAAATGAATCCAGTGTGGTGTGGAGGATTCAATGCCTGACAAGAATCTGGGAGACCAGGGTGCAAATCCCCATTCAGCCATGAAGCTAACTGGGCCAGTCACTCACTCTCAGCCTAGCCTACCCCACAGGGTTGTTGTGCGGATAGAATGGGGAGGAGGAGACCTATGTACACTACCTTGAGGAGAAAAGCTGGGGTATAAATGTAACAAATAAATAAACAAATCATAAAGTTATGAAAACGTTCCCACAGGAATTCCTACACTCCCTCAGTTGTGATATGTTATAGTATCTCCTTCTCCTGTCACAAATGTAAAATTTCTCCCCGATACAGGTGTCTTTGGGGAGACTGATTTCTTTAGTATAAGCACTAGAATTTCTTTCTTTCTCATTCCCATGAGAACCGCTTCAAAATAGCAGCAGAGATCTCCAAGGGTGAAATATTTAACTGTCAACTTAATGAATCACTTTACCATTAGAAAATTCCCAAGTGTCCTAGAGAAGCATCCCAGAGATCACTTGAAGAAAGCTTGTGGGGACAAGCAAAGCGAGTAAACAAGGAGTTGGAAAAACTTCCTAATTAGAAGAACGACCAAACCCTCGCACCATTATAAACTTAAGCACTGTACATCTGATGTCAGGAAATATCCCATGGAAGAGAATGAAAGGGGAAAATTGGGAATCAGAAATGTAAGAAGCTCCCTTATATCATCAGATTATTGGTGTATCCAGGGCCGGATTTAGGTTTGATGAGGCCCTAAGCTACTGAAGGCAATGGGGCTCTTTATATGTCCAACTGTCCTTTGTCAACAACTAATTGTCAGTGTTTTTTGTGTTGAATATATGCTATATAGTAATTTATGGACCTAATAGGTATCTAAAGCCGTTTGCACATGTTGCCTTGCAACCAGTCCATGCAGAATGCAGGCACCCTATATATAGAAATGAGCAAACCAGTGATATTTTAGGGAGCAGGCTAGCAGACGGGGCCCATTACAGTGGTACCTCGGGTTAAGTACTTAATTCGTTCCGGAGGTCCGTACGTAACCTGAAACTGTTCTTAACCTGAAGCACCACTTTAGCTAATGTGGCCTCACACTGCCGCTGTGCCGCCGGAGAACAATTTCTGTTCTCATCCTGAAGCAAAGTTCTTAACCTGAAGCACTATTTCAGGGTTGGCAGAGTCTGTAACCTGAAGCGTGTGTAACCTGAAGCATATGTAACCTGAGGTACCACTGTACTTACATCATAGGAGCCTACACAACACAAAACACTGTTGCTGTATGTAGGTTTTATTTTATTTTAATCATATTTTGGAAATGTACATTGTTGTTGTTTTTCCTTTAATTTTTTTGGGGGGGCCCCAAGAGAGTGGGGCCCTAAGCTATAGCTTGTTTAGCTTATACGTAAATCAGGCACTGGGTGTATCTGAGGTGTGGAGAACCTTTGGCTCTCCAGGCATTACTGAACTGCAACACCCATCATCCCTAGCCATTGGTCATGCTTGGTAAAGTGGGTGGGAGTTGTAGTTTGGGAACATCCGGAGGGCAAAAGGCACCCCTACCCTGGTAAATGCTGGTTGTGTTTGATTGTAGCACTAAGCTAGCCAGAAAGCACATGAGCTAAATGCTGGCAACTGAAGCTCTCCTACTTTGCAAGCAGGGAAACCACAAAGTGGCTAGCTTGGCATAACATGCGAACCTGGGGTTGTGGTTTCCTCTACCCTAACAAAACCACCATCACTAATCCAACCACAAACCGTGGCTTCAAGGTAGCTTAACAATCATTGCTTGTTAGGGCAAAAGAAACCACGATTCCTGCTTGTGCAGAGTATAATTTAATAATTTTATGGTGTCATGTGCCAGCCAATACAGTCAGCGGCTGATAGCATCTCTCCTGGGTTTCAGACTGGGATCTCTGCCCCCCCCCCAACCTGGGCATGCTTGGATTGAACCTGGGAATTTTTATCTTCAGCTCAGGTTCTGACAGTTCTGATTTAATGGCGCTGTGAGTTAAACCACAGAGCCTAGGACTTGCTGATCAGAAGGTCAGCGGTTCAAATCCCCATGATGGGGTGAGCTCCCGTTGCTCAGTCCCTGCTCCTGCCAACCTAGCAGTTCGAAAGCACGTTAAAGTGCAAGTAGATAAATAGGTACCACTTCGGCGGGAAGGTAAACAGCATTTCCATGCGCTGCTCTGGTTCACCAGAAGTGACTTAGTCATGCTGACCACATGACCAGGAAGCTGTACGCCGGCTCCCTCGGCCAATAAAGCGAGATGAGCGCCCCAACCCCAGAGTCGGCCATGACTGGACCTAACGGTCAGGGGTCCCTTTACCTTTTAACTCTCCTCACAATACAGGTTTAGAAGCAGATTGGTTTATGGCAGCTCTGCAGGGTAATTCACACTGAACACTGAGTGGTTTTCAGAAGTATTAGCCCCTATCGCAGCTTGGTCTGAAACCGAGAGAATGTCTTACAACAAAGTTTTTATCCTCCCTTTGCAGGTTGGGGTGAGTATAATATACAAGAACTCTAAGGTGTTGTTCACTGCCATAATCCTACTGCAGGTTTCAAGGCTGTGTTGAGAAAGAGCAGCTTATGATAGACCTACTATGTAGTACATTGTTAATACTGAGCTCAGAGGAGGAGCTAATTCAGACACATATTGGGACATCTCAGGCTGCAACTAAGATAAATCTACTTAAAACTGTCCCCTCAGACCTCCCCCAGACCAAATCAAGCACTCAGTTGCATGCAGAATCCTCACGCTCCATTGACTTGCATGCAGACATGCAGACTAGTTGCCATTTTAAATGTTCAAAAACTGAAAATAAAACAAAACAAATTTTGCACATGAAGTAAGACTCCAAGTAGAAGCAGGGACTTCTCTCTTAGGTGCCAACCACTCACACTTCCAGTTCAGGTAACACACACACCAGGGATAAGCTACAACATTTTGTTGCAGCATTCTACTCGTTATTTTCAGGTTCTGCGCAGGGATGCTGAGGCTGAGAGATAGTGGCTTCCCTAAGGCCACGTAGTGGGTTTGCAGCCAAGATGAGATGTGAAGCAAAGATGTCCTTGTTCAGTCCCTTAGCCACTATGCAATACTTATTAATAGCACTCATTGGACGGTATACCTCTCATAATACTGCTTGTTACCAAAGACACCCATTAAAGATCTTACTAGTGTTTTGAGGGAGAAAATAGCCATGCAATTACATTCCACCGCTTCTTCCCTGGCTTCTCCTATTGAAGGAGCTGGCAGGAGCCATATGAGCACCTGCAAAATCTCAATGCCAAATCTACCCCCACTGGTTTTAGTGCTGGTTGAAGCCATCAATCACCATGGAAGCTAGTTTACAAAGCAGTTCAAAAGACATCTGGAAGAAATGGTCTCCTAGAAAAGAAAGATAACTCACAGAACAAAATTACAAGTGTGTGAAGACAGAAAACATTCAAAAGCCTGTAAACAGCCCACAAAAAGTAGGCAAAACAAATTACTATTATTATTCTGCAAGTTCAGTTTTATTTGGTTATTTTATGCAAGTTAAGTAATTAAACAGAAAAAATAGCCACCTCCACCTACTGGACAAGATCACAAAAATGAAGTACAGCAATCATTATGGTAGACTAGAAAAGGAAATAGTCAACCACTGTAAGAAATATGCAGCTGCTGCAGCTTCACCATTCAATCTCCTTGGAGTTCTGCATATTCCAAACAGCTTTGTGGATGGACTCGCTTTCTGAAATCCCATTATTATCTCAAAAACAAACATATGCACATATTGACGGTGTTTGAGCAAAGAGAACTTGCCAGACCTCAACTCCAGAACTGATTTTGAATGGCTGGAACATGAGAGTAAGGCAGCACCTCTGGGCACGTACAAAGTGCATTTCCCCCTGCCACTAAGTAACTCTTGCTAACACACATCTCTAGGAACGGGAACAAAAGTTGTCATTCTGAAACCTACAGCTTCAGATCCATTTGTGACACTCCCAACAACTGGCATGGTTTGCTTGACACCCTGATGAACTGCTTATATTGCCGTATAAAACTCCTCACTCTTAAATTAAAGCAAGTTCAGTTTTGGTTTGCATTTAAGCTTTGAAACGGGTGGTGCTGGATATGCAGAGCATGTTTGCACCATGACAAAAGACCCAGGTAACCTCTCTATGTTTTGTTTTAATCCGCTGTATCTGCACATTTTTATTGTATTGCTCTTATTTTTGTAAACTACTCCGTAGTCATTCTGGCAAAAGGGGGCATATAACAGATTTGTTAATAGATAACAGCCAGTTTATAACATAATTGTTAGTACAGACAATGTTTATCTGGGAATGGTACAAACATTATCCTCCTTCTCCCTCCAACAGAAGTCTTTGCCAAACAATTTTCAGTCCCTTTGTTGTAATTCCTTACGTTTCTGCCTGATGTAAAATATCTGTATTCATTGCATACAGCCTTAAGATGCAAGTACAGTGGTACCTCGGGTTAAGTACTTAATTCGTTCCGGAGGTCTGTTCTTAACCTGAAACTGTTCTTAACCTGAAGCACCAGTTTAGCTAATGGGGCCTCCTGCTGCTGCCACGCCGCCAGAGCAAGATTTCTGTTCTTATTCTGAAGCAAAGTTCTTAACCTGAAGCACTATTTCTGGGTTAGCAGAGTCTGTAACCTGAAGCGTATGTAACCCAAGGTACCACTGTACTTCTATTCCAGGAGGGGGAAGACTGGAAGAAAATGCATACCTGTTGCTCCACCCACTTTTGCCTCTGGCCCCACCCACCACTGGAATGCAGCCCCTAGAAACTTCCCCAGGAGACAAAGTGGCCTTTGAGGGGGAAAAGTTTTGCCACTCCAGTCTAGAGACCAGGTGCTTGGGGGCCTCTAAATCCTAAACAACCGCACTAGCTCCAGCTGCCCCTGGATTCTTGATGTCTTGCCATTCAGAGGTCGCACCCTGTTGGCTCCTCCTGCCTATCTATAGAGGATATGCCATCAGGAGCTAAGGAACTCTGGGACTTGTAGTTCACGAGAGATCATATTGCATAGGGTAGGGCAGCCCACTTCTGCCTGTGAGTCCTAGAATTTTCTGTTCTGGAGGAGGGCATGGGCTTGCAGCATATTAATATTGCTTGCTATTCTAACACTGCTTCTGATTGGCTCCAGCCAATCTCACAAGATATAGGCATCTTGTACAGGTACAGAGAAATAAAACTGCATCCTCAAACATGATTTGCAATTCAGTTGCCAGTTTTTGCTGCATGGTTATGGGCTTGGGGTCTGCAACCATAGACTGGTGAGCCTACAGAAAGTGTTCCTCCAGCCCCGTCTGCTTGGGCCCTGCTAGCGTGACCAAGAAACAAAACCAAGAGCAGGATAGGAACACAGCTAGGACTTGGCTTGATTCCCAGGACAGAAACATCAGCAACTGGGAACAGTCTTAGCCCTTCCCCCAATGGTACCCCTAAATGCAGCCTTTGGGTAAAAGTGAATGTCTTCCACTCAGTCCCATAGGAAAGTTAAGCTCTCCGCTTGGGGAGAGCAAGGCAAGGAGAGCAAAACCCAACCTCCACTCCTGACATGGCATGACCCAGTCTTTGCAAAGGACGCTCATGCAGGAAGTGCAATGTTATCTCTAACCCACAGCAGCATATAAGCCCTCCATTCACATCACAATCCATCACTACGGCAGGCATTTTGCTTGTCCACAATATAGGAGAGCTACACAGGCCCACCACAGCATATGGAATATCTAATACAATGCATACCACATAGATTCACATACATGAAATCAAACAGGACCTAAGATTTCAGATGAACTTGCACAGGGGGGAAAAACACATTAGCAATAACAGCATCTTATCACCTGCTGCTGAACATTTTCTCCCTATTTGTCACCAATTGCTGAGCATTTGTTCAACAAGGGCTCTCCCCCCACAGCTGCTCCCTCCCTCCCTCCATGCTTGCCCTGAAAAAATGAGCTTGCTAAACAGAAAGGACAAATTGGGCTGAACGAAGATCTTGAGTCATTACAACAGTCGATAAATCCCCATCGGATTATGTATTAAAAGTACTAATAGTTGTCTAATTAGGCCACAGTCTGCTTTAGAATGGCCAAACATATCTCCATTAGTCTCAGATTTATCTATTTCTTTTCAGGAACCATCATGTTAAGGAAGGTATTTAAGCTCTTAAGTTTGCACCAGCTTTTCCTAAAGGGAAAACTTAACTACTGTTCTAAAAAGTGATTTCTCAGCCACCTATAACAATGTCTGAAAGAGGAATGTCCCTAGACCCGGGTAAACTCTGTGTCTGGTTATAAGTGCACACACATGTACTTTTGCTGCCGGCCTTTCCATAGGCATCTGGTTGGCCACTATGAGAACAGGTTACTGGGCTAGGTGGGCCACTGGCCTGGTCCAGCAGACTTTTCTTACAAACATAGACAACCATCAGGTTTGGAATCCAGTAAGTTGCCTTTTTGCAAGCAGTACTATCTCAGCAGCACCTTCTACCTCCTCTGCCATGGGCAGAAGCTGCCGGCCACTTCTGGATGCATTCGGTGTTGCACACTAGATGGTCAACCAAGCGGCAAGATCTGGCGCATGCTGTGGAATGACCACACATCCAGTGAACAACTGGCTGGCACACAACTCGCACTGCAGAAGAATCCAAGCAATGGTCCCATTGTGACGTCAACCTCTGAGCACTAAGAAGTGCCACTGGGAATGGGCTATTTTTGACCTGAAGCCTTTTTTCTTTCAAGCACACAGACAGCATGGTTCATTCAGCAGCTACATTAGAACGGCAAGTGCGCCCACTAATGTCTATGCACCTAGGAGCCCTTGTGCACAAACAGGCATGCTGGGCTGAGATTTTGTATAAAGCATGCATTGCTGGAAAGATGAGGACAGGGCCTTAATCTCACCTGTCCAGCATCAGTTGAGGGATCAGAACTCAATTCTTTGCCTGCTAAATGAGCCACAGCCATTAGCTCACTTATCACATTGCCTGGTTCCCAGGACCCTGCCCTGCCCTGCTTTCCACCCTGCAGCCCAGAGAGAAAACAGCCCACTGGCCAGCAACTTCCTTCCGCCCAGGCTTACCTCCATCAGCATAGGTCTCCGTGCCATAACCGTCCTGCAGCCCGTTATTCCAGGTGCCTTCATATTTTGCCCCACTGCTGACGTTCTGCCTGACCCCATACCTTCCTTTGAAGCCGTGTGTCCATTCGCCCTTGTAAAGCCACCGCCCTTTGGTCTCGATCCCTAAGCCATGCCTCTTGCCTTGAGACCAGTAGCCCTCGTAGGTGTTGCCGCTGGGCCAGGTATAGACTCCCACCACTTCGAAGCCGTAGTTCCAGGAGCCCGAGTATTCGCCCTGGCCCTTGGGCCCGGTGCAGATGCCGTGCCCGTGGGCTTTGCCCCCTTCCCAGCCCCCGCAGTAGGCCCCTCCATCGTCAAAGTCAAACCTGCCACCGCTCATGCTGTCAAGCCAGGGGTCTGTGCTCTTCTCTGGCTCGTTCCCTCCTTCCTATTTGGCCAGATCACTTCTCCATTAGTGGAAGCGGCAGGTGGGGGTGCATAGCCAAGCTATGCTGGGGGGCCACCTTTGGGGTCAGGCTTGGTGTCCTCGCCCAGGAAGGTGCAACTAGGGAAGAGGCTGCGAGGAGGTGGAAAGCAAGCTGTTCCTAGGCTCAGAAAAGCTGCACGAATCTCAGGGACCCCCAATCCTCAGCTTGGCAACGCTAGCCTGTCAGGTATGGAGGCATGGAAGGAAAACTCTCCCAACCGGCCTTGGAGGTAGTAGAGGAGGCGAAACTCCTGCTCAGCTGCAAGGCGCGGGCCTCCCCATCCCCTACGCTCTCTCCAAGCGCCCTGATGGGCAAGAGGCAAGCCTTTGCAAGACCTTAGTTGCAAGGTAACCTTTCTCTGCTTACACCATCCTCGCAGCCTCTTCTAAACGCCGGCAGCATCCGGCCCCTTTATGAGCCAAGAAGGGTAAAGATCCTTGCTGAACCTTCCCCGGCCGCCGCCGCCGCGACCCCCTCCCCTATGGCGCGCTTTGCGCCCTCGCCTCTTCCGCCCTCCCGGGGCTCCTGCGCCCCCGCGGCTAGTTGCGCGGGCGGTCCCAGGCTCTTCTTCCGAGCCCCATTGGACAGGCGAGCCTCTCCGGCTCTCCTCCCGCAGCCTCCTTCCTTCTACCCTCCTCCGGGAAGAAAGGTCACAGCTGCCCTAACAAGGCCATCGGATCCCTGGAGCTGCTCCGAAAATAAACCCACGTAGCCCTGCCCACTTTGCAGGACCCTTTTATGGAGGACAGAGACACCCACCGCCGCCACCCCCTTTCGGGCTGGGATGAAAACGAGAGAGAGACGGAGCAAGTGTCCTATTTAAAAATAGCACCCTGGGAAAAGGAGGGAGGCGCGGGCGAGAGCTCTGCCAGGTCGTTTGCTCCGAACTTTGCAACGGGCATGGGAGGAACTTCTGCTAGTTACGGAGCAAGGAAAAGGAAAGGGAGTGAGCGGGCGAGAATGAATGGGAGAGACCATGAATGAAGATGCTAAAGGCAGGAGGCGAGGCGAATTGGGAGGGGGCAGGATCGGGGCTCCAGGTGGGATTCTGCCTACAGATGCAATGCATATTAGGCCCCACCCTTTTCTGCAGCTAATTAGGGGACGCTATTAGTGTGGTATCTATGTCAGCCACCCAATAACGCTGGTTTCTCAATTTAAATTGGTAAAATATAACATTAAGACTATAACACTTTTTTTAAAAGAACACCCTCCTGTTTGGTAGGCTGCACACATACTCGCGGCCCTTGCCAGCCACAAATTGGCTTGCTGTATCAAGTAAGCCAGGCCTTGTCACTTCTTGTGAGAGCTTTCAGAATTCTCATAGATTATTATTATTAATAATATTAACTTGCTTCTGAAGACTAATTAGTGGACCAGCATAATTACTTGCCAGATAGGCATAGGTTTCTTTAGAATCCCAGTGTTCAAGATTATGGGTTGTCCATTAAAAGAATTGCATGTGAAATGTGTAAACCAATAGCCTTTGTCAGGTTTTGTCACTGGAGGAAGTCTCTCCTCCCAGTGAGGCTGGCCTTCCTTCCTTGCTTGTTGACCTTCTTTGTATTATAGAGAGCATGGCAAGGTATAGTTTCAAAGTGTTTATTATTAAACAGATGGTCTTGGTGTGTGTGCATATGTTACACTTGTGACAACATGCCCTTGCAGTTTTCTACTCCAACGTTGTGGCAGTTTTTACATTGGAGACCCAAGTTTGGGAAGCACTGATGTACCACCATGTAAAGGGGTCCCCAATGTGTTCACAGGCAGCATAGCCACCGCATATATAGCCTTTGGCACCTGCCCCTCCCATTTTGTGAGTATTTTCATTGTTGTTGTGCAGGCTGCCTGCTTTTTGTCTGTTTTGGAGTATGGGGTTTGGATCCATTTTAGGGGCTCTGATAGCATTTCCTGTTTTTCTAGTGAAATGGTTATTTTGTGATGCCCACAGGTTTAATTTCCAGAAGTGCCTCTAGGGCTACAAATGTTGGGGAGCTCTGCTCTGCCGTGTTTTAAGTTGGGAGTCTTTGCCAGCCTTACCTGAAGATTCCCCATTTTGAAGGCTGAGGTCTTTTGTGTGTAAAATAGGGGCTTACATCTGAGCTACAAATTTACCTTATTCCAATGAAAATGAAGTGCATAGTGAAATAACAAAATCTTCCTTTATTTTAACAGAACTAAACTATTGCAAACTATTTAGGCAAAGTCTTGTGTTTTATTATTCAGGAGCAAACATTAACTTGGTGCTCTGAAATTACTGGTACCTGCACTGAGGCTACAATCCTAATCCCATTTACCCTGGAGCAAGTCTCACTGAATTCAATAGGACTTACCTTGGAGTATTTGTGGTTCGAGTTGCACAACTAACCAGCAAGTGCTTGTGATAAAAATTCAAGAACAGAGGTAGCAGATGTTGAAAAGATCATTCCTCACTTTCCTGTAGAGGACAGGCAGTGATTTCTTGACAGCAGCCCATTCTTACATCACATGAAACCATGGTTTATTCAAATAATGCTTTTTGGTTGAACAAACCATGCTCAAAGCCAAAGGACATTCTACATGCAATGTAATTATGGTTTTGTCATACTCTGCCCTCCTTATTTCCTACCCTCATCTGTCTTTTGTGGTACCAAATTGCTATCATTGCCTCACCTGCAAGAGAGGATGTGCAAGATTCTGAGTGATCTTCATCAGCACCTGTCATGGAACAGCAGGTATCTTCATCCCTTCACCCAAGAAAGAAGCACCCATACCATTTTGCAGCTTGTAGGTGTTTAACCTTTTTATTCTATTCCCCTAGTCTGCAACCACACACACACACCGACAATAGGCTGTTAATGTGAATGTTATGCTTTACATTTAGGGAACATTACCTATGCTGGTGTCACCTGTGTCTCTGCTGGCAGGGAGTTTGAAAGGCCGTTTCAGTAATGAGTTTTAGTAGTTTAAGGATGTTAATTGTAATGACTGTCAGGAATGGAACTTAATTTTGGAACCCTCCCACCCCTTACTCAACACCTGCTCAAATTTAAGGGAGGAACGCTCTTAAAAATCATTCATTTCTCCAGGATCCTGTTACCAGGCAGAGTTAGCAGCAAAATCAGCTTTAGGGAAAAGATTAGAAAGAGGAGCTGAGTGCCGAGAGCAGGTTCATTTTCATCATTCTTGTCTAATGTCACTGTTGCTTGGCTAGTAGTTTGAGAGCAAAAATTTTAACCACAGTAAATGAGGTACCCACACTAAGTCATTGTTCAGCTTAGTAAACCAATAACATGAACGAGCCATAGTTAAACAAACCATAGTTAAGGCACTGTACTGGGCTCCGATGCAATGCTAAGCCATGGTTTGTTAACTAAGTTTTATTTAAACCATGGTTAATAGGGATGTATGAACTTCCAATTTTCACAAATTACAAAGATCTGGATTAAGAAATTTAAGTTCTTTGCCTGCGTTTATATTGGTAGTAACTTCAGTATAATGTATGTAGCTTTGGGGGTTGTTTTTTGCTTTACAATCACAGGTTGAACTTCCTTAAGTTGCCAGTGAGTGAGCTGAAATGGCTGGAGAAATAAAATATTTTTAAAAAAATATGGTCCATTTGCTACAGAAAGCCAACAAGTTATAACTCCACATCTTTCTGGATGCATTCAGTATTTCATGGACCACATCATCATCAGGGCTTTTTTTCAGCTGGAACAAAGTTCCGGCACCTCTTTTGTGTGTTCCAGCACCTCTGTAGTGTTGCGGTGTCATTTCTTTGTGTTGGAGGTGGTGTGCAGCACAGCTTTGGCTAGTTGCTCCCCCCCCCCACAAAAAAAGCTTGGGTTTGCGGGGGGGGGGCCCTCTCCTGGTCCCAATAAATACATCAGGTTGGGATCTGGGGAAAAGCTTTTTCAGTGGCTGCACCCACAGGCTCTGGAACAACCTCAAAAGGAAAGCTTGTGTTGCCCCTCATTAATGGCTTTTCACTACACACAATAATACCTTTGCTTTTAAAGAGAACTTTTGAGTCTTAAATGATTTTAAAATTCTGCTGAAAATGTTATGGTTCTAAGGGGTGCTTCAGTGCTGTTTTTTTGCTTTGTATGCTTAACTTTTCTAGTTATTATATATTTTACTTATTACCCACCTTGAGGCTTTGAGGATAGATGCAATAGAAACATTTTATTTAATTCTTTTAAAAGCCAGAAAATGGCACTCACCATCAACACGCCAACTATTCATGAATATGTGCTTTGCTAATAAGCGGGAAGCTCCAAGTCTCATTTCAATTAAGTGCTATTCTATTCGACACAGGCAATTTAAGGCTGCTGCAGGAGAAAGGAAAGGACACTCTAGTGCTGCTGCCTGCCCCATCCCCAAAGTCTCTCATCAACTCCATCTACATCCTACTCCCTTGTGCTTGTTTTCTTCCCATGTAAGAGATATTAGTACTGTGAAAACACTGCTTAATTATTACTGCTAAATAAATCCACTGGCTATAAGTAGCACTTCCATATGCACTTAAGACTAAAGAGGGAAGCACTGTGGTCCCTCTCTCAAAACAGTCTATATTCCAAGAAAGAACTGAAGTGAATGAGAAGGTGGGGAGGAGATCAAGGGCAAGCACAGCAAACTCAGTTAAGCTTTCAGCTCCTTCAGCCACACCTGTCTCTTATTATGCAGAAGATCAACACTGGAAGGCAAAATGTGTGCTATTTCCTGAGCACATTACAGGGAACAGGTGCTCATTATACAGAAACAAAGACAAATACAGAGCTAATCTGTGTAACTTCTGACACATTATGCAGCCATTACAATTGTTAAGTGTCAGAAATTTCCAAATTAACTCAGTGCCCAGGTTTTGTGCCTTAATATTCACACAAGCACACGCATCTTAAAAAAACTTTAGCACTGTGCAATAGAAATGCATACTAATTTACACACATACAAAATAGAGCATGCCCTAAACATTTTATAAATCGCCATGCTTGGAAATATAAGTTGCAATAATCCACAACTCTCACAGCCTCAGTAAGGTGAACAACATTCATCTGGCAGGGTTATTTTAAAGACACCTCTTTTTAAGCACAAAATCTCTGGATTTTGTGTCTAGTGAATGGTCTTGATTGGTATTTCTGCAAGTTCTCAGTACAAGCTGGAGAAGGACCAAACACCATTCACAAAGCAGGAAAAGCTACAAGCTTCCACTGACTGTAAAGGCAATGCAAAACACTGCCTAAATTTAAGGTATAGAAGCAGAAGCACATCTCAGCAGCTTATTTCCTGGAGGTTTTTGGGTCCCTGCTTCCCTGGCAGAGTAGGCTGCCTCCATAGCGCAGGGAGGTTAGTTGGCAAGGGACAAGATATGAGAATATATCATGAAATCTTTGTTCATTGCCACCCAAGATGCAAGAAACTGGGTATATTGCCAACATGGCTTTTAGCTTTGCATACTTGTTTGGTTGAAAACTGCTTTCACACATTGCAAATGGCAAGAAAGCCAAACCAAAGGAACTTGCAAATAAAAATAATATGGCAAAAGCCTTCAGTCCTAGTTCATACTGCCTGAAGGCAGTTTCCTTAGTCCAAGTCTGCCATTATTGCTTTTTAAGAGAATCCAACTTGCATCTTATTTACATAATTGCATCATTGGTCCCCTGCACCAACTCATAAGAACTCAACATTTTAAACAGAGTTCTGTGGGTTTATATTAAAAAAAATATGAACGCCCAGGGGCTGACCACCTTGATGTCAAGTGGGATCGTTTATGAAGTGGAGTTCCTCAACAGAACTTAGTTGATGTGCAAGTACAGCACAGGCTGCATCAAATCAAAGTTATGAAACAAGGCTGACATCTAGCGGCCAAATATAAATTACTTCATATTTTAATCTTTATCCACAGATTAATAGGTAAACTACATTTTGATTGTTCACCCTGCTGAATTCAATTTCCTATAAAACAAGCTAGCTAAAAGCCTTCATGCTGTAATTAAAGCAATGCTCAGTAAGAAAATGAAATGCAATTCACTTCTCTCACTAAAACGGGAAATGTTTACCTCAAGACACCGCCAGAGTTAGCTGATAAGTACTATGTTTCACAAATAGTAAGATTTCTGGGGATGACCCAAATACTAGGAATATAGGCAGAAGAAAATAAGTTATGGTTTTCAAGTACTGTGCCCTCCCACAGCTTACAGTATCTGTGGGGATGTACACAAATATTTCACCAGAAAGTACAGCAAGATGTTTTATTTCACCCCAAATGTATATTATACTGGTTTCCCCATGGAGTGATTTTGCTACTCTTGATTCTGAATGTTCTTTGCCAGTTAATCCAAACTACCCCATTAACTGATCTTGTGCCCTGTACAAGACAGTATAATTTCCTGGTCTTACCATTCACCTTTGTAGTCTTGATTTGGAATTATGGTTACCATTAAATTAGCTGAGGTCAGCACCCCCCTTCCCCAGTGCTTGGTGAAGACCTTTTTATTTCAGCTGACATTTTAAGTTTTATTATTTTATTTTATTAGTTTTAACTTATCTTTATTGTATCTTTTTATTCTTACTGTACAGTGCTGAGATATGAAGGTGTTTAGCAGTATATCAATTGCTGAAATAAATAAACAGTAGTAATAAATTAATGAGTATGAAAAATAAAAGATTGGCTGTGATGCAAAGTGTCTTTATTACAAGCACAGAGAGCAACTGCTTCTGAGATGGAGTGTGACCAAGGGCAGATACCAAAACCCTTTGTTCAGTAGAGCCCACTGTTGTCAGGTGTACATCATTTCTGCCATGTGGGACATTTTCTTAGGGATATACAGGAAATACTCCATGTACCCTGAAAGATCTTCAATTGTCACATCATCCACATGAGCCCTGGCTTGCTCAGAGCAAGACCTGAGAGAGCTGGAGGGAGTTCTTGATGGCAAAGGTTGGGAACTGTCCTGCACATGTGGTGGTCTTTTAGGTGCAGACTGGGGAGAATTTTGTGGGCCAGAAAACATGTACACTTTCATGTCCTGCCATCGCTTACACTGGCAGGCCCTGTCTACACACGCACAGAGTTTCCCTTTATTTTGCTCAGACACAGATTGGAAATCAGAAAGATCTGTGGCCTTTAGAACGGCTGAAGTAGGAAAAACACCACTCTCAAGTTTGTTCTTAGGCATTTCAACCATGGATGCCACAGAATGCTGAGCACCCTTTTGTTTCTCGCCAACATCATTGAGGGGGTGACTGGCCTGTTCATTCTTAGAGAACTCCTTTGGGGTTGACACATCCGGGTCACTGCTGCTTTCAGAAGTGTCAGCTGGGTTCTTGAGCACTGGCTGGTTACAAGGCAGCATTTTCGTGGTATAATGGATAAACTTAGGAGGATGGAGTACTGGAGACTTTGACCGCCGCCGACGCTGTGTTCTCACTGTTCCTCTCAAAGGTTTCCTCAAACACCTAGAAGGTGAAAATTCAAAAGTTAATACAGCATAAATGGTCATCCAGCTCTCTCTAGTCACCCTATGCTGCAATTTATGAAGAGGTGAGTGTTTAACAACTTTTCAACTTTCCTATATGGATCACATGGAATGTGCCTACATTATACATCCAGACCCATGTGCAAATAATGTCATCAAACACCTAAACGGCAGAATAAGGGGGTCATCATGACACAGCATACATATAGTTTTAATACCTACCTAGAACTATTCTAAGGCAGGTAAGAAAACTCAGCTGCATGTTAGTCCTAGTACAGTATAGTTTACACAGCTCAGGGCTGTGGGCCTAAGAAGAGCCCCTATCATCACACTTAATGCCTTCAAGAGTGGGATCCAATGTAGTGCCAAGGCATTCGTTCATCAGTGCAAGGATTTCTCCTTGCGCAATGGAGAGTTGCTCTTTTTTCTTTTGAAGAGTTGGTGGAAGGCATACATTTTACACATAAATATATATCCTTCTAGAATCTGAATGCAACACGGAATGTTTCTGCAGCTCCCCTTCCAATCCCGTTGAGGCAATAATGTGTTGTGTAAGTAGCAGTCCCCTGATTTGGAAGAAGACACCACCCTGATAACAGCAACTTTTCTGCCAATGGACATGTAAAAACCAGTTATCTGTTTTACAATTATGTGAAGGGCTAGAGATTATCTGAACAATAAGACACGTGGCAGTTTCCCCTGCCCTCCTCCTGGGGAACAGGAACATGCCTCAGCTGCAGTGGTCAAGTGTGCTACTACTTGATGAAACCTCTTTCACATCTCTTCTTTGCTCCCAAGTCATCATCTTCAAGCTCCAGCCTCTTGATATTTATAAGCAGCTCCAGGAGGCCATGTTCAGCAGAAAACTTTAGCATTTCCACATTTGACGTAGTTCCATTAATCAGAACCAATTCATCTTACCAATGCCAGCTCTCTTTAGATGCACACATAGACTTCACCTTGGTTTCATCTGTAGTTTTTACAAGTGCTCTTGGAGACACCCCCTCATTTACAGGAAGAGAAGCAGTGGATCTAAAACAAGGAAAAATACAGGCTGTCGTAAATTTGTAAGATTGTTCTATTTCCCTCAATAGAGCTTAATTTCTGTTAAAGTTCTGACCTTGTCTTCCATTGCTCCTTGGCTAACTTATGAGGGCATTCCAATACCCACACTAAATCATCAATATATTACCCACACTTGGCTCCTTTTTGTATTTTGGCCAGCATGCTAGTTTGGACAACAACAACCTGACCAACAGTGTAAAGCCAGGATGCAAGGGGAAGAAGTCCCGTAATAAAAGGTGCCCTACAGATGTTCAATCACAACTCCCATCATCCCTGACCACCAGCCTTGCTGGCTGGGGCTGATGGAATTCCAACAGCATCTGGAGGACACCACATTGCCTACCCCTGCCACAACATACGAGTTAAATTCCCCCAATCATGTGTGGTCCAGAAGGGGTCATTCTCTGAATACGCAGAAGGAGCAGTCAAGTGTGACTAGATAGCCATACCCCGAGAAAGCATGGTGCCAACCTGCATACCCCATTACACTTTCCTGCAGCTGCGCTTAAAAGGCAAAAACTGCTGGCCTAACCAAGTAAACCTTTCTAAGCTTTCCAGGGATTTACCCAATCACTGTACTCAAAGGAAGCAAAAGAGATCATGGAGCAAATGGGTAATTACTTAATCAACGAAAAGTTTTTGGTGGTATTAAAAAACTGTAGTTCTAAGCTCTATCATAAAATCCATCAAGACTCTATGTCTCATTCACAAAAACTCTTCAGTACTCCCTATTTCACTATGCTTTGTCATGCTTCTTCAGTAATTTCATGGTTCACCCCAACTGGCCTCATCATATTCCATTTCTACAAATCATCCAAACACCATGGAAAAGCTAGGGGTGGACATACTTTTATCACATAGTTGTAAAACCTAAACCAGGTCAGTTAAGATGAAACTGTCTCATGAAGGCCACTAATCTCCTCCAATGAGGAGTGTATTACAAACTAAAAATTGGTGATATTACTACCAGTGAGTACTGCTTACAGTTGATGTGTATCCAGTAAATGGGACTGCCCTGTATGCTCCCTATGTCGCTTGTGATTGTAAGTCGCTTTGAGTAATTTTTAGGAGTAAATGATAATAATCAGCTACATTCACATAATGCTAAGCCATGGTTTGTTTTAACCATTGTTTGTTCAACAAACCACAAATCAACTCTCAGAAGAACAGGCTACAGTTTGTTACTTGAGACCTTGGCTCGTTGTCCAGCAGCTCTTTGTCCTATGCACTGTAGCTTGATGAGAGTCTGGGGCAGGATGGGCAAACCATGGTTAAACAAGGCTATTGGGCTTGGAAATAAGCTAGACTACAGTTAAAAACAAGATTACACTTTGGCTCAACAAACCATGGCTTGGTGTTATGTGCTAACTTAGACCAATATCAAACTTCACTCAAAAACCATGGCAGCAATAATTTTTTCAAAACAAACTGCAATCACAAAGCCATTTCATTTCCCACATTGTGCAGCCAAGTTTTGCTCTTAATACTAAAAATTACATTAACTTACCCTTCTGAGTCTACTCTTAGCTTTTTGAAAGCTGCCTGGAGATTCTCTTCTATCTCCAACATTGTTAGAAAACGACCCACTGCTTCCTCTCTGCAAGCTAAAGAAAAATAAGCATGTGAGAATAAAATGGAGGCAACTAATGTTGTACAGAAATTCATACTAGATTTGACTAGTGACAGCGATCCTGGCTCCATGGTATTATCAGGAAATGCAACAAGACCTATAAATAGCAATTTAATAGTGTTTTCACACAAGGCACTCAAATCCTGTTGGAGAAGCCAAAGTTGTCAGAAGGCTTATACACCAATCTACTACACTGACCAACAGTTTTAAGTTCTGGTTGCTGTGCAAGAGCGGACCAAACTTCTCCAGGGGGAAAAATGACACCTCAAAGGATCACTTCATACATTACTTGTAGGGCTGCTTCACCATTCCTACAGGAAAGGCAATTATGTGTAGGAATTAACATGTTATGCATATATAGGCCATACGATACAATAATCCTACAAATGTTTAACTTCCTAATTCCTATCTAGGTATTGTCCCATTCTGGAATTTTGCAGTGTAAGAAGTTAATGCATAGAATGTTCAGTTGTGTGGACACTTCTGTAGTGGGGGGGGGGGGAATAATACAGAAAAGAGCCTTGAGACTCCAGGCCAGGTATAGGCAAACTTGGCCCTCCAGATGTTTTGGGACTACAACTCCCATCATCCCTAGCTAACAGGACCAGTGGTCCTACGTACATTTATTAAGGAGTCCCACCGAATTCAGAGCTTTCCTGGCAAGCCTGTGGAGGTGGAGCTGCTGTGCAGTCAGTTTGGCTTGTGATCTCCATCCAACTGAAGCCCAGAGCAAGAGGCTGTTTTCCATTTTGTGGAAATCTTGAGCACACATATGACTACACTGTTGGTATTCTTTGAACGCCTCCTGACAGAAAAGGCCATCATTGTCCTTATCAGTTTTCCCAAATACCATTTTGAGGAGCAGGGTTTTTTTAAAGGATAAGGTAGTTCAGAAAAGCAAAGCTATACAAATACCATATTATGAAGCAAAAATATTCATTTGGTGATCCTTTATCGAGATCTGAACATCTGTCACAGGTCCTGTGTGGTAACGTTCATCCCCTTCTTTAAACAAAAAATATAAACTAGAAGTATGTTTCTTTCTTGCAGTGTTGATTACCATAAATATTCCAATCTTCTACTGAGCTTAGTGCTTATTTCTGAAGTTTTGCAGACTACATATGGTCAGATCTCCTAGTGGCCCAATTCAAACCTCTCCTAGTGGCCCAATTCAAACCTAACAGTATAAGCCCATTTAAAAACTACACAAATCTCAGGCTTAAATGTTTACCTCTCTTTGTTCAACACATGCCAGGAAAAGGCAGGAAGCACACACTTCCTGGTTTAAAACTAACTGCAGTTTGCAATTTTATTAAAACAAGGAACTTCCATTAATCAAACTATTGATTTATTGGAACAAAGTAGAATAAGCAACTAGAATAATCTTGGCTTACTTCAATAAGCCATATTTTAAACCAGCCACAGATTGTCCTTATCAGAGATTATGACTGTTCCTCACAGCTGCACCAGAGGGATCGGGTGTCAGGTCACAAGGCAGGGAAGCAGCCAAACCTGAGACCTGCCTCACTCCTTCACAGTGCTGAACTATATTATGTTGCTATATCTAAATCAAACCTTTTCTTAGGTTAGAAGCAGCCATAGAGAGGGATTTGGATTGGGCTTCAATGCTAGGGATGGGATTTAAAAATACAAAAAAACACAAACCAGCATTTCTTCCTCTATCATTTCTCCCCAACTTAAATCACCCACCCAATTCAACCCAACCCAACAAGTTGCTATTAGCACCAAAAGGGAATAGACAATCCAAGGCTCTCCTCAAAGCTGTTTAAGCACCACAGACAAGACACTGGGATGCAGGACATCATATCTTGTATCGATCTGGCGTTATCACTTCTTGCAACAATCCAGCTCTGTGTATGTTTACTGTGAAGCAAATCTCGCTAAATTTGACAAGGCTTACTTCAAAATAAGCATGCATAAATCTGCAGCCAGCATTGCTGGAAATGGTTGCAATTCCATTACCTTGTAGTGATTGCACTGCTACATTCATATTCCCTTCTAGTTTGTCAATATTTTCCAAACAACTGGTGCATATTGATACTACTTTAGAAATACTATATTACTATACAGGTAGTAAGGACAATCCTGTTTACAGGAGAGATTAAGACCTTCTTAAGCCAGTGACTTTGATTATTACCGTAACTCTAAATCTCACTGATGTGGTAAAACTTCTTAGACAGTAGGCTGAGACACACATGATGAAATGCTAACTCATACAGTCCAGTTGGTATGGAAAACTAGATCTCAGAGAGTGGGTTCCTTAAGCCTACCAGTGGCAAACATTAGTCATTTGAGCCCTCATTTGCAGTGTACAGATCCAGAATATGGTTAGTCTCTCAGTGAAAACAAAACTTTAATTTCAAGTAAAAAAATTAACCACAATATGACTAACTTAGAAAGAAGGAAGCAAGTGTCACTGAAACTCAGTGTCTTATATTGAGACCCTATGCATGATACCTTTTATATTAATAGCCATGCATAGGGCATGATCCAATGCAGCATGTGCAACAGGGCTTCTCTTCTCCTTGCTCTCCTCTTCCCTGCAGCCCTCCAAACCTGCTCCAGAGTTGGGGAACCTCTGGAGATTTTGGCAGCACACAGGGAGAGAAGAAAGCTAGCTTGTTGTGCAAGTAGATTTCCATTGCATTAGGTAGACAACATTGGATGTCTCCCAGAGAAACTAAAAACAAGGTGGTATAAATATAATCTACGGAACTGACCATAGATATCAGCTCTAATTTTTCCATGCAGAAGGCACACAAAAACTATTTTAAAAATTACTAAAATGAATATTAGGTTGACACACCTAAGCTACCTACATATGCTCTAAAAAGAAAATGCTGGGGTGTTCAAATTTTGCAGCCCTCACATTTGTTGAAAAACTAAGATAAAGGCAATAAAATGAAAGCGGCAGAAAAATGCTCACTTGGACAGAACTCCCTCCCTGCTCCACTCAGCTGATGTTTGTTTGCTCTGAAATGATTTCATTCAGACATGTGCCTTAGCTACTTGCTTGACAAATGTCATTGTGACACATCTAGAAGGATGGAAGTGTGTCATAATGTATTTGATGTACGTATTAAGTGTTGACTCAGGCAACAAGGAAGACACAAAAGGAAGTGATGAACTACAGGACTGCTTTCTGAATTCCTATCCGCCATACAGATGGATTACAACGGTACATAAAACAGCTTGTCTTTCGCAGAAAACTTAATTGAATACTGGACCCTCTGAAAGCCTGAGGCAAGCTCTCACTTTTTATTATTCACAATGAAGATATAAAAACAGAAGTGTATATACTTTGTGCAAATCATGGTTAGTAGCAGTAATAATACTTTATGAAGCATCTCAAAATTTAGGTACTGTACTGTTAAAATGAGAACAAATCCTGTGTGTGGGGTTACAATAAAAATAATTATAGATGAAGTAAAAAGAGAGACAGAAATTAAAAGTTAAAAGTTAATAATATATCAACTTCCAGATAATTTAAACTAAACCTTCACACAATGGGCTGATGGCACCATGAGCAAGCTCTGGACTTTCACCCTAAGCTGAACTGTGATTTAGTGACAACTATGGTTTGTTTCACCAGCAGTGTTAGAAGGTAAAGGGACCCCTAACCATTAGGTCCAGTCGTGGCCGACTCTGGGGTTGCGGCGCTCATCTCGCTTTATTGGCCAAGGGAGTACAGCTTCCGAGTCATGTGGCCAGCATGACTAAGCCGCTTCTGGTGAACCAGAGCAGCACACGGAAACACCGTTTACCTTCCCGCCAGAGTGGTACCTATTTATCTACTTGCACTTTGACGTGCTTTTGAACTGCTAGGTTGGCAGGAGCAGGGACCGAACGACGGGAGCTCACCCCGTCACAGGGATTCAAACCGCCGACCTTCTGATTGGCAAGTCCTAGGCTCTGTGGTTTAAACACTAGGAGACAAATGGCTCCTGAAACCTGGGTTACAGAAACAAAAACAGAATGGCTAGTCACCATTTTTACCCAATGCAGCACTTTCCATTTATTTTTTCAAAACAGTTCTTAATTGGACACCACAAACTAAACGGTGCTCAGCCTCAGCAATAGTGGCCAACCATAAGTATTTATAAATTCTGTTATGTTTGTATGTATGCATGTGTATCTCTTAGCCCAAAATGTTATACTGCAGCTTCAGCAAGTACTACAGTCAGTTAAATGTCTGTTATATAAAAATTCTTGGAAAACCAGGCCTAACAGCACAATCCTAACCATTTCTACACAGAAATAGATACTACTGAATTCAAAAGGGCTTATACCCAGGCCAATAGGATTGGGATTGAAACCTATTTCATTATTTTTAAGCAGTAACTCTTCTTTTACAAGATGACATTTTTTGCCGGACTGCCTGTACAGCTGTTAGGGCTGGGCGATATAAACTTTTCAACAGCACAATGTATTGTGATACATCATTAAGTTGAAAAAGAAGGAGCACATTCAACCCCAATCTTTTACTAACAATTGTTAGGTGTGTTTTGACAGTGGTTAGGAGAAGATCTCATGTAAAAAGCCAGAGTCATGTTTTTGCACCAAGGTTGCACTAAAAAGTTTCAGATCTAAGAAAAGCATACAGAATCAGGCCAACATCCCATCTAGTTCAGCATCCTGTTCACATAGTAACCAACCAGATACCTGTGGAAAACCCACAAATAGGACCTAAGCACAAGTGCACTCTCCAGCAACTGTAATTTTTATCATTCCATCTGCGAGGACAGATGTGATCTGAATCTGATAGTTGTTTGAGGGATATTGTCTGCAAAAATATGTGAAAACAAAATTATTCATTTTGTATTTGATAGATCTGACTTTTATCCAGACCCATAAAGTGTGGAAAATGTATATGGCTATAGTTGGACACACAGATTTAAAAAACTGGGGGGGGGGGGGAGAGAGATGCAGTTTCTAGCAAGTTAGCATGTGGTCTGATACTTAAGAGAACCATGATACAACTGCATATGATTTTTGCTGCAGAAAGGTTGATTTCCTAATTCAAGAAATGTTTGGTATTTTTTTTAAAAATAGACACTTTCCACATTGTAACAAAAACTTTGCTTATTTTAATTCCTTTTCTCTGCATTACCACTACCTGATACATTCAGCTATCTTTTTCCTAATGTTTTCAAAAACAGAAAGCCAAACAGTCACACTCAGACCCAACTGACCCAAGTTATCATGTTCTGGCTCACAGGCCAAACTGGGCCTGACAGGACGCCGCAACTGGCCAGGGTCATTTCAGCCTAGCCATGCCCACCTAACAGGCAAGGGCAAGTAAAACCTGGCTCAGCCTAAAAAGGTTTGCAGGCACCACCAGCCAGCTGACTGATGGCGCCCAAAAAGCCCTATGCAAAGCATTCCAAAGATAGCCCTTTTGAAGGGTGTCAGGAATACTCCAAGAAGCCCTTATCAAGTTAGTGCTTTAAAGTAACAAGTAGGTAGCCGTGTTGGTCTGCCGTAGTCGAAACAAAATAAAAAAAATTGCATCCAGCAGCACCTTAGAGACCAACTAAGTTTGTTATTGGTATGAGCTTTCGTGTGCATGCACACTTCTTCAGATACGAAAGCTCATACCAATAACAAACTTAGTTGGTCTCTGCCACTGGACGGAATTTTTTTATATTTTGCTTTAAAGTAGGCTTTTAAAATTCGCCTGCTATCAACTGACTGATAGGCGGGGGGCTCCACCTACCTGTCAAACTTGGCCCACAGCAGGTGGAGATAACCATCTGGCAAGTTGGGCCAATTTCTGTAATAACAGAATGAAGACCAAGTGAAGCCCAACCTTTAATTGAGACAAACCACTAAGAATATCCTAGACCAGGAATGTCCAACGCGTTGATCATGATCGATCAGGGCACCGCAGGATGAATGTTAGTCGATTGCAGGGCTGTTTTGACATCCTGTGTGCCCAGTCGGGAAAGCAGCGGGCAAGCTTCTCTCACAAGAGGAAATGTTTAGCCGCTGCACGCGCCTGCCCTGTTGGGGAACCAGGCATCAGAAAAGCAGCCAGCAAGCCCCTCTCACAAGAGGGGACATTTTGCCACTGTGCACACCTGCCCCTTCAGGGGAAGCAGCCAGCGCCCGCCTGCTCACCCTACACCCATCCCTGCCACCATCCCTGGGTGGTAGATCACTGCCAGTTTTTATATTGGATCGTAGATCAAAGCCGATTTTAAGTCGGACATGCCTGCCCTAGACAAAGCAGGTTAACACCTCCTAATCTTAGTTTCACAATTGCTCTGAATGCTTATACTGCACCAAGAACAAGGAGTAACTGTGCTAGCCTGTTGCAGCCCCCAAACATTGAAGGCCCTTGTGGCTCCTTAAGGAGGCATGAGTTTTGGCCATAAAAGGCTATTTGTCAGATTAGATCTGTGGCAAACATTTAAAAAATGCCACAGTGAAAATGTCTGCCATTAATAGCTAACAAAATTTCAAGTGAGAAGCTAGTCCCACAGAAGATCTCAGTCCACTCAATCTGCCTGTCCCCATTCGCTGGTAGTCCAACACTACTAACCAAAGTACTCATGGAACCTCAAAGCAGTTTAGAAAAAAGATAAAACATAAAAAATGCATAATTTTGAAACGTCGAATTCTTCTTACAGATCTGGGTGCGGGTATCATGCGGCACCTGTAAACGTGTAAACGTAAACGTGCCAATACTTCCGTGTCTTTGGAGCACCTCAGTGTGCGCTGCAAGCTCAACAGTCTAAGCCTTTTAAGGTTCTGCGTTTTAAGGTTTCTGCGATGACGGTTCTTGCTCTTAACGCACTACAGTGGTACCTCGGGTTACATACGCTTCAGGTTACATACGCTTCATCTTACAGACTCCGCTAACCCAGAAATAGTGCTTCAGGTTAAGAGCTTTGCTTCAGAATGAGAACAGAAATTGTGCTCCGGCGGCGCAGCAGCAGCAGGAGGCCCCATTAGCTAAAGTGGACTTCAGGTTAAGAACAGTTTCAGGTTAAGAACGGACCTCCGGAACGAATTAAGTACTTAACCCGAGGTACCACTGTACTGATGAGCGCTAAACGGCACATTAACATTCCCGAAACCGCAAGGGAAAGCTTTGCCAGTGGAGCTTCTGCCTGCTCTTATCTGTAAGGAGCGGCGGCGGCGGCGAAGCTGGACTAGCGAGGCAAGGCGGTCGAGGAGCCCCGTCGAGGCCTCCGGGGCCACGGAAAAGTCGTCGCCGAGCACCTGGCGCAGTGACTCAGCAGAAAAGAGCCGCCCTCGGCAGACAGGACCCGGCGCCGCGGAGCTTCGCTTCCCCTGAGGAGAGAAGGGAGGGAGGCGAAGGCGGCCGGAAAGGACCATACTTACTCGGCAGACGAGGAAACGCGGAGGCCCCACCACCACCGCTCCCCGAAACAGAACTTCGGACGTTTCGTTTCCCGCGCGGCGAGCGCTGCCGCTTTTCCTGAGGGAGCGACGCGCGAGTGACCCGGATGCAGACGAGCCTTCCTTTAGGAACCGGTGAGGGCGCTAGAAAGCAAACTCGGACCTGGCGGCAGCGTTGCGCATGCGCCGCGTCGCCGAGCGCGTCCTCGGTTACACAAGCGAAGGCGCCGCCGGAATGCACACCAGGACGGCTGCAAACGCGCGGGAAAGCCCCGCGCGTGCTGAGCGCATGCGCCCGTAGTGTCATCACTTCCTGTTGATTTTTTGTTCACTTCCGGCAGTGGCTCCCTTGGCTGATCGGGTGAGTGGGTACCTGAAAGCGGGGAGGGGGCGCGACGAGGGAAAGAGGTTCGCGTCGCTTCAGGCGTTTCTTGGAGCCTGAGCGGGGAAGAGGCTGTTGGGCGGGAGGGCTTCTTCCCCGACGGGATCTGCTCCGGCGGGTCTCAACCGTCCCTTGTCGGTCTCCTGCGCCTTTCGCCTCAGCGGAGCCGCCTTCAGGGGAGCCGAACGGGGGACGGGCGGAGGACAGGATCCCGACCGAACGCCACTGCCGTCCACTGTGCCTGTTCTCTTATTCCCCTCAGTAGCCCTTCATATCCACAGAATTCCTACTTAAAGCCTAGATTTGCTCTTTCAACTGCTCATCTAGTTTAAAACAAGTACAGTGGTACCTCAGGTTAAGTACTTAATTCGTTCCGGAGGTCCGTAACTGTTCTTAACCTGAAGCACCACTTTAGCTAATGGGGCCTCCTGCTGCTGCCACGCCGCCGGAGCACAATTTCTGTTCTCATCCTGAAGCAAAGTTCTTAACCTGAAGCACTATTTCTGGGTTAGCGGAGTCTTTAACCTGAAGCGTATGTAACCTGAGGTACCACTGTAAAGGGGCGTTGTGGGGATGGAGTGGGGGGAAACATATTGACGGTTGCCTGCCTCATCTGTTCGCTAGCTCTAAAGTACTTGCCGATTTATCCTGACGCTCTCATATTTTAAGCACCTGTATATCCCCCCTCCTTTTTTTTAGGTATACCCGAATTGGTTTACAAAGTTCTATAAAATAATAATCCTCTCAGTAAAGAAGAATGCAGTGCAGCAGAAGTGGTTTAAGAGGGTTCTAGGCAAATTTCCCTGGAAATTTCCCTGTAAAAGCAGGGCGCCCGAAGAGAAAAAGGTCCTGTCCTGGGTTACCACCACCCTTCACTTCAGAAGTCTTGTAGGGTTTGACCTATAGCTTAATTTCATTTTTATGCTGCTCTTTGGTTGAGGGTCATTATAAGTTGTTGGTTCCCACGCCCAACCAATTTAGTTCACTGTCAAGTTGGACTGAGAAAGAGTAACTGGCTCATGGCAGAGTGTGGATTTGAACCTGGATCTTCCATATCTTAGTCTGGTACTCCTAACTACTACCCTGTGCTGGTAAGAATTCGGTGGTACTTATTTCTGAGTATGCGTGCAAAGATCACGCTGCTAGGCTTCCAGTTAATCCTAAGTCTGAATTCCTAAGTTGTGATGACTTCAGGGGAAAACCATGTTTTTATAGCCTGTGAATTTTATAGTATGTGTATCCACAGTACTTAGTTAATTGGGAACCACTGCTCTAGCAAACATTGCAAGGCACCAGGTTAAAAACAGCCTTTAAGGTGGCTCACATTGTCACAAAGACCCTGAAACCTTTGTTACGGCATGTTACATGCTAGCTTTCCATAGCCTGATGCCCTCTTGGTGTTGTTGTTGTTGTTTTTACCATACCCCTCAGCAACCCTGACAAGTGGCCAAACTGGTGGGTTGAAGAGGGTTGTAGTTCAAAGTACCTGGAGGCCATCAGGTTATGAGGAGTTGGCACATAACATGCCGTAACAAAGGTATAAGACTGTTGTTTTTAATGAAACAGATTTACCCTGTTCCACTCAAAAATAAAGTTTAAAAATTAAAAGTTTGTAATCTAAGTTTATTCCTTACTTAAAGAGTTTTGTCTTCCCCTTCTTCTTTATAAGAGATTGATAAATGAAATCCATGAAGATCAAAATAACAGTTTTATGAAAAAGGATTTGGAAGTAGGGGAGCAGAAACGATGGCTGCATCCCTGCAGGCGAGGAGCAGTGCTTTTTCTGGTGGTACATGCCAGTACACCATATGGCACCTCTTTCCAAGAAGTCTGCAATGTTTGGCATACTAAGCACTTGAAAGTTAAGGTAGTTTGACCCATGCATCTAATGGCCCACTTTGTCCATCAGCACGAAGCAGAGTGGAGTCTGGCATACACTACCACTGCAGGTTGACAATGAGAAGCAGCAGAACTTATCCCCACAAGTTCATAAACAACTACTATAAACTTATAAAGAAGTAATAAACCACCAATAAAAGTAGTGCATTCAATTAGTCTTTCCCAACCTGGGGTCCCCAGATGTTGTTGGGACTACAAATCCTGTCATCCCTAGCCTTCAGTACCAGTGGTCAGAGATGATGGGAGTTGTTCCTGTTTGCATCCGTCTGTCTTGGGAGGCACTGGAGGAGTGCCCCTTTGGGGATGAAGTCAAACTTTTGGAAGGTTGCAGCACTTGCTGTGGTAGTTGAGAACAATACGGGAGAGACATGTTTTGTTGCAGCTGGGGCAGATGAAGGTGCCCGGTTGTGCTGCTGTAGATGTACCATAGTGTTTCTTCTCTCTGCTCTCCTCCCAGCGGTCATTTCTCCTCTGGTCCCTGCTATGAATGCACAACCTGACTGCCTGTCTCCAGGCACTGCAATTGCAGGCAAGGGATTCCCCCACAGCAGCATTGATGTTGCAAGTCTTCATATCACGTTTGTAGACGTCTTTGTTTGCAGACATCTTTGTAATGCATAATCGGTCTGCTAAAGTGCCTAGTGCCTAAAGCCAGTGGTCCATAGAGCGCATCTTTGGGGATTCTGCTATCTTTCATTCTGTGGGCATGACCAAGCCAGCATAGACATTGCTCTCCAACAATATCTGGGAACCCAATAAATTCTCCGCTAAACTAAAAATATTCACAGGAGGAAACATTTAATGGAAACTAATAGGAATTCTTCATGCATGGGTTGCTAGAAATTTCTCAAGACTCTTACACTATTGGTTCCTTGATGGGTTTTGGGAACTCTTCTAATATAAATGAATCACTATATTTTCATTCTGAAAGATAATCACCAAAGTTTGCAAAACTTCTTAGTTGACAGCTTTACTGGTCCTTTAAGATTAACACAAGTATTAAATGTTATTTCTGTACTTGTTTGCTTACAGAAATATAATTTCAGCTTGGGTGTCCTCAGCTGCAAAATTCAAATAACTTCCTTCTACGGCAAATCATTGTTTCTTTGAGCTGCTATATATACTCTATGACCATAAAATAAACCCATTAAGTACATTTCAAACCCTGTGTGTTGGCTCAAAGTTCATTATGTGCCCCATGTGTTAGCTGTAAAGAGTCAGTATTCGTATGGTTTGCAGTTTTTTGAAAAATAGAGGGTGCTTGCTTCAAGAAGTGTGGTGTCCATTTTCTCTGTGTGTGAATTTTACACCCCTGACTTCATAACAGACTTGTTAATCATGTACGACTATGTTTAGTAGGACTAGCTATTTGCTTAGAATACAGCATGCAAATGGGGCATAATCCTTGCCCAAAGGGCTTAGAACCCAAAGAAGGCAGGTAGGACAAAGGTCAAATAAGATGACAGGGCTTGATACTTTGTCATTAATTAATCTTCAGCAATTTCATTTAGCGTATAAAATGCAGCATGCTTTTGTAGGTTAAAGTGCTCCTTAAGTTAGCAGTGGTGTTGTATATAATAATCAGTCCTTCAGAAAGCACCAGCACCCTGATCCTGATGTAATTGTGTGTTCATCGCTGTGAGAAGCGGCTGCAAAAGCACTGTGTGGATGTCATTTTGCATGGGTATAAATCACTGTACTTTTTCAGAGCCTCCAATCAAGTAAGCTTTGTTCATTCCCACTTCTATGCCTCTGAATCCCGTGATGCCTTCCGTTCTGCCCTACATGACAGTCAAATGGAGCCATTCCAAATTACAATAACATGAATAATACGTCCTGTGTGTTTATTTCATACTTAGCTAGGATGGCATCTAAACAGTCAGAATGGGGAAATGCTCATGGAAACATATTTAGTTTTGCTGGTGAATTAGACTTAAAGGATTAACTACACAATGGGGGTGGGGCTCCTTCCTAAACTTAGTGTAGACTTGGTCTCTTTCACATTCAAATTGGGGTACAGTACTGCAATGCCCTCTATGTGGGGTTTTGCTTAAATACAACTTGGAGCTTCATTAAGTGGTTTGCTAGAATCCTCAGCATTTTTCAAGTGGTCTGTTCTGGGGAACATTTGGGAACAACTGGACTCTACCCATATGAACCTACCAGGTCTTCATCTCAGGCCCTGGCTTTTTAGTCACCCTCTGTGTACCACAGCTTCAGATCTGGGCCATGGTGTCCTCAAAATCAGTATCAACAAAATTCACGTAAGGGTATTTGTGTTTTGGTTAGGGCATTCTGTTGAGTATTTTCAATTGTCTCCTTGTACTGAGCAATATAGGGTCTCCTGCCGTCGTTGTCCCGTCCCCGTCCCCCCCCAATATATGTGAGTAGTGCCCATCTGACCTGTGAAAAATCTTTCTGCTTAGTAGCTTCAATCTTTCCAGTTTTTGAAGCATCTATTTTTTCAGCCCCGGTTCTAATCATAAATAGATTGCCTTGAATGTTGGCTTGTATGATAAATATTTTATTAATCTATTAAATAGATCCTCTCTCCAGTGCAATTAATTTGTGGCTAAAGATTGGTTTGGGAAAAGGGGGGAAATATTGTCTGTTGATTCTAGCCTATCCTTAGTGCTGTGTAGAAAAACTGAGTTGCAGCTAATGCTGGTCCTACTCAAGGTGGATTCATTGAAATTAATGGACATGGGTCTACTCTGAGTAGGATTTGGTTTGCTACAATCTAGGTTTACACGAAAGGAGAAATCCTTTAGGCTGCAATCCTAATTCAAATCCCACTTATTTGGGAGTAGGCCCTATTGTTGTTAATTCACTTTAATTGTCCCTTTACATCAGGCAACTCTTTACTTAATATTCACGTAGTTCATTCCACTGTTCTCTGCTGGAAATCAACCCATGTGCAAAAGGTTTCAAAGTAAAGCAGAAAATGTGTGCCTTGGTTGTCTTGAGTTTCCAGTAGAAATTGCCCATGGAATCCTTTTATCAAATAACTATCGATGTGAGTCAAAATGTGGTCTGAGTGCTGGATGATGGCGAATGAAGCAATATATTTAATTTCAGTTGTGTAGATTTTTACTATATGCTTACTAGACTTGATGTTCTCCACATCAACACAAATTTAATTGATTTATTTTTTGTTAGTATTCATTATATGGCAGGCCCAATAACATTCTAACATTCTGCAAATGGACTCAGAAACTAAAGAAGGAGAGGAAGAGAGCCTGCAAACAGCTTTCAAAAAGCTGAGAGTGGATCCAACTGGGTAGGTAACAACAGTCCTGTTTACTCTTCCTGTGTATTTGACTATTTTAGCATTGTATTAGTGTCTTTCCATTTTTATAGAATTGACTCTGAAGAAAGGCATCAGCATTACATTACTTCTATGCATCTATGAACAATATGGGTCTGATATTCTTATTGGTGTTTGGGCTGTTGTACCTGTAGAATAGCTAGTATTGTGGCTACTTTTTTGTTTGCAAGGAGAATGGCATGCCAAGCAGTGTTAGAAATTCCCTAGGCACATTTTGTGACTGGCTCAGGTGCAGTTGCAGCTATGTGGAGATTTATTGTATTTATATCCCACCTTTTTCTCCAAGGAGTACATGGTTCACTCCCCTCCTCAATTAATCCCTACAACGACCCTGTGAGGTAGGTTAAGAGGCTGTGACTAGCCCAAGGTCACCCAATGAACTTTATGACTGAATGGGGATTTGAACCCTAACAGTGAAGCCACCCACTTGTCAGTCACATAACATCACAGTGATGTCACGTGCAAGGTGCTGCCAAAAGGGAATCTCTCTTCCTTCACTTTAGCAGCAGTTCCCTGCTACAACATAGTAAAAAAAACACCCATCAGTTTTAGCAGAAGAGTCTGATCCTGACTTAGGGAGGCCTGTGTGTATTGGGATTCTCCACTTGAAAGGGATGGATTTTCCCTCATCATCTTAGCAGTGGATCCAGGTTTGCATGGAATCCCCTGCCAAAATGATGGTCTAGCAGGAGATTTTAGCAGGGAACAGATGCACACAGCCAAACTGAGCAGGATTTAACCCCTGCTTATCAGCTGTTGAGTGGGGGGTAAATCCTGCTGGGATCAGGTACCCACAGCAATGCAGAACCGAACCCCAGCCTCCTGTCAGCTGATTGACAGGTGGGTGTGGCTTGGAGAAAATGGCCTTGTGAACCAAATTTGTGGACCAGTATTGGCCTGCAGGCCAGATTCCCCACTCAGGGTCTACACTGACTGACAGCAGCTATCCTGACTTTAGGGCAGGGATCTTTTCCAGCCCTACTTAGAGATGTCAGGGATTTAACCCGGGATCTTTTGCATAGAATACCACTGAGCAGCAGCCTTTTCCTTTATCTGTTTGTCTGTAGATAAGCAAGAAAATGGTGGGGAGATATTCCATTTTGTTTGCTAATATGGGTGGATAATCCTAAGGGGGACACCGTATGGGAATCAGCCTGTAGATACTTTGTGTTAGAATCATACTTTAATATGTCATTTGCCTCTTAAATCAGAACTTCTACATCTGTGAGTGACAGCATGGGATTGAGAGCTCCAGTCAGAGCTGCTGTTGATGGAGGCAGGCATCAAACCGTCTGTTCGAGAGAGAACTGGCATGGGTAAGACACTTCACTAGTAATTATGTTCAACACCTTTGAGTTAAACCCTTCTTTTATCTCCCAGTATTTGGCTATAATGAATGTTTAGCCAATAGGATATAGCCTACTGTACTCCATTTCTCTTATCTTCTGTGGCTGCCTTCGTCTAATGTTTAGTTTGATGATAAGTTTAGCTTATACATGACAGGAAGAAAAGCCAAGGTTTGCAGTTAAGGCTGAAAAAGATAATGCAGTTTCTGATTAGTTTACAGTTGCATCACATTCTTCTTCTGGATTTGATATATATCAGGGGGAAATTATCAGGAGAAAGCATGAGATGCAGCTGTTTCTTCCACAGAACTGCAGCAAATAATTTTAACAGACAACACTACCTTATTTTGGAGTGCATTTTGTTCCAGAGTCAGTTTCTGCTAACATTGCTGCTCTCTACTCCAGGTGTGCAAGGAAACCCTTGAGAGGGGCGACAAGACCGCAGCGCCGCAGGCGTTCTAAATCTCCTGTCCTTCATCCTCCCAAGTTTACATATTGCAGCATGAAGGCATCTTCCGCAAGTAACCAACTGAAGCACAAAAGCCAGATGGATTCTTCAAAGCACAAAATCGGTCCAGACCCCAGTGTTACAGAAGAGCCATATTTGGGAGGAAAGAGATGCCCCCTTTTCGATAGCAGCAACTGCAGGAGGGCCAGAGCAGAACAGCGGAGCACTTTCTCAAGGGAGCAGCCTTCAGAGAATTTGCGAAAGAGTTGTCCTGCTTTCTCTTTGACCTTTGAAACCAGCCTGGATCCTAGCCAACCCTCAGATTTCCAGTCACTCTCCAAGCTGAGTTACGAGAAGCAATGCCCTTGCGTGGACAAAGAATGTCAGTGCAAACCATGGCAAGCAATAGAAGCATACTCCTTTTCTGGTTTGCGGAGTGTCCTTTCGGAATGTGAAAAGGCAGTCCTGGAAGCACATTCGCAATCTTTGCCAAACCGATCGCATTCTGGGATGGGTTCATCAAGCTCTACCCGGTCTTGTTCTGAGCAAGCTCGAGTCTTTGTGGATGATGTGACTATTGAAGATCTTTCAGGGTACATGGAGTATTACTTATATATTCCCAAGAAAATGTCCCACATGGCAGAGATGATGTACACTTGACATAAGAATCATGAGTTGGAAATTCAGTGGTGGTAGTGAGATGCTCCCTCAGTGCCATAGTTGGAAATGTGTCCGTTGTCATTGCTGTGTGTTTGATCAAATGTTTATTTGCGCCATACAGTGTAGTTTTTTAAATAAAGTGAAAAAGAGATAATATCCTCTGGCTGAAAGGTGCATAAGATTATCTTCAAGAATGTTCTTGGACAGAGTTTTACCCTTTATTAATTCTTTTGTTTTCAAAGTAGCCATCTTTTAAATACTGCTCTCTTTAAAATAACATTTACTGTGACTTGGATTATGTTTTAGCCAACCCATTTCAAAGGATTGAAATGCTGAACTTCGTCCTTGCAGGGGTTTTTTAAAAAAAAAAATTAGGTAGAGCATACTGCTACACCATCTTGAACAGGAATACCTAAGAAATGGTTTAGCGTAAGTCAGGGATGTGTAACACTCCTATAAGCAACTTTTGCTAGTTTGAAACTCTTCTAGATTTCCTTAAATCCTTAGATGTTTGTCCTGTGGAGGATCCCCCAAATCAGTTTTTTGTTTTGCTTTGCATAAGATTTTTCTCACACTCCCCCAATCTGCCACCCATTTCTGTTTAGCAGTCCACACCTGAAGTTTCTTGCAAATAATTTTGAAGTGATACAAATGTTCCTTGCACAGGTCTGGAAAGTGTTTATGCACTAATCCTTCAAGCCATTGTCCCACTGTAACTTTACTTGTCAGAGCATTTGTACTCCTTTAAAATTATTCATATACTTAATTTGTGAGGGCCAAAAGTGAAAATACAAACAAGTTACTAATAGGGAACTCTAAGAAGACATTTTGCGTAAGCAAGCACTGGCTTTCTCCCAGTAGCCTTCTAATGGTCATGCATGAAGATAGATGCTTTTAAAATGACTGAGAACAGATGAAAAAATCAATTGCACATAACACATGCTTAATCAGTTGGCTCTTGAAAGCTATTTACAATTTGAGAGATCTGCTATGCTTTTCTATTAGCACCTTTAAAAAGAAATAGAAATTATAAGTTGCAAATTATTAAGTCGGGATAGCTGACTAAAGTCAAGATCCCTTGATTTCCCCCCCAGTTACCTCCCACCCCACACTTTAGTGAATACATACTGCTTTTTGCATGCTTGCCATGAATTTTTACTATTGGTTTCTCAACTAGTGTCATTTTGTTCAGCGGTAGGGAACCATGGGGCCTCCATATGCTAATGTATGTGAGAGAAAAAGGATTGAATTAACTTCTTTGATTTCTTTCTGATTAGCAAATTTCCGCTGTATTTGAGCATCTCCTACACTATAGGGGAAATATACACTAGGATGGAAAGCAGAATCATTGCTTTGAGAGAAAACTTGACTTTGTAGCCATAGAAATCAAGCCTGTTTTACACCTAGCCAAAGTGGAAATCAAATCAAACCACTGCCAAAAGCACTGACCAGATAGCCCTTCCATTCCCATTTTTCTTGAGAGGAAGTCTGCCTTGCTATTGTATGATTAAAAGATAACCAGTGCTACTTGAAAGGAGTGTCTCAAGCACATAATCTGCTTTAGATTTATTGTCTCTTTCCCATTTTAGGACAGAAGGAGGGCAAGAAAAAACAGTTCTGGAACCAAGGATACAATGCTGTACAGCTAACTTCCCCCGGTTTGGTTAAGCAAGTGCTTCTCCTTAGCCCTAACTAAATATCAGAAAGCTTGGAGACAAGAATACCTACAGCATTCTAGAGGACCAATGAAGCAGTCATTCAGAATTCTGCTTCCTACACTACTATGTCTAATAAATAGCCACTAGATGGAGCTTTCAGAACAGTGCTTAAGAATTTTTTTTTCTAGTCCCAACAACAGAACTTACTCAGAATTGTAGCTCTTTGGGTTTTTTCCAGATGACCTAAATCTAAAGCTGCGCCATTTAATTAGTAGCGTTTGCATAAGGAGCTTCAAAAGAACATTGTCCGGACACACTGTTGCAGGCAATGAAAACCTATCCTAACGTTATTGCGCGGGGGAAGAGAATGTCAAATATTAGGCAAAAAGGAGAATTGTCTGTCCCTTATTTTGCAGGCATTGTTGGTCAAAGGAGAAGGATGACGTCTCCTTGAGTTTTGGAAATAGCTAGTAAAAACAATAAAAAATGTCAGTGCTACAGTATCCATTTCCTAGTTAAATGCAAAAATTGGGTTTTGAAAACACAAAGCCTGGAGCAAGATCTGAGAAAGTGGTGTCAATAGTTAAAAATTTGGCATTGAAATCTCAAGTTTTCAAAACTGATTTGTCAAAGCTATATTTCAAGGAAATTCTATAAAAGATTTCTGTGTTGATGGAGTCAAACCACAAGCCTGAATTCAAATAGAATGCTAAGCCAAACCATGGCTTGGCCTTTGGTAGCGCTGCAGGAGCAGAGGAAGCAACAGGAGCAGAGCAATAGCCACAATCTTCATTCCAGGAACCTGCATGTTTGCACTAAACTATGGTTGGGTTTAATGTTATGTACAAACAGGGCCAAAGACTGGTTCAAGGTCACCCGATGAGCATACTCACTAACAAAAATGTGAACCTAGATCTTTCTGACTCCAGCGTATCTAACACGCCAGTGCATATGTATGTGTAAAGTCTTTATTCGTTCATGTTGTCTTGAGCACCTCACCTTTCAGGATACAGATTTTTCCATTTGGCTTGCACACACATATATCAAGTCATCAGGATCCTTCCCACAGGGCACAGGTGATGGTAGATGGTCCTGTGGGTGGAGGGGGCAGTCCAGCTGGAGCAGGATCTAGTTTCTGATGTTTTCTTTGCCAGTCTAGTTCTCTCTTTTTGCCATCCTTTCCACAGAGTTGTTGGCCCAGGGAAGGGAGGGAGCACAGTCCTCCCACAGCAAACTGCTCTGCCCTTCTCACCACCTTTCCCAGTAGTTGAGCAGGCCATATGAAAATTTTGGTCTTAGGAAAACATCCTCTCCCCCTACCCCCATTGGAATAATACACTGTTGCATGCCCGTGTGTTATTGGTAAAATCCGGGGTGTATGGGGTATTAGGGGAGGGGTGGCGCTGTGGGTTAAACCACAGAGCCTAGGACTTGGCGATCAGAAGGTCAGTGGTTCGAATCCCCGCAATGGGGTGAGCTCCCGTTGCTCGGTCCCTGCTCCTGCCAACCTAGCAGTTCGGAAGCACGTCAAAGTGCAAGTAGATAAATAGGGACAGCTCCGGTGGGAAGGTAAACGGCGTTTCCGTGCGCTGCTCTGCTTCGCCAGAAGGGGCTTAGTCATGCTGGCCACATGACCCGGAAGCTGTATGTCGACTCCCTCGGCCAATAAAGCGAGATGAGCGCCGCAACCCCAGAGTCGGCCACGACTGGACCTAATGGTCAGGGGTCCCTTTGCTTTTTACTGTTGTGATGTACAAGAGCCCCACAGGAAGCATTCAGGAGGCAAGCTGTATTTTCAGTAAGGCTTTATTCAGTTGCAGTCTTGCAGCATTGTAAAGCAGTCTTTCTACATTCAGGATACACAGCATACAGGTGGAATTACATTCAAAGGAGAAGTCGTCACCTCTTCCCACCCCTACCAACTGAAGTGGGAAGCCAACCATGCCTCTTTATACTAGCTGGCAATGGAACAATTAGGCAGCGCCCCATGTCTCCTGATGCTTAGTCATCACATGCTGCTGAGTCAGCATTCCCAATTAGTTTGATTCCTTGATACCCACAACACTCCAACAGGTACTACCTTTGCTGGTGGGGGGGGGGCATGTCATGCTGCTGGGGTAGTTTGTCTGTCTTTGATCCCTACCCTGCACTCAGCTCTCACCTGTGGCTCCTAGAAGCTGTCAGCATGCAACAGTGGCCACACCCTAGGATACGGCTTCGACTGGCTGGCTAAACCAGGTGAGGGCAGACAGTGGGTCTCGAACCCTCAGTTGAGTTAGGGACATCCCCTGTATGTGAAGACAGGCTCTGGCAGATCGAGCAGACAAGACCAATAGTGGGTCCAATGGTCAAGAAGGCCATTTCTGCTGTAGAGGGAAATGAGGGGCACATGAGGCTCATCAACCTGGGAAGGTAGGCCATCTGGAAGAAGGAAAACTTTGATCCTAAACCTGCCTTGTGGGGTTTCGGGAGAAGAAAAGGCCAAGGAGTAAACAAATCTGGATCAGATTCCCTAAGACGATGTTGCCTTATACACCTCTTTCTGGCAACTCTTGCAACCAAACATCTCCTTTCCTTTGGACCACGTCAGTGAGGCTGAAAGGGGGTCTTGTCATCTGGGCAGCCCAGGACCTCCATACACACTGCCCAGGCTTGCACCCCGGGGAGGTCACTTTGGTGCTCCAGACTTCACCCCTGGAGATGCACTCCATTGTCTCTCGAGACAGACGGATGCCAACAATCCAGGACCACTTTGCAAATAATGCTTAAAGGCAAAATGGAAGAAAACAAAGTTTCCCACAAAAACTACAGCTCTGTTGTTAAGAGTAAAGAAGATGAGCTAGCAAAGAATAAGACGTTTGTGGTTTTAAGTGGCATGAGAACGTTAGCCACAGCATTTTGCTGGTGCCAACTGCTCCATGGATGTAGGACACTATAAAGAGGTGTTAGGAACCTAGGAAACTGCCATATAATGAGTCAAACAATTGGTCCATTTAGCTCAGTATTGTCTACACAGACTGGCTGTGGCTCTCCAGGTTTTCAGGCCTGGTTCTCTCCAGGTCCTGCCTGGGAATTCTAGGTTCAAACGTGGGCCTTTCATGCAAACATTGGGGGCTGAGCTGCTACAAAGGGCAATGCAGAACGAGATGTATGAGGTTAGACTGTGGAGACACAGCCATAAATAAAGCTTGGGATGAAAGTACTCCAGATTCTATCATGTTCTTTAAAAAAACAACCTGGAAAATATTGCATAAAAACTAGCAGAATTTTTTTTTTTTATGTTCAAAAAGGCTGCCTGAACAATGCAGTTTTAAAAAGAAAGACATTTAAAATACTTCTGTTGGCAAGGAGAAGGGAGTAAACATCCACAAATATCAAAGATTTCTCCAAAGCAAAGGCAATGCAGTTGTACCTTGGATCCCCAGCGCCCTGGAACTTGGATGTTTTGGCTCCCAAATGCCGCAAACCGGATTGTTCCGGTTTGTGAACGTTCTTTTGGAACCCAAACGTCCGATGGGGCTTCCACGGAGCTTCCTGCTGCCAATCAGAAGCCACGATTTGGTTTTCGAACGTTTTGGAAGTCGAATGGACTTCCAGAATGGATTTCGTTCAACTTCCAAGGTACAACTGTACTTTCTGATCAGAAACAAGACACTACAGGATACGCCTACAACATACGCTTCAAATGCATTACATCACCATATTATTAATATTCTGTTGGGAGCCACCAAGAGTGGCTGGGGAAACCCGGCCAGATGGGCAGGGTATAAATAAATTATTATTATTATTATTATTATTATTATTATTATTATTTATTATTATTATTATTATTATTATCATCACCACCATCACCACCACCATTCTCTATCTGAACTAGCCAATTCCTTCCTATAAAGATACTGTGGAGTCCAATATATCCAGAACATCAGTTTCTGTTCAATCTCAATTTTAAATCTAAAGAAACACTAAATATAAATGCTAAAGTAACTTTCCATTGACTTAGTTGAATGGAACTCTCCAACTCTATTCCACTTAAGATTCTGAACCTCCAATTTTCAACTTTCCAATTCTCTACTCATTTCTAAACAACTATTTCGGATTTCACTTTCTGTGAAGATCCATATACTTCCTCCAGCAATGTAGGAGGCAAAAAGTTGAAGCTTGGTCCTCTCTGGGTTTTGGTTTCTATGCATTTTATAAGAGCAACCACTTTTAAAAAAACAAAAAAAAAACGCAAATTTGTATTGACCCTGATGGACTCTTTACATGAACTTCCACCCAAGTATAAGGCTATAAGTATAGGATTATACATTGGGACGCGGGTGGCACTGTGGGTTAAACCACAAAGCCTAGGACTTGCCGATCAGAAGGTTGGCAGTTCAAATCCCCGTGATGGGGTGAGCTCCCGTTGCTCTGTCCCTGCTCCTGCCAACCTAGCAGTTTGAAAGCACCTCAAAGTGCAAGTAGATAAATAGATACCACTCCGGCAGGAAGGTAAACGGTGTTTCCGTGCGCTGCTCTGGTTCGCCAGAAGCGGCTTAGTCATGCTGGCCACATGACCCGGAAGCTGTACGCCAGCTCCCTCGGCCAATAAAGCGAGATGAGCGCCGCAACCCCAGAGTTGGCCATGACTGGACCTAATGGACAGGGGTCCCTTTACCTTACCTATAGGATTATATGTGCTCAGGACTGAGAGACCTCTTCAGGATCAGAAAAGAGAGATCCCAAATCAGGCCATTTGTTAGGAGTGCGAGGTCCAGAATTTGATAGACCCTTGAGCAAAATGTTTTCAATGAGGTTTTCTCCGTCCTTCAGCTGTGCCCCAGTCCTCCTTAGTGCTGCTGGGGGCTTGCTTTGCAGGGAGAATAATGACGCCTCTGCCTAGCCACATTTGGAAGTTGCCTTCTCCTTTCACCAGATATTGAAGCTGGAAGCCGAAACGTTTTAAGTTCAAAAGTTAGCAAGCCTTCATCAATGCATTCATCTTCAGCACAAAGTCTCAGCAATTTGCCTAACCTGCCTGTGGGGTTGAGGGAGAGGGGAAATGAGATCAGATTTGTAGGACCTGACTCTTCCTATAAGCAAAACCATGCTTCCCTAAGAGTTCACTGGCAGTCTTATTTATCTGGATTATCCGGGCACCCTCCGCAAACCATCCCGATAAAGGAGGCTGCATGCACTCTGTTACTAATAAGATGCAGGATCTCCCGTTGCATGTGGAGTCTCAGGTTCGCCGTCAGGTGGCATCGACGCTCTGTTGTGTCTGTGATTTAGAACAATGCATGAGCAGTGCAGCAATGTGTCTCACTCGCAAGCTTGCCATGGATGTAAAGGGGCTGTGATTTAGCGCGCGCGCGCACGCACACACACACACACAGAGAGAGAGAGAGAGAGAGAGAGAAAGAGCTATACTCCTTCTCTTCCTCAAGCTAGATGCGGCTTCTGATCCAGCTGCCCTGGGCTCGCCATGCAAATCTGGGGTGAGTAATGAAACCGAACCCC